TACCACAAAACATATACACAAGGAGAAGTGCTAGCGCCTTGCTAAATATTGGAAAGTGAAATTGACGTTTAAATTTGACACTGTTGACAAGTCTACTGCTACTAGCGACTAGCGCCCCCAATACCGCGTGTAGGAACTACGGACTAGATTGTCACGCATAGCGGGAAGTTTAAAAAAATTAAAAAAAATTCTTCATTTATTTTTAATTATGACACACATAAAAACACAAAAAATACACCATTTTTTAAAAATATGTTTAATATCAATATCAAATATACAATAGAAATTAATTTCACCACATTAAATTAATAAAATTAAAAGAATAATGTTACAAGTAGATCAAGAGACAAAATTAATTATAACAAAACTGAAAAAAATGGCGTCATAGATGGCTTAGAAATAAAGATATATATCATAATTTTGAAAGTAAAATTATATGGGAAATGTCATCGATCATCATTTTTAAGCCAACTGGACGATTATTTCAAACATACAAGCTAAGTTCGTTCATAGTGCTCTGAGAAATCTAGAATAAATTAAAAGTATTCCAGGGGAAAAGAGAGGAAGAACCTGTATCTTCTCTGATATCTGTCAGGGTATTGTTGAAAGTGTCATCTTTTTGCTCAAAGTTTTCAGGTCGATCAAAAAGATGACATTTACAACAATACCTTGCCGTAACTTTCACAAATATCAGAGAGAGTACAGGTATTGCCTCTCTTTTCCTCTGGGATGCTTTATATCTCTTGTTCTTTGTTTATCTATATTTCTCAGAGCATAATGCCGAACACGACTACAGTATATAATAATTTCAATATCCTAAGTGGAAAGAAAAAAGATCACCTTTCTGTTTTGTAATATGGTCCCTTTCTTCCGATGGCTCATCTCATTGATATTTAGGAAGATATCCATAAAATATATATTTTACTATCGGTCCTGGGATGAGAAAATATAAAATTCAATTTGAGTTGATGATCCTTTTCTGTCACCTAAATGAGGAGAATGACAATGAGCATGTTAACACTTACAAGCACGTTAGTAGAGCAACACTTACCTACACGTTAGTCCGAGGAGTTTTTATCAAAAACCTATATTTACCTAAATAATTTATGTATTAAATTTGCAAAGCAAACTGCAGCGTGTAAACAAAAGAAATAAAATGGCGACAAGTCAACGTCAACGACCCGACAAAGAGAAAAGTGGTGTTCGAATAACAAATTATGGGTCACCAAAAATTGTTTTTGTCTCCTTTCAACGCACACTTTAGAAAGAAAAAGAGATGAAGTGTAATACTGAAAGAACGTCAAGGTTTTATCTGTCACTCTTGTCAATAATTTATCGGTAAGGAAGATTCCTAGAAAATCGCTTGTAGTCAAGTTTTGAACCATTGCCAGTTCTCCCATAAGAAGTGTCATCCATCTGATTGTTACGGCGTGCTGTTCCCCGCTTGTCTCTCTAGTCCTGCAGCTATCTACTTTTGTAATTGATATAGCGATGTCCCAAAAATAAAAAATCAATATTTTGAATCGATTCAACATCGGATATATGTAACAAGATAGATCCAGAAAAAATCGGCGACAAAAGATTGATTCCCAAAAGATTGATTTAATAATATCGATATTCGATTCTGAATATACTGGTGTACTGGTATTATGATTATAATCTAATGCCGGGTCCAGACCAAGGCGACAAAAAATAAACAGGATTTTGAGTCAAAAACAAGACAAACTTGTCACAAAAAATGGAGACTTCTGACAAAACAAACTTGAGATAAATTGTCCACACCGCAATGACAAAAGTACAAAAAAGTCAAAAGTTTAGTTGTTGCGAATGAGTTTTATTAACCATGTGTGATTTCACTGGTCTCCTACTGTTGGCAGCACACGCCATCCACACTACGACGACAAGTTGTCGCAAAACATACGAACAAAACATAGACACGTTGATCTTTACTGACTGGAGACGGGACATTGAAAAGTCTCCGATTTTTGAAACAAAACTAAAATGAGACAAAAATGTCGCAGAAATGTATTAGATTTGTCACAACTTTGTCGTAAAACATGAATGTTTCTGTCTTGTCACTGTTTTGTCTGCTTGGTATGGATCCGGCATAATGTCGACATGTGTATCGATACTTCTAGTATTTTCGTAAACCTACTGATAACGTACTCTAATAAAAATTTCAGGCGTGTTAACACGTGTTACATAGTGTGTACACCCATTCCCACGTCGCAATACGTGGGATAGCGTGGCATCGCGTTGAGTGTTGGCTAATGGGGTCCCGGCTTTATTGAGATTGGCATACAGGGTTCAGCATAAGTGCATCGGGCATCTATTCAAAATTTCTAAGTTATTTATTGTTTGCCAATTACACGAGTTGTCAGAGTCCACCTTTACAGAATTATTTTCAAGCTCTATATCAAATAAGGACACATTTCACATTAAACAATATATTTTCATAGATATTCAGTCGATTCAAATATACCGTGCTGGCAACTCTTACTTTTGGGTCGGTATTTACCTGTGTGGAAATGAATCGCATAGGGATCTTATTAAGTCGCGAAGTGAGAGAAATACGACGGTGTGCTGTTGCGGCGTTGCCGGTACGCCTTTCCCTATCAAGTAAAGTAAAATCACGATCGCAAACCGCTTATTTTTAAAAGACTTTTTTAGAAAAAATAACTAGATGTGAATCATTAGATATGTTTCTGAGCATCTGAAATGGAATTATAAGGATATCGTTAGGATATCCATTTTTCTCAAGAACACCAAATCAAGAACCACTTTAGATATTGAAACTTGTTTTTATTTTGAAGTTCGGATCTTTTACAAGATGTTTAAATAAAGAAAAATTTGATTAGGTTAGGTAGGTCCTGTTTTTTGTTTTTTTTTCATTCAAAATTTTTTAAAAACCCATCCATTTACTTTTAGTGCTTAGCAATTTTCGGCAATCATGTAACTTTTTTATTTACAAAGATTTTCACATACTGTCGGCGAAGAAAATATAGCAGAAATATTAAGAAAGTTTAAAAAAACTACAATCTATTGTTTCTAATGGATTTCGAGATATCGATTTTTGAATTCTAGTTCAAATAGGGCGACCACTGTGGAACACCAACTTAATTCCACTTATTTCTACCAAAAGTTGTCATTTTAATGGTTTAAAAATGGGTGTTTTTGGGTAGTTGTATTTAGATATTTTAAATTGTCCTTTTCTTTGTCCTTTTTTCCCTCCTGAAATGTTAAGCATTTTTTTTCAGTTTCGCCTTGAATTTGATTTACTAGTAAAAATCACTAAGCTGGTTTCAATTTGGATTCGATGCAGTGGCATTTACAAAAATCCATTTTTTTAATTTTGAAATTTACTTCCAGGGGCAAAAAATCCAGAATTCTCTTCGCAAGGAGAAAAAATAACTGATATAATCGATACTTTTTTCACTATTAATCATAAAGGCAATGAAATACCCAAATTAAAGTTGTATTATCAGTAATTACAGTTGTTCACAAATTATTCGTATTTCTAGTGCCAAATTAAATTGCGATTAAATGTTTGATAAAAACACCGTATGTGTCCCACTCAGAAAAACTAATTTCACACACTTAATACAACGTTGATTTGTACCTATAAGGGCTGCAAAGTGTTAACTCTTTTGTCAGTGTTAATTTAAATTGAATTTGTACGTAACTTAATCCTAAATGTTTAATTAAACAAAAATTTTTAAAAGCTTAAAAAATATACGCAAAAATATGAAACACTGAAGCATTGTACACCATGTGTGTCCAAACAACATACATATACAGGTTGTTAACTGGACAATTACTTATAGGGGAATTATTATTGCCATATTTCAAGCATAAAGCTCTTGCCGCGAGTAATAAACAAATTAACGACCTGTATATCATAAAATCGTCGGTAAGGCCGAGTTGTCCATAGGGATCCTCAACGTCATTGATAAATCTTAAACAAAATATAATAAAAAAATATAAATCTGATTTGTTCGTGATATTTTACTTATAACTCAAAAGCTATCAACTTTTTGTAAATAACCCTTCTTTCTATATTTCTTGTTTTTATAAATTTTCTCTAAACAAACGTTTTGGGTCAAGAGCCAGCAAAATTGACAGTTTTAGACTAACTGCTCAAAATCGCACTTTTTCTACTACCCACAGCCTTTATTTGTTATTAATGGATGATATTCCCCAAAATTATATGAGGCTAATATTCATTCGCAAGAAGCTGAAGAGGATCCCGATACCCTTATTACCAAAAAAAAGCTTATAGGTTTGCCTCATTAATTAAATTAATTTATTAACAGTAGTGGGAAAAGATATCAATCTTTTGGTGGTTTTGGTTGTTCCGGATTGAATATGTAGAAATACACGGAAAATAGCAGAATCGTAGAATTTTTTCATCAGAGCAAGACAAAGGAGTGCATCTCAAACATTGGCTGATCCCCATTTTGAAGCCGACAAAACTGTGTCTGATCATAAACTGATTCTGCACGAAATAATTGATTGTGAAAAAGAAAAGAAAATGTTCTTAAATTCTTATAGAAAAATAATGCAACTGCTTGCAACTAAATACTAATGTTTTCAAAGATCGCTTATACCAGAACAACTGCCGAAGTTGGAATTCTATTTCTTATAGCTTTATATACCGGGTGGGTCTCAAAAGTGGCTCACCCCTAAAACTTTTTTCAGGTGAAAAAACGAGATTTAGTATGTACGACATAAATTAGGATTAATAATTGACATTCTACTCAGAGTGTCATTTTCTATCGAATAAAGTAGAAACCGAGGGTGCCATTTAAAAATCAAAAGTTTTGTTGTCTTTCGAGACTTTCGAGACGAATATACGAATACAAAATATACAGGGAGTTCCAATATTCCGTGGTCTACGTATTTTTTTACAGCAGCTACGTATTTTTTTAATCAAAATAAGTTTTTAAATAAGTTCTTAATTCTTAAAAAATTTTGTCTTAACCAAATAATTCTCTTTACAGTATTTCTACGAGTATCAAATCCCACCCAAACTGAAAGCCGTTTCTCGCATTTTATCCTATCAGTGAGCAATGAAAATCCGGAAAAAAATATCGCCGGCGATGGTTCCATTGGTACTCTTCAACTTTACGGAGACGCATCCATCAAGTTTAGCGATCGATGTCAAAATGCCGTGATCGAAACCGATAGCCAACCCAAAAGCGAGATACAAGTAAAAGTTCGAAAATATATTATACAAATTTCGAATAACAACATATTATCTTTTAGTTTCTATGGCTTGCTCCTGTCAAAGGAAGCGGATGCATCAAATTCAAAGCTACTGTGGTTGAGTCTGTAAACACTTGGTATAGCGAAGACGCAGATTTGACTAAAATCGTTTGTGAAGAAGCACCTGATACTGATGACACTCAACCGCATATCCTCAAGCAATGCTGCACATGCGATGAAGCAAAATATGAGGTAAGCTCACATTTTTTAAAAAAAAGTCGATTAAGAAGTTTAAATTTTAATAAAAAATTGTTTTAAAATTCAATAGTAATATAATGACGTAGCATCCATTTTTAATTTATGAAGATAAAAATAGTATTTGACTCCCCTTTTTGTTGTTTTATTCGATGATATAATAAAATACAGGGTGGCGCCTCTCATACGCCGCGGAGGCTCCAAGGAGAACTACAGTTTGTATTGGAATGAAATTTTGGGAGCATATGTAGGTTAATTCAGAGCACTTTTTAAAAATATAGAGTTCTACAGGGTGTCCCCAAAAAAAGTTACATATTAAAGTTGAATTTTTTGTAATGGAACACCCTATATATTAATTGATTTTCGGATGAGTTTTATAAGAGAAGTATATGACTAAAATGTAAGGTTTTTGACATATTTAACATTTTCTAAAAATATAGAACAATTTTTACAATACAATAAAAGCTACCTAAATCTGGAATTTACCCGGTATATTCTAATATATAGTTAAATTAACTATTGTACTTTAAATCAAATTAAAACTGGGTCCAAAACGTTATACAGGGTGAGACCAAATTAATATTGAACATTGGTCACCTTTAAAAGCATGTTTATGTCTTTTATTTTAAATGAAACACCCAGTATATTATTCCGATATTCAATGGAGAATTCATGTCTCTTCAAAATACTATTAAGGTTGCCTACCGCTCAAACAAAAAGTTTCCTAGATATTTTCATTTACATGATTTGATCTGAGTAGACCTTTATTATTTGATAAAATTTAGGTGGCTGTGATATGTCTGACGTTACTTCAACATAGCTGTCTAATTAGTCCAACTTTAATAACTAGTTATTATTTTGTGTCATTTAAAACAAACAAAAAATCTTAGAAATTTGCCCAAAATGCAAACTTATCCTACATCAGAGAGAATTGATATGATTCTATTAGTTATGGTGAATGCAATGTGCATTCACCAATTAATAGAATACTTAAATGCTCCTGATTTTATCTAGTCTGGATTTTTTATGGGGATATGTTTAAGACAGTGTTTACAAGACTCGACCATCTATTGTCGACAACATGAGAGAAATTATTGTAACTGCTTTTCGAGGTAGAACTCCACATATGTCTTTTAAAATAAAAAGATCCTTTTGAAAAGACAATCATTTTATGGAGTTAACAAAAAAGGAAGCATTTTCAGCATTTGATTTCATCTAACTAATTTTTGTCACATAATTATAGGGTTATATCTAGTTTTAATTCTGTAATAATTAAAATATGTTTTAAACCTGTATATTTTTATTAACGTTGAGTATTTTACTCTGCATTCTTTAATTTTTGTTAAATTAACAAAAGGTATATCACAGCCACCCTAGATTTTTTCAAATAATAAAGATCAACTGACGCAAAATCATAAAAATTAAAATATCTAGGAAAATCTTTGTCCGAGGTGTAGGCAACCTTAATAATATTGTGAAGAAATATAAATTCTCCATTGAACACCGGAATAATATAGTGGGTGTTCCATTTAAAATAAAAGAGTAACTTGCTTTTAAAAGTGACAATGTTCTATATTAATTTTGTCTCACCCTGTTTAACTTTTCGGGTCAAATTTCAATTTGGTCAATTTGATCAAATTTCATACAGTGGTTACTGCAATTAAATATCAGGCTATACAAGGCCAACTAAAATTTAGGTAGCTGTTATCGAATTTTAAAATTTACTCTTCATTTTCACATAATGTAAAATATGTCAAAATCCTTAGATTTTAGGTATATACTTCTTTAATAAAAATCACTTTTATTTTATTCCTAAAATCCGTAAATCAATTAATATATAGGGTGTTACACTAGAAAAAACACAACTTTGATGTGTAACTTTTTTTTGGGACACCCTGTATAATTCCTTATTATTAGTTAACCTACATATGCTGCCAAAATTTCATTTCAATATAAACTACCGTTCTCTTTGGAGCTTCCGCGGCGTATGAGAGGCGCCACCCTGTACATATATGTTATAATAATAAAGCCTCACTATCCTTATGATTTTACTGCATAGTGTCACAATGCAGTTAATATCTAAATTTACCATAATACAGGTAACTTTTGAGGGTTTATGGTCAAGAAACACCCATCCTAAGGATTTTCCCACCAATGGATGACTAACAAGATTTAGCGACATTATTGGAGCTTCTCATACTGTCAATTACAGCTTCTGGTCGTACGGAGATCTAGCCAGCGAAGGTCTTCAGCAGTTAGCAGAGTATGGAAACACTCGCATGCTTGAAAGCGAACTAAAAGCTAAAGTAAATCCTCTATTAACTCCTTCAAATTCTTTTAAACTTTTGTTTGTTTTTTAGAGTGACCATATCAGGACTATTATCAAGGCTAGAGGAGTGAGTTATCCGAATATCACTGCAAAGACATTCGCTGTTTTCAGGGTGGATAACAAGCATCATCTTATGTCTATAGTATCCATGATTGATCCTTCGCCAGACTGGATTGTCGGGGTATCCGGTTTAGAACTTTGTCTACGAAACTGTACATGGATTGAAGCAAAAGTTCTTAATCTATATCCATGGGATGTCGGGACCGATGATGGAATCACTTATTTGGTAAAATATTTCTCTTAAACACTAAAAAACACCTAATGATATGCTGTTCATTTTAAAAAAATCTGCACAACACTCTTCGCACCAGAAAATTTCTGATTGGGATTCGACCTTTACTGGCTGCTGCTCTAAATAATCCTCCTCTAGAAAAGGAAAACCAACTTCTGAGGTTTTTCAACCAGGATATTCTGCGCCTTCCAAGTCCTCTTTTGCCTAAGACCTTTCTCTGGAGTATCAACTGAAGCAGACCATATCTCTTTTGGTTTCTCATTATGTGTCCCAGATATATTTTGCGAATTATGTTCTAGACATTATTTACGAAATTAGTTCAGAAGTAAAGTATAGAAAAACTTTTGAAGCAAATATCAAACATTTGTGTAAAACTTCTAAATGTAGCAATATGTCGGTAGATTTGTCTTGGTGAATCCATAGCCTATTTATTGTATTAGACAGCCAGTCATTTTTATGGAACTCTGCATAGCTCCCGAGGTATTCCCATGTCTGATGTAACAAAACGGATTATCAAATCGACTGACTGTCTAATAAATAGGCTGTGTTAAATAAGTGTTGTTCATTAGAAAATACTGTGTTATGACTTTTCGACATGTCCCTCTTTAAAATAAGTTGTGTTCTGCTATTATATAAAAAGTATACTTATAGCGCCGAAAGTTTTTTGAAGTTAAACTTCTTTACACGCGCAGAGAGTAGCTGATTCAAGGCTGTGACACGACACGCGAGAAAAGTTAGAAAAAATCGTCCGATTTAAATAAAATTTGGTAGGTCCATAGATTGAACCAGGCCAACTTAACCGTGTACGACACGTGTCACTGTGATAGTTAGTTTTGGCGTAAGAGATATCAGAAGTTGATGTCGACCGATCGCAACCAAATTTGGTGGGTAGCGACGGCGTACACAGTCCCACCCTGCAAAGTTGGATATGACTTTCGTTTATTATCATGGGGGGACTATGGATTTGATCAGATATACAAATTTGCCTAACGAACAAAAAAATACTTAACGTTTCGGAAAGTTTATCGCTTTCCGTCGTCGGAAGCGCAAAACATACAAAGAATATAACTATTCGAGAACGCACTTTAGTTTTTAAAACTGATACGTTTACAAAAACCGTTGACGTTCTGTTAAAATGACATTATATCAAGTTAAACTTCAAAATTAGCAATTACTACCTGATAACAATTACTTAATAAGGTAAAACCAAAAAGCCCCAAACTGACTGTATGATTATTTTTAATTTTTACGTATGTTATGTTTATTTATGTTATGTTCTTTAAAATCAAAGAAGCGATTGCCAATTGCCATGCATTACTAACATCTACAGATGCATGAGCAATACATTTATTTTTATTAAATTGTATTAAAAAAGCCTCTTTTATTTCTCCGTTAGAGAAATCAGTACTTTTAGAGAAATCAGTAGTCACTCAGTACTTTTATACAAGTACGGACGAAAAGTTATAACGTTTCAAAACAGTTAAAACACATGTAGCCCCTTACAAATAGGAGTCATATTGATATGAAAATCAAATTTCTCATGTCAAAAAGCTCTCATATACCAATTTTCACCCAAATATTGACTTTACTTCAGAAATTATTTGGAAAAAATCGAAATAAAAATTAAACTTCTATTGACATACATTTATACGAACTGTTTTACTTATTTTTATCTGCAGAATATGCTGCTAAAGTTTCCGGAATACAGTTCGGACTACCCTGTATACTAGATACTAAAATATATTTTACCTAAAAAGAATTAAGCCCCAATTCTCCATGGCATCCATACCAAAACTTGGTATAGCCACTAAATCCAACTTGGATAAAGGGTATTTAATACCAGAATATTTTTCGAAGAATGGTAAAATTTCCTGGGCAGATTCCAAGGCGTATTGTGCCTTGGGTAGGTCGTCTTTTGGTGCCTAGACTTTGAAAACAGTGCCTGTACTGGACTTGGCGGATAAGTACTCAAAATCGCTTATGGTAAACGCTACCAAGTATGTAGACATTTGGGGTGAAGCTTCGAAATGATCCCAGACCCATCCAGTTTCATTCCTAGAAGAAAAATAAAATTCCTTATCACTTCTTTCATTATAATTTTGGCGTTATTAAAATTTATTCTGTGCCCTGTGTCCCATGAATGCTGATAAATCTTAGATTTGTGAAAATCTCTCTTTCTTAAATAATCTTTATGTTCTTTAATTCGAACATTTAATTCTCTAGGTCTATTTTCAAATTACAATTTTTCAAACATGTCCTTCAATTTAATAGTTGTTAGTAGCAAGTTTCACTTAAAATATGCGCACGTAGTACACACACAATATTTTTTTTAATAACTCACCTATAATATCACAATGCATTTAGTCTACAAACCAACCTGCTCTAACCAAACAACCAATCAGGAGACTGAAATGGGACTATCCAGACGATCCAAAATCGCCATTTTATGATCCCTCGGGAGCACCAATGAAGCCCTTCGCTAAATTGACACTGTCTCGTCAGAGGTTATACGAAAAAAGTTGTGATTCTGCCGGACAGGATGAATTAGAAGATGTGAATTTAAATTGCGAAACTTCAGGTAACAGGTACAATCTATAAAATATTAAAAATAAGTTTGTATATGGCTTGTAGATTGGTCAGATTGGTCACCTTGCTCGGCTACCTGTGGAAGAGGCGTTAAATATAAACAAAGAAGATACATAAACGAGGAGAGTAAATACATTTGCCACAAGAAACTCACGGAAAGGGCTACATGTGAAGCTATCCCGAAATATTGCCCACAAATTAGGCAGAAAGAACGACAAGATCCTCTTTGTGAGTTAGGTACGTATTGAAACTGGTCAAACTTTGGACCGCTGAAATCAAAAATATTTTAAGAGATGATATTATCATACCTACCTCCAAGAATTTTAAAAATACTTATACAGGGTGGCGCACCTCATTCGCCTCGGTTGATTATGCGAAAACGGAGAGATGTAGAAACAAAATATTTTATGGGTGTATGTGGGGAGGTAATGTGCACAATTTAAAATTATTTTGAAATATACAGGATGTTTCAGAACTAAGATCCATACCAAAGTTATATTTTTTCTTATGGAACACCCGGTATTTTATTTCATTTTTGGATTCTTCGGCCCAAAAAAAGGTATTTATTATAAGGGTTAAATATGTTTAAAATCTTTGATTTTTGAGATATTTAAAGATATTTAAATTTGCATTGTACAATAGAATAGATTATTAACACCCTGTACATTACATATCAGAATTAGTTCTTGTGCTGAGTTTAAAGGTAGAGAAATAAACTTTACAGAAAAACGTTATTCCTTCCTTAAATGTCTACAGGGGTCTCAAAAATTGCTGGTCTATTTTAAATATTTATTTTACATAAAAACTTCGTTATTTCAAATGCAACACTATGTATTTTTTTAAATAAATCGAAGCAGATTTAATTGCTCTTTCAAACTATATTAGGGTTTCCTATACCTATCTGGCTCAGATTTTGAATAAAAAGCGATTTTTCAATAAAATTGTAATCAAGGTGGCTAGTGTTGTCATGGCAAGTTTCTAGTGACAGTTAGTAGCTATTTTCAAAATCTAAATTAGTTTATGGACTTATTTAAATTTATACCAGTTTACTTTTATTTAACTTACCTACAATAGTTTAATAAATAATATTTAGTAAATATGTGTACATTATTCTATCAAGAAAAACGAAGTAGTTCTTTGAATTATTTTACGATGACATGTAGATATGTGGATTTTCTATAAAATAGCCAATTACGGCAAATTCATTTTATTCACTTCCAACGACAGGTTTCTGCCTAATAGGTTTTTTATAAACCACACTACTAGCTCTGCGAAATAAATAGGACAAGATGTTTTTGAAAGAAACGCTTATCAGGAAGATTGCTATTTGAATATCTTTGAGCATAAGCCCTTGAGGCCAAGAAGCAATTTCCTCACAAAATGATATCACTAGTAACATATCTATTCGTTCCACCAGCAGATACTGTTTTATTTTTCTTGATAAAATAATGAATATTTACTTATTAAACTATAATAGGTAAATTTCAGTAAACTATTATAAATTATAAATAATAATGTACAGTACATCTGCTGGATCTGTGTCTATGAAAGGAATGCGGACAAAAAACATTTAAATAAACAGCAATATATTTTATACGTCGATTTGACGAGTGCGTCACCGCAAATCGCTCCGCCCACTCATTTTATTGGCTACTTGCAAATTTGTTGAATTTTTATTGATGGGACGCGTCGTCTAATTTTTTACGAAAATCATCGAGAGAATATCGTTTCCCCTCTCACGGATACCCCGTAGCTACAGAACGGACAGACATACTGTAAACTATTATAAATCCATAAACTAATGTCGACTTTGAAAACAGTTACTAACTGTTACTAGAAAATTACCGGTGGTGACACCAGCCATCTTGATTCCAATTTTATTTAAAAATAGGAAACCCTAATATAGTTTGAAAGAGCATTTGAATCTGCTTCGATCTAGTTAAAAAAATACAGGGTGTTGTATTTGAAATAACGAAGTTTTTATATAAAATATATCCTTAAAATTGATCAGCAACTTTTGATAGCCCTGTATAAATTTAAGGATCCAATACCATTTTTAAGTAAAGTTATTTCTTTACCTTTAAACTCAGCATAAGAATTAATTCTGAAAAGTAATGTACAGGGTGCTAATAGTCTATTCTATTGTAGCATGCAAATTTAAATATCGCTAAATATCTCAAAAACTAAAGATTTTAAACATATTGAACCCTTATAATAAATACCTTTTTTTGAGCCCAAGAATCCAAAAATGAAATAAAATACCGGGTGTTCCATAAGAAAAAATATAACTTTGGTATGGACCTTGGTTCTGAAACACCCTGTATATATCAAAATAATTTTAAATTGTGCACATTGTCACTCCACTAAAATATTTTGTTTCTACATCTTTCCGTTTTCGTATAATCAACCGAGGCGAATGAGGTGCGCCACCCTGTATACACTCAGATGCAAAAAAACGTAACGGAGAAATTTTTGGTCAAATTAAAAAAGTGTTATATTTTTTTGTATTTTTAGCCCTATTTTCATAAATTTTTTAGCAAGTTGTATATATAAATATGTCAACTTTAATTCGTAAACTCTATTATACAGGGTTAATCGAGGGATTGTTTTTTACCTTAACTTTAAAACATCCTGTGCAATAATTGCATGTGTAAATTTTCCTAAAATATAATTTTACATGCAGAACCATGTCTCCTGAGCATTTTTTTTTGGATCATGTCAATACATATAGTACACATTTTATAGTTACATTTTAAGAGCAAAATGAACCAAACCAACACATTGTAATTTTTTCAATTATCATTTCTTTTTGAAGTTATTTTTTAATATGACAAGACGGCTTTGGTGATTATTGTGAACTATATACTACTATCACCTACTATCAACTGCCCATCATGTTCGACGTTTGGGAAATGCTTGGCAGGAGGGTTAGAGGTCGCGAAGCGGTACTAGCTTCGTTAAATAAACTGCGCTTGGTCCTTAAAGAAGAATATAACGCAACGATAACATAACGCAATATGATATACAGCCTCAGTGACAGTATGAACGGACATATACAGGCAGTTATAGCATCCAAGAGAGGCAATATAAAGTATTAGGGTATTTTTTACAACTTTTTTTTCTGTTTGTATACTTGAGTATTACAGATGTTTTCTTTAATATCGTTTGTTCTGTTATCGTTATTATTGTTTATTTAAACCAGGACTGTATCTTTAGTCTTTAACGTTTTTTTTTTAATTTAGTGTAAGCTTTGTTCGGGTTCTTGTTATTACCGATTCTGAACCGTCTTAGAACTCTGCAGCCCATGCGTAAATGAAATAATGTCTTCATATTTCCTTCTGCGCATACGCATCACAGTTTTAGGACGGTTCAGAATCGGTAATAAGAGAAACCCGAAGTAAGCTATAGAGTATCCAATGCAGCGTAATATGACGTTACGACAATACTCACCAAAACCATCTTGTTATATTAAAAAATTACATCAAAAAGTAATAATAATTGAAAAAATTGCAAGCTGATTGTGATCAGTTCATTTCGCTCTTAAAAATTAATCACAGCATGTATTGACATGAATCCATAAACAAAATGCTCAGGGTATATAGTCAGGGTTCTGACTGTAAAATTATATTTAGAAAATTTTACAAACGAAATTATTCCACAGGGAAAGCACGGGGTGTAAAAGTGTGTTAAAATTAAAAAAAGTGTTAAAGTTTAGTTTGAAGGGTAAAAAACAACCCCTCGATTAACCCTGTATAATATGCCAAATACTAAAGTTTATAACAAACTGAATTTAGGAATAAAAGTTGATATAATTATATACAGCTTTTTAAGAAAAATCATGAAAATAGGGCTAATATATAACACGTTAAATTTGACTAAAAATTTCTCCGTCGTTTTTTTTGCCTTCTGAGTGTATATTAAAATAAATCTTAAAATACCTATATGTAAAACTTTGCCTGTTGAAAATATGTTAAAGCATAAATTATAAAATTATGAAACTATCTTATTTTTTGTATTTTAGGTCCATGGTCACCATGGTCAAGTTGCAGTGTCACATGCGGTAAAGGAACTCAAACCAGAAACAGGAAATATAAAAACAGGTATGCGGCTAAACGTTGTAACGTTGCTCCTGGACGACCACCTATTCTCCAGCAAAATCTGGAATGTTGGGCTGAAACAAACTGTCCAGATTATGACGACGAGGTCAGCAGAGTTTACTTAAAATTCTTTAGCCGTTTATATAGGATGTTTCAAAGAACATGTGCCATCTCTCGTGGGGAGATTCCTCACGTAAAAATAAGACTTATTTTTCATATCAACATAGATAGGTCCGATTCTGCTTTGTTTTATTGTTAAAGTCTTCACCCTGTAGCTACGAAACAAAGCAGAATCGGACCTATGTTGATATGAAAAATAAATCTTATTTTTACGTGAGGATTAGGTTTATCTTATTTTTCTCCCCACGAGAGATGGCACATGTTTTTTGAAACACCCTGTATAATATAAAATCGTAGATTATAGACGAAAATTGTAACGAACGTCCATGGACTGATTGGTCTCCGTGCTCTGCAACTTGCGGAAAAGGAATCAAGGAACGATACAAACTGCAGTTAGCTCCCAATAGAAAACAAGGATATATCTGGTCTGTCAAAAGTCTAAGAGGTTCAATATTTTAAAAAATTGTCTTTGAAATTTAAAAAAATATGTTTTTTGTAGAACTGCAGGACGAAGAGAAGGATATTGACGATCCTTGTGCGAGAAAAGTTAGAGAAACCGTTGAATGTTTTGAAAAACATTGCGAAAAAGAACATAAAATTTTGAATGGTACGTCCAGATTTTTATGTCTCATATTTTTCTTTCTTCTGCTTCTACTGGCTGTTGCTCGAAATAATTCTCCTGTAGGCAGGGAAAACCAAGTTCTAAAGTTTTTCAACCATGAGATTCTGCGCCCTCTAGGTCCCTTTTTGTCTAAGACATTTCCCTGGAGTATTAACTGAAGTGGACCATATCTCTTTTGGTTACACATTATGAGTCCCAGATATTCTAATTTTCGTTGTTTGATAATGTCCACTAGTTCGTTCTCCTTTTGAAGTATATTTCCAAAACGGTCTTGTTGGATACGTGGTCTACCGAGGAGATTCTAAGAAGTCGTCTCTGTATAGGCTTCGGAGTATATATCGTAAACACCTAATACTTACAAATGCACCGGTTTAAATAGCGAGAATACCAAAAATTTATTATTTAATTGTTCTAAAAGTGTTAGGAAGTACCGTATGATCGAAAAAAAACGGCGTCCAGTTGGCTTGGAAATGACGCTCGATGACATTTCCCATATAATTTTACATATAAAATAACAGCGATCTTCATTTCATAGCCATCGTTGACGCCGTTTTTATTCGATCATACGGTATAATTTGTGAAAATTCTAAAAATAAAAATAAAAAAGTAAATATTTTGATATCTTCAGAAGGGCTAACTTGTATTATAATTTATTATTCCAATTAAAAACACTTTTTAGATGAGTTCAACTACGGTAGCGAGCATAGTTTTAATCACTGGTTTAGCTAATGGGGCAGAATTGGGGTTATTTTGGCTATAACGAAATTTTTAGGGTTCCGTACCCAAAGGGTAAACACGGGAACCCTATTACTAAGACTTCTCTATCCGTCCGTCTGTCACAATTAAAGGTCTATCTTATCAACCGTTATAGCGAAGCAGTTAAAATTTTCACAGATAATGTATCTATGTTGCCGCTATAATAACAAATACTGAAAACAGAATTAAATAAATGTTTATAAATAAAAAAGTACTTTCACTAAACATTATCTTTTGTAAGAATTTTACATACAGGGTGGCCCATCGAAAACGTTCCTCAAGGCATAACAGCCAGGGTATTTTTTTTTCAAAAAATCCAAAAACACGTCAATTTTGTTTGTGAGGGGGACAACTTTTGACCCAAAAATGATTGCAAAATCTTCAACCCTCTAAGCGGGGGTGTCATCCCCCAACTTTTTTCAAATGGGAAGGGGGGTCAAGTGGCGCCGCAATGAAAAGGGCTTTCTATTCTCTATATTTACCCGCTTCGTTTTTAAAAATCGGTCGAGTGTTTTTGAAAATATGAAGGATTGAAATTTGAAAAGTACTTTTTGCAGAAAAAACGCATAAATTGAATTAACTAACAAAAACTTAACTTATTAATGAAGCAAATGCTGAAAATGTTGCTCGTCAACCTCCATACAGTAATACAATTATTTTCAAACCGTTCTGGAACATTCTGAAGATCTTGCGGGGGCGACAAACGTCAATAATTCGTCTTCGCAGGTCTTCTAATGAGACGGGTGGAGTGCTATATACTTTACTTTTTGTGTCTCCCCATAGAAAAAAGTCTAAAGAAGTCAAGTCGGGTAACCGGGGAGGCTACTCAATTGCACCCCTTCGTCCTATCCACCGACCGGGAAAGTTATTGTTCAAAAATTACGCACATTTTGAGAGCAATGTGGAGGTGCACCGTCTTGTTGTTGAAATATTAGTTCCGCTTCAACGTATCCAGGATTGTTCTCTATGATGTCAGTTAGGGCTGGGTCGATGGTATTTTCCAGTAAATCCAAGTACATATCATCTGTTGGATTTCCAGGAAGAAAAAAAGGACCCACAATAGAATTTCCAAAAATACCAATCCACACGTTCAATTTCTGAGGGTTTTGTGTGTGCACCTCGTGAAAAACTCTGGGGTTGTCCTCAGCCCAGTACCGACATTTATTATTAGTTGTGCCGATTAACTACACCGTTCAAAAAGAAAGTACACTCATCGAAAAAACACACATTAAATAGGGAATTATTATCATTGGCCATTCGTTCACTCATAGTTTCACAAAATTGCATGCGGCGATCAAAATCGTCTTCGTTGAGTTCTTGTACCAACTGAATTTTGTACGGATGGAAGTTGTGTTTTTTAATATCCTTTGGACACTTGTACGATTCACGCCGGTCTCATTGACTAATTTTCTTGTACTCAGCGTACTATCTATGGTAACTTGGCCCAATACGAATACCTCCATAGCTTCATTTACTACAGGATTTTCCCTCTGCCTCTTTTTATTCATAACGAAACCAGTTTTTTGCTACTAACTCGCGAACAATTTTGCCATAAACCTGTTTGTCAGGATGGCGTTCATTGAATATCTGCCCAACCCGATTGCCACATTCATTATTTTTAAAATTTAGTTCGATTATTTCCACTTTCTCTGCAAGTGAGTACACCATAATTGTTAAAAAGTTTAACGATATTGAGAAGAACTTCAACGCACATGTCACAGAACAGCTATCTAGCAACTACCCCACCTGATCGTTCAACCTTGTGGCAAGTGAAAAAATGCGTAAACATCTAGAAATAATAAGAAAAAACAGCAAATTGGTCGAAGGAATTTATCCTTATCATTTACTCTGACAAATGTTTAAATAAACTTTTCAAATTTCAATCCTTCATATTTTCTCAATGACTCGACCGATTTTCAAAAACGAAGCGGGAAAGTATAAAGAATAGAAAGCCCTTTTCATTGCGGTACCACTTGACCCCTCTTTCCATTTGAAAAAAATTGGGGGATGACACCCCCGCTTAGAGGGTTGAAGATTTTGCAATCATTTTTGGGGCAAAAGTTGTCCCCCTCACAAACAAAATTGACGTGTTTTTGAATTTTCTGAAAAAAAAATTACCCTGGCCGTTATGCCTTGCGGAACGTTTTCGATAGGCCACCCTGTAGAATCTTTCGAGTCCTCGGTGGCCGCGTGGTTAAAGCGTTAGGACTTTACGCTGCTATGACGTTGGAGCTGTAGTAAGGCAGGTTCGAATCCTAGTCAAGGCGACTTTTTTTAATCGTTTTTTTTTAATTTTTACATATTTATTTTTACTTTTTACATATTTATTATTGATTAATACAATTTTTAGTAATGCGTTTCTTCATTTATTTTTTAAATTACTTATACGCGCATTCAAAATTTCAGCTAAATCGGAAAAAAAAGTTTATAATACCTAGTATAGTGTCTAATGTCGTTTAGATAATGAATGGTACGGAACCCTTTTTGGACCAATTTTTTTAAAGGTACATAATTATAATTTTAGAAGATGCTCATAAAGCATTTAATCTAGTTGATTAAAAAAAGTATACCATTAATATTACAAATTATATTTTATCCTCTCATAGTATATGTCTATTTAATTTTTTGATTATGATGTAACGAGCACTTTGTTTACACACTTGTTTCGCCGAACTACTTGAATCCATTTTTACTTTTAATTAAATCGGTGTGGGAAACTATGAATCTATAAAATGTTGTTTCGGGAGAGTTGAATATCCAGGAAAGTTGAATTATTGAATGTTATTGCAACCAAACAACGCTCTAATTACGCTCTCATTTACGCGTTAACATTTTTTCGGCGATTTTATTAACATTTGAAATTGTCACAACACAACACGATGCGCCTAGTTCGAATACTTTTTCACTTATTTTTTACTACTTCAAATAGCGAACGTTACATCACACAAACCTCGTACCTGAGTGTTTTATAGTGTCAATAATTGCATTATAGTCTAAGAGCTGGCTACATAAAAAACCTTATCATCGTTACATGGCTAATTTTTTGTGTGAAGTATCCTTTTGTGTAGCCATTATGAAATAGTCATGTCTGCCAGCGCGATCCCGGGGCTTAAAGCGGGAGCGGCCAATCGAAAGGGTGAAATTTTGACACTAAAAACATTATAAGATACATGAGTTATAATTGCGAAAATAGCTTTTATTTATTATTAAGAAACGTGGAAAATTGTTGGCAGACATTTTTCTAGTGGCTAAAATGCCGACAGACAACGCGAAAGAGGCATGACATTTTAAAAATTATTAAAAAATGAAATTTGAAAAATGAAAAAAATTATGGCATATTTGCATGCCGATTGGTGAAATGTCATATTTATTTATTTTAAAAGCCGTATGCAAATGGGCAGACAAAAAGATCGTGGCTCAATCAGCTGCAGGCAGTTATCAAAAGCGCGATATTACTCTAGCGCTTTATTCATGGAACGCTGGCCGCCTCATCCATTTAAGTATAGATAAATCATATAATATACGATTATATTATAAATATGTTTTTTTATTATTTTAATAACGATTTTTTTGTCTGGCCTTTTGCATACGGCTTTTTAAATTAATTAACAATAAACATGACATTCCACCAACCGACATGCATGTATGCGATGATTTTCTTTTATTAAAATTCTATGCCTCTTTCGCGTTGTCTGCCGGCATTTCAGCCACGAGAAAAATGTCTGTCAACAATTTTACACGTTTCCTAATAATAAATAAAAGCTATTTGGCAATTATAACTCGTATACCTTATAATATTTTTAGTGTCAAAATTTCACCCTTTCGATTGGCCGCCCCCGCTTTAAGCCCCGGGATCGCGCTGGCAGACATGACTATTTCACAATGGCTACACAAAAGGATACTTCACACAAAAAATTAGCCATGTAACGATGATAAGTTTTTTTTATGTAGCCAGCTCTCGGTCTATTAGCAGAAAACTAAAATACTTAAATATTATGACAAAACCACGATTTGAATATTATTTTAATGCGATCAACATACGGCGCACAGTGGTTCAGATTGCCAAAAAGTGGCGCATAGGATATTTTTAATTTTATTACAAATTCTAGACTTATTAGGTTTAAAAATATTAAAAAAGAGGGATTTTCTATGAATTTTATTCAAAAATTATAGTTTTTAAAAAGGTTTGAAAAATGCTTCGAACCTAGTCAATAAAAGAATACCCATTAGGTTATCTGGTCTAAATTAAAGAAAAAAACATAAATTGCAATATGCGTTAAATGGAGTCTTCAAACTCATTTTCTTCATGACATGATTCACCACCACTTTCTTCTAGTTCTTCTTCACTATCTGATTGACAATAATATTCTGTTGCCATATGAATGTCATTTGCGGGTAAATCTTCACCTATTTTTAGTGGCGACTACTTTCTCTGGAAATTCAAACCCTAGTTGGACTGCTTTTCCTGTCTTATTGTTATGTTCCTTCCTTAAATTAGAAACGAGATTCCGAGGTGTAAGAATCTCTAATTTCTAGAAATAAATGGATTTTTAATCTTTGCCATTAATTAAAAGCATTAATGCAATATTTGCAGCATTATGTAGATAAAAAAACATGTTTTTTTCTGTAAGACATTATAAATTAATTCCTTGGCAATATATACCTTTGGTCTCTTTATTTTTTGGGACTTGGACAATTCTGAAAAAAAAATTCTTCTTGAAGGGCCAGGGTCATCAAAAGATTGATTCTCTTCCATTTGAAGTAAATTTTTATTCAGCCAGAGACAATTGTTGGAAATAAAACTGCTCCAAGTATAACTACATTTCCTCCACTTTTCTGGCCATTTATAAAAAAAAATTCAATTTGCTTATTTTTCGATAATATGTTATTAATATTATTATCACACAAAAATGAAATAATTTCATCAATAATATCCGCTTCTGACCTATTATTAAAACCCATTTTCAAAAACCGCTCACATATTGATCTGCGGCTTATTGTTCTATAATAAAAGGAATAGAGTACGGGAGGAACATGTGAGTCTCTGTAGTTACACTTTTACCACTCCAGAGTTACTCAAAAAATATTAGTATAATAATTTAAGAAAGTATCCATGGAACAAAAATCAGACTACTGGTCAATTTAAAATTTTAATTTATATATTATCTACCTCGGGGTCTCTTGGGGTAAGATACTTGTGTTAAATTAAACTTGGTATACTACCGTTTAAAAATTATAAAATACAGAAGCGGAGATCTGCGGAGTTCTAAAGATACGCAATTTCAAAGTTTAATTTTTTTCAAAAGAACGCTCTGCTATGTTTGTGGTAACTACTAGCTTCATAAAAAAATATTTAAGTTAATAAAATTCTCTTAAAAAGTACTTACCTTGATCTTCAAAATCCATTATAATTTAATTTATTTCCAAGTCTCTGAACTAAGAACCAAAATATATTAGCAACACTAAACCATTATCAGCAAATAACTGATATATTTAAACTACAAAATCTAACGAAAACAACATTCCTGTACGCTTTTTTATTACGATTAAAAAGTGGATCGTGATAAATTTGAATAAATGGACCCATCATCTGTTGAAAATAATATCATTGTTGAAATTTTTTTCTTGATCCCTATGCGTCGATTTTATTGAATCTGAACCAATGTCCGGCGGGCGGCGTGAAATAGCTACTGATAATTTCTGTTTTTTGCCGTTGAAGCGCTGCGGTCGGAATTTGTTGAAATCAACTGAAATGGACCAAGCCTATAGCCACTTCTCAAAGGTTCAAGTTTTTTTGTGGACGCTTCTGTCAATGTCCAGAACTCGGCACCAGACAGAAGCATAGACCAAATATAACACTTAAGTAGTCTTGGTTTGGTTTCTATTTGTAAATTAAGATCCCTACTACTAACAGATTTTCCATTCTATAAAGAAAGTGGCTTTTGCTTGCTTTCTCTCAACCATTTTTTTTAAATAAGCCATATTTTGATTTTTTTCTTGAATAGCTAGATGTTATACTCCTCTCATCCTTTTTTTTCAATGAGTACATTGCTTAATAATATATTATATTGTTGTTATTACATATTAATTGCAATAACGTCCAAATTTTTATTTTTACATAAATAGTTTTTTTTTTAATTACTGTTTTTCTAGCTGCTGTTTGCAGTCTGCCAAAAGATATTGGAGCATGTAAAAGCAACGTAGACCGTTGGTATTTTGACCCAATCAAAGGCCAGTGCGAAATCTTTAGCTACAGCGGCTGTGAGGGCAATCAAAACAATTTCAACACCCTAGAAATTTGTCAAACATTGTGTATATCATATCACAGTAAGTTTTCAATAGTTTTTATGCTAAATACAGTAACTAACGTAGCAGTTTTTAGGAGAATTTATAGCTAATTTAACTGCTAAAAGAAATCAATTGAATGGATCTATATCAAGGGTTGTTTCGCATAATATTCAAAATGATGCTACTACGGGTAAATAGAAAAGACTTTAATGTAATATATTATAGTCCGGCTAGAAAGTATAATTTTAATGCATTTTTTTCTGTAACACTCTAAGACAACAGTAATCCGTCACGTAAGTTGTGCGGATAGTAGGCTATGACCAGAATCGCATGGCAACACCATCTGTCAAAATATTGTTGATTGTAAACCGGCTTAAGATTTGAGAAATAATGTCGCAAGTAAAAAAAAAGAGAAATTGTGGAATATTTGTATAGAAAAGGTGTTCGAAACGTTAAAAAATTAGTGCAATTGACAGAACTCGGAAAAAGTGCAGTATATGAGACAATGAAGAGGATAAAAAATGGCACAGATATGATGCATGGACCAGTTTCAGGAAGACCGCGTAAGATTCGCGAAAACAATTTAAACGCTTTAGTGGCATTAGGACGACATAATCCGCGCCTAGGGTTTCGCAAATTGGCTAACAGATTTGTAAGTCAGCGAAAATTAAAATTGTGTCCAGAAACCGTCCGCATGTCACTGAAAAGACAAGGCTACATCAAGGAAACAAAAAAAATACCTGCAATAACACCTCTACAAAGGCAGCGAAGAATGGAGTTTTGTCAACGTTTTCAAGAAGATAATTTGAATAATGTTTTTATTTCTTTTCTGACGAAAGTTGTTTCCAGCTTGGTGGAAACTACCTAAAAATCCTATCAAAATAAAATGTTACCGTTCAAGTTTCCAAATTTCCCACTAAAATAATTGTTTGAGGAGCAATATCTCAGCGTGGTGCTACACGTCTGTGTATAGTTGATAAAACTGTTAATAGTGCAAAATATTGTGATGCTTTAAATGGTTTTCTTGTTGAAACGGCTCATGTTTTATATCCAGAGGGGTGGCGTTTTCAGCAGGATAATGCAAGATGCCATATACGTCTGCCTATACTCAAGCTTGGATGCAAGAACACCATTTGGCAACAATTTCATAACCAGCAGCTTCACCAGACTTTAGTCCCATTGAAAATATATGGGGACTAATGAAGATTGAAGCGGAATGAGCAGCTCCACGAAATAAACAAGATTTGATTCGCTCAGTTTTACAGGCCTGGACTACCGCCACTGAACATTATGGTGTGGACCTAGTTTCGGGTGTATTTGGACGTTTAGTTAAGTGTTTGGAGTTAAATGGAGGTTGTATAAATAAATAATATTAATAATTTGTTATATTTTTTTTAACTTAAGTCCTAAAAATATATATCGATAATTGTAATTTTGCTTTCTTTTTTCCGGATACTTTCTAGACGGATTATATATTAGTTTTAGATTATTTCTTGCTACTTTTTACCAGTTTTTTTTTTTTAATTTTGTAGCCGATATATTGTATGTCTTCGGATGCTTCATGCTATTATTAGGCGGCTATTCTGCAATATCTTACTTTATAAGGAGTGCTGGTATTATTGATTGAAAACGCCGCACCGCCCTGATGATCATATCATGTAGAAATAAGTTTCCTTATATGGCACGTTCAAATATTCTTGTTTTAGTTTTACCTTATACTTTCTTTCATTTTTCGCTAGATTTCTAGAGATTAGTATTGCAGCAAATTCTTCATAGTAATGTATGATTTTCTCCTGTATCACCAAACCAAATCCGGTGTTTTACTTTATTTAAACTTATTTATTTTTATTGTGAAATTTAATTATCGTAAACAAAGTATAAAAAAGTATTCACCTATGAGTGTACGATTAAGGAATAAATCTTTGAATAAAATGATTAAGGATAGACCATATAAAAAAATGAAAAAAAAAAAATAGCGCCGGGAGGCACGTATAGCCGCCCATACTAAAATATCTTAATAAAAAGTTGGTAGGCAGTTTTTTTAGTTTCAAAGTAAAGGAATTTTCCAATTTTTTTTATCTCATAACTACGACTTTGACTGATTTTGATGTTATTACAAATTTTGTTGCAAATATTATTCCTAATCTTAAATTGAAAATCGCGTTTCGCCAGCTACTGTAATTTTGGAGTTACGATTTTTAAAATGTTTAACCCCTCCCATACCCCCTTACCAATCACCCACCCCCACCAAAAACTAATGGCCAGATTCTCGGGTACTACAGTATTTTTATATTATTCTCGGGTACCACCAAATTTGGTTAAAATCGGTTAATGGTTTAGCGGTTTTAGAGTTATCGTGTTACAGACAGACGGACAGACAGACAGACAGATACCATGAAAATATCTTGTATATAGGTCATTTATAACCCAAATAACTCATTTTGAGTGACATTAGAAAAACTTTTTTTGCCGATCTTAATAGCCTACCGTACCTGTTGGTATGGTCGGTTAAAAATTGTTTAAAAAACATAAGAATTGGCTATTAATCAGTAATTTTTCGAAAAATATATATTACAGCTTATATCGCTAAAAAACTTAAAAGGGGGCACTTTTTATGAAGTCATGGCCAACTATAACTATGATTTCCATTTAAAAAAATATATGTTTGTGTCATATGTTAAAAATGACAGGCTTAAAAAAAACGGAGAACGCCACCTAGGATGCGATCAACTACAACTTTTATCTGAAAACTTTTTTTCATATACTTTTTGTCAGCATACTTAAAATAGCGGAAATTTGTTTTTTCGAAATATCTACAGTACCCCCGGATTATCTTTACAAAAGAAAACACTTTTTTATTATTGACATTTTGAAAAAAATACATTCTTCATAAAAATGTTCGCATGTTCTAAAATGGTTAATTCCGTTTATATTTTTCGTTGAATAAAATGAAAATCTGAATATAATATATAATAGCATTATGGTCCTTCTTTAATGTTTTTATTTAGAGCAATAAATAGTCAATTTAATAAAATTGAAAAAAAATATAAACAAAGATAACATAAAATTGTATGAAGAATGAACTATTCGTAATAATAATATTATTATTATGCTAAAACGCCGGATTAATGCCTTAAGGTACATTCAGTCTGAGAGCGTCGAGCGTCGCGTCGCGTTTGCGTCGCGTCCGCCCCCTTGAACTCGCACCCCGACGCTCAGCGGACGCTAGCGCAACGCCAAACGTGACGCTGTCTGCCTGAACGGTCTAATTTAAGTTAAGTGAATTGATTCCATTTCGACACGCGGACGCGACGCAAACGCGACGCGACGCTCGACGCTCTCAGCCTGAATGTACCTTTAGATTTGCTGAATACGGATTTGTCAATCTTAGAATTCATAAATACGTCCGTGTAGCCAAAAATATGTGTCTATGCTTCTATATTACACATTAAGATTATATGTAAAATGCATTTATAAAACAATATATTGTTGAAGTAACAAAAATATTGTAATAAAGACCATTGAACTTACTAGTATTTGATTTAAACATCATTATATATTTATCAATTTGAGATCGTCCACCTTAAAATATCATTGTCATACAGACATAGGCAGTAATTCTAGAAGGTATTATATAAAAGTTCGTATCCTAATGAAGCAAAAGACCTATGAGCATTAAATAAGTAATATACAGGGTGGTTCGAACTGTATTCCGGAAACTTCGACAGCATATTCTGCTGATAAGAATAAGTAAAAAAGTTCGTACAAATGAATGTCCTAAAATGCTTAGTTTCGGAGATACAGAGTGTAGAAGTTTCATTTTTATTTCGATTTTTTCCAAATAACTTCTGAAGTAACGTCAATATTTGGATGAAACTTGGTATCTGGGAGAGAAATATTTGATATGAGAAATTTGATTTTGATGTCAATATGACTCCTACTTGTATAGGGCGCCACCTACATATTTTTAAGTGGTTTGAAGAGTCATAACTTTTCGTCCGTACCTGTATAAAACTACTCAGTAAAAAAAATATAAATTTACGACGTTTTTAACGTAAAAAAGGTCTCTTAATAAAAATCGCTACTAGTAACAGTTCTCGAGATATTTGAAATCCGAATTATCAATACCTGTCACCATTGACATAAATTAAACATGTTGACTAAATAGTTAACAGACTGAAATCAAAAATTTGAAACGTTTTTGTGCCAAATCATCATCAATCATCATTTTTTTCGAAGAAAATTTTGATTAATTTAAAACAATAAAAATTTCCTAAAATAATCATTTCAGTCAAATAACTATCTACTAAACATGTTTATTTTTTGTCAATAATGACATGTATTGACTATTTCCATTCTAAATATCTCGAGAAGGGTTGCTCGTAATGATTTTTACCAAGAGACATTTTTTACGTAAAAAATTACGAAAATGTATATTTTTTTATTCAGTAGTTCTATACAGGTCCGAACAAAAAGTTATTACTCTTCAAAACAGTTAAAACACATGTAGGTGGCGCCCTCTACAAATAGGAGTCATAATGACATCAAAATCAAAGTTATCATGTCAAAAAACTACCAGACACCAATTTTCATCCAAATATTGACGTTACTTCAGAAATAATTTGGAAAAAATGGAAATAAAAATGTAACTTCTGCACCCTGTATCTCCGAAACTAAGCATTTTAGGACATACATTTATAAGAACTTTTTTACTTCTTTTTATCTGCAGAATATGCTACCGAAGTTTCCGGAATACAGTTCGGACCACCCTTTATATTCTCATCAGAGTAAAGTAAAAAGATCTTTTATCATATAATGTATTTGTTCTTCTTTCTAGTACCTGTAAATGAGCTATCAACAAATTTGGGGAAATTAGATTGTCGTCTGTCTAAATGGACAGAATGGTCTAAATGTGTAGCACTAGATGGAGATTGCGGTCATGGACACAAGATGAAATATAGACACGTGGAGGTACTTAATGATTTGGCTAAATTTAATTAAATAAAATTGAAAACTTTGCCTTAGTGGAATTTTAGAATCAATTAAGCATAAGGTACTAATTTTACTGTACAGGGTGGGTCAAATTCGACCCTTTTAAATGGAAACGCCCTTTTCTATAGGAGATAGACAAAAACTAATATTGGTGTCTGGAGCTCAATTTTTGTCAAAAACATGATGGTGAAAACCGCATATCGATATCTGCTACCGTTTCGGAGTTACGGGGTGTTTTTCAAAAATATGCATTTTTAACAAATCGCTGTAATTTTTTTGCTATGGAAATGTATTTTTATGAAAACATTTCCAAAGCACCTTTTTATGTAGAATTTAGTGGTTTAAGTATAATTTTTTTAAAATTAATAATTTAAGAATTATCAACATAAAATTTGATTTTTTATATGGGACACCCTGTATATTTTTAATTTATTGAATAGAATTTAAAATTACCTTTCGAAAATATAACACACTTGATATTTTGCTCCCCTTCGAGATATAGAGTATATAAAAATTCCCCCGCTTTAAATAAATAGGCTTTGAACGGCACCGGCTGTAATCCAAAAAAAAATCTAGCTGTGAGCATCAATTAAAACGAAAATAATATTTGCTATGAGAGATGCAGAATTTTATAACAATTTAAAATATATTTAACCTACATCAACACATTTAAACTATATCTAATAACAATAAAAATAAATAGTAAACCAAGACATGAGATTTTTCTACAGGTGTTCGACATATCGACCGTCTTCTGTTATGGACAGACGGGGCAGTGTTTGAACATTTCTCGCGGAATTCATTAACTCAGTGGGAGTGAAAAATACCCTCTCATTACTGCTAATTATTTCTAATTCTTGTCTAGATTATACAGAAGAATACGGAACCTTTATTCTTCCGCAAATATATCCATAGGATTAGATCCATAGGCACTAAGTCAGGCGGCCTCGACGGTCAACGGCTGGGATCTTAGTTAGCTATTCAATTATTTTTGAAATTGGCTGCAAAAATTTGCTGATAACTTCAGCGTTCAGAGGCGGTGCGTGGTCTTGCTGGAAAAATATGTTTTTTTGGAGTTCCATTAAGAGTATATCATCAATAAGGGGTCCAAAGCCTACTAGTTAAAAGTGGCGAACTTTTAAAAATTCTGTATTTCAAAGGGGATTATAACAAAATATCAAGTGTGCTATATTTTTGGAAAGGTAATTTTAAAACCTTTTCAGTTAATTAAAAATATAGAGGGTGTCCCAAATAAAAAATCAATTTTTCTGTTGATAACTCTTAAATTATTAATTTTAAAAAAATTATACTTAAACCATTAAATTCTACGTAAAAAGGTGCTTTGGAAATGTTTTCATAGAAATACAAAATTTTCCATAGCAAAAAAGTTACAGCGATTTGTTAAAAATGCACATTTTTGAAAAACACCCCGTACCTCCGAAACGGTAACAGATATTGATGTGCGGTTTTCACCATCTTGTTTTTGATGAAAATTGAGCTCCAGACACCAACCATTTACTGAGTGTTTCTCAAAAATGGCTTGCCCCTACAACTTTTTTATTTTTTCGGATAAAAAAAACGAGATATGGTATGTTAGCATATGACATAAATTGAGGTAATAAATTGTTTTCGGTCACTTCTTGTTTCACAGGAAATGACTACAAGTTTATGATTTTTAAATGGCACCCTTGGTATTTTGTTACTTTATTCGATAGAAAATGAATAGAATATATGTCATAGAATGACATCATATGTCAACTTTTGATTTTCGCTTAAAAAAACGTATTTTACTTAAGGTTCAATCTAGAGTAAAAATTAAACACTTAATTTTTAATCAAGGAGAGTTAGAAAAATAGATTTGATCGTCTAATGTTTTTCGTGTCTTATCCTGGCCGGTTAAAAGATGCCCAAATCGTATTTTTAATCATATCTCATTTTTCTCAAATGGAACGAGGGTGACTCAATAGCATATTATTTGGAAAATGATTTTTTTTACAAATAACTTGGCATACCACACACTTGATACCTTGAGTTAAATTGTCATTATGAACCGCATATTACAATTTCAAATAAACCATTTGGTACAAACCAAACCAAACCAGAGTGTTATATTCTATCGAATAAGGTAAAAAAATACAGAATGTTTCATTTAAAAATCAAAAGTTGTAGCCATTTCCGGTGAAACAGGAAGTAACCAAAAACATTTGAATTGCCCTGATTTAGGTCATATAAAAAAGTACAAATCTCGTTTTTTTTAGTTGAAAAAATAAAAATGTTATAGGGGTGCGCCAATTTTGAAAAAAACCCTGTATACCTCATTTTGTATGATCATTCGATTTTCAATTACTATAATGTTTATTTGAGTTTCTCTCTTCGAATTGTTCTTTTTTTAATTTTAGATCTACCCATTGAATGGAGGCAAACAATGCTCAAAGAAAATGATTAAAAAGAAGAAATGCAGTATACTATGCAAAAAATAAACTAAAAAATATACTTACCTAAATGTCATATCATCATTATTATTATTAACCGATGTTAATATGCGTTAGCATTAAGAATATGTTACTACGAAAAATAATTTGAAATTTGATTTTAAATAATCAATTATCAGTCTGTGTTAACTGGACTTAGTCTAACGCATACATACCAAAAAAAACTGATGTTATTATATAAAAATATCAAACTAAATGGACAATAAAATGGTATAAGAGAATTAAACGTATAATTTAAGTTCCAGCTTCTCAAAAATAATTATTATAGACCTAAAATGATATAAACTAGCGTAAAATTTCATATAGGTTGCGCTAGGAATTTCGAAACAGCAAAATGGCAGAAAATTCCAGAAATAGTCACATTGATTAACATTTATCTCTTTGCAATAATCGCAATTTGATAATAACAAGTCTGACGATGATCACGAGTATCTAAATAACTGTTCAAGTGAGCAATGAGTCCCAGACCCCTTTAACAATTTTAAATAACTTAAGTTTTAAAGATAGGTAAGTAAGAAATCAATGCTAAAATACTAATAAATTATTTATATTTCGATATTTGTTGATAACATTTTGTTTATAGTCCATTTTTATTCACATTGACCCAATATTTTTCTAGGTTAATACTAAGTCGCCACTGAAAATCTTATCTTGTAAAAATATTAACGAACACAAACCTGACCACAAACGTACTCAAGAAAAAAGATGATGAAAGTAAAAACCAAAAGTTTTCTAAAAAATTTCTTTATTTTTTCGTTAATGATATTAGAATCCTTTTGTCACAAATGCGACTTACTCAAATCAGATCTGGTCATGACAGAGCAAACCAAACCACATACCGCGAAATACTACTTGGATATTGTGGATAAACCGGAGAGGTATGTTCCAGAAGAACGTTACGAGGGTAAGTCCAAAAGTGTTGAGCATTTAATAAGTTTAAATATTAATTGCATGTTCTTTACAGTAACACTTAAGGGAGATATGTTTGTGTATACGAACCCAAAATTCAAGAGGTTTATGATTACTTTAGAGTCAAAAGCAAACCCTGATGATGACGATAGCGTAACGTATCAGACTGGCAAATTTGTGCTGGGAGAAGATGGTTTATCTAGGTTTAGTGATAAATGTAAGGATACTGTATTGGAGGCAAATACGCAACCGAAAAGTCAGGTAATTTAGCTCATAGTTTTTAGATAACTTGTTCATTAATAGTTTTTTTTTCTTATATTAAAACTTATATTAAACTTATATTTTTCCGCACTTTAATGCATTAAGAGTCCATTTCATTAGTCCGAAAAAGAGTAGCAAAATAAGCGTTCGGCATTTGACGTTTTATGTAAAACTGGCTAGGTATTTTTACACAAATGAAGAAGGAAATTAAAGATAAAGGATTATACTATATCCGTATTGTAGCTCATTTTAAGACAACAGCTTTATTTTTAAAATTTTGATGGTCAAGCATCAACAAAATATTCCTTATGTTTGGACTAAATTTTCTGGAAAATAAAGACATAATTTAAAATTCCGTTACAATACGGAAATAGATTGAAGTTTTGTGATTACAGTGATATACAGGGTTGTTCACCACATACGACACGGAGTATTGTAGCCAAACGATTAGATTTTTACAAATTGTAAGTTTTGAGTTCGTTGAAGGACTATTAGAGCTACAATTTAAAAATATTTTTAGTGTCCCAAATAAATAAAAAATATCAAAGTTGTATTTTTTTAAATGAAACAGCCTGTATATTATTGCATTTTTAGTTTCTACGATTAAAATAAAGGTAAATTTGATTAAGGTTTATTACACTTAAACCTTACCGTTTTTGAAATATTTTCAATTTCGTGAAATTGCAGTATAAATTTTAAGGCTTCATTTCCCCGAGGGTAAGAAAGTTTTTAATACTAAATATTTACTGAAGTTTATTTATTGATCAGTTATTGTGTTGCATTAATAAAAATTATACTACCTTATACAGAGTGTCTAAAAATTTATTTTAAATAATTACTAGCTTTAAACGGCAATAACTTGTTTAATCTAAATGGAACACCCTGTATATTTTATGAGAATCAGATGCACAATTTAATTGTCTATCAAATTATATTATACCACTTTTTACCTATTCCTTCAAGTTTTCATAGAAAATGCATTTTCTTATAATTTAGACCTCATTTATCAATATACCCATGGAATGTTGACATTTTAGATTGTTTTTAAAACAACAAATGTACAAAATGTACAGTCTAGTAATATTATCGTTTTTAGTAAAACGATAATACCAAAACGATTTTTTATTTATTTGGGATTTTTAAATTGTAGCTCTAATAGTCCTTCAACGAACCCAAACCTTACAATTTGCAAAAATCTAATCGTTTAGTTACAATATTCCGTGTCGTATGTGGTGAACAACCCTGTATAATATATATGGTTTTGTAAGAAATTGCTCGCTATTTTATGGCAAATTCTGAAGCTCTACAAAATGTAATCAAGCCTTAATCAAAGCACGTGTGTTTGGAATTTTGGGTGTGGCTTAACACGACAGTATCGGGCTAAGCCTTAGGCAGATTTTTGAAATATTATATAATATATTTCCTTCGGCCACACACCCGCTTTACCCCACCCCTGAGAGCAACCCGAAAGTACAATGTAATGGACCCTTAATGCTTTTAATGCATTACAACCCAAGTGAGAAATTGTCTTATGCCTACTGGAAAACGATATAATAATTATATCGTATATCTTAAATACACAGTCTACATTTCAAAGACTAGTCCTGAAAAAAAACAAGCGCATGAGTCTCATTATCATTATAGTATTTGTTTTTTTTTTATTTTTACGGACTTGGTTAATATAAACTACCCGACACAAAATTCCGCCACCCTAAAATTTTGACTAAGTTTAATATTTCATAACTTTTTAATGATATTAGTTTGTAGATAAATGTGTTGGCATTATTTTTTATTGTTTTAATGGCTTATATATTTCGGTTGTGTGGGCTTATACCGGGGTAAATCAAAATATCGTTTCTTGCTACCAAACCAATCCAAACCTAACATTTCGTTTTTTGAATTATCCTATTATCTCTATTCTTTTATGAGCTACAGATTTTCAAATAAAATACTGATATTTTTACAATCTTGAATTTGTTGAAAATGGAGCTCTCAATGCCCACCGTTATATTGAGGATGTCTTCGTCGAAGAAATTGTCGTTCCATTTGCTCTTTTCATTGGAAATCAGTTTATACTGATGCATGATTATCATGGCATTAGCCAGTCCCCACGTTGCTCGGGGTAAAGAGTTAGGAGTACGAGTAGTGAACGAGTACCTGAATGAGGTTGGACTACGAAGATTGGAATGGCCTCCTTGTAGTCCCGACCTCAATCCAATCGAACAGTTGTGCGATACACTTAAAAGTAGGCCTGTTCCAAACACCGGAATACCGTTCTAACACCGGTGTTGGGCTGACACCGGTGGCCAAATATGGGCTATCCGATGTTCCGGTGTCGACACCGACAACGGTGTTGGCACCGACCGGTATTCATTCACAACACCGGTGTTTATCTCGACACCGGTGTTGGTCTGGACACCGGTGTTCATCTCGATACCGATTTTGATTACGACACCGGTATTGATATGGACACCAGTGTTTGGTAAACGGGTTAAAGAAGAAATAATGTTAATTAATAAGTTCAAAATAAACCTGATAATAATAATGTCGTATCGATGCTTATTTTTATCGTTTATTAAAGCGCACCGACATAACTTAATACTTTCAAATTTAAATATATTTTATTTGCCAGACTAATCACTAAAATAAAGTGGAAGCGTCAGATAAACAACTATAAAGTAAAAAATTGTTTAATCAAAAACAAACAGAAAACAAAACAAAACATAAAGAAACAAAAATTCGTAGCTGTAAAATAAACTAAAAAATATTACATTAAAAAAACTAAAAAAAAACAAACAAACGGCACCATCGACATCGACGGTGTTGTTTATCTCAACACCGGTATCGCGATGAACACCGCTGTTGTAGATGAACACCGGTGTTGTAGATGAACACCGGTGTTGTAGATGAACACCGGTGCTGTAATGAACACCGGTGTTGAGATAAACACCGGTGTCGATGTTGACACCGGTACACCAACTGAATCACCGGTGGTCATCAACACCTAACAATGGTGTTCAAATCTCAACACCGAATAGGTCTACTTAAAAGAGCTGTTCGTCGTCGTCTATTCCACCACAAACTTTACAAGAGCTATGACTAGCATTAAAGGGGATTCCTAAGTTAATGTTCCTTAGCTCCTGTGAAGGGTTTTCTTGATATATAGCTTGATATTCATTAAGCTATAGATCAAGAAAGAATAACTACCCTTATTCATTTGATAAGGCGAAGGCCTCGAGCTGTTATTGCTGCGAGAGGGATATACACGCTATTAAAATTATTATGAAATTACTGTTTTTGTCAATAAAAGAATCTCCGAAATCAATACTTAAAAGTGTGTAGCTCATAAATAGTATATTTATATTAGACCTAAAATAGCCGAATAGATGAAAAAAATTATAAAGTTTTGATATGTTGAGATTAGACGCACCAAAAGGAGACTTTTCAAAATCAAAAGAGTTCTTAACTCTAAAGTGTGAGCTTCACCCCAAAAAAACACCCCCAATACGCCCTTCGATGTTTTTTCGCTTTTTTCTCAGTCCCACAAAAAATGTTATACTTACCAAAAATATTCCTTATAATTTGCTACAAAAAAGGTTCTATTCATTATTTATATTTATCCAATGCATTTCGAACAATAACCGTTTGAAAAATAGAGTACAAAAAAATACAGGTCGCCTTTCAAATTATAGTCTTCCAAGGTGTTTTAACGTGCTAAATATACACGCAACAGATATAATACTGTATAACATTTCATGCTGGCTTTATTGCAACTGCATCTTTTTACACAATCTTGTTTGCAGTTGCGCGTTATTAATGACATAATTGAAGCAGGGGCGGGCGATTCTCTTGTATATAAAGGTGACAGGGTGTTGTTGATTTTCTTCCAGCCCCACTGGTCGAGTTTTATAGGTTGTTCTTGCCATATTTGTACTTAAAGATATGTTCTGCGGGAATGTTGCCTAACTGCAGTAGATGTGGGAGGCAATTTTGATAAAAGTACCGTGCTGTTTGCTTGACCAACTAACTTTCAATAAGTTAGTTAACAAGCGTATCTTAGTTTCAACAAGCGTATCATTGCTTACTAAGGCTCCCTTCAGATGATTGAAGTTTGTATGGTTTCAGTATAAACGTCTCTCCAGCTTTTTTCAATTTCTTCAGGTGTTGACTTTGCGTTGTTAAAAATATCGACGATAAAAGACCTTGGTCTTTTTCTTTATTAAATATTTGTACGTGTTGTTGTTTTCCTTTTCCAAAAAATCCTGGTGTTGTGTCACACCCGCTAATAGCGTGAATAAATAAAATTGATTTTTTTAAATTACGTATAATACTGGATGATTGCAAGTCTCTCGAACTATACATTCGTTGTTTCACATTACCTTCTTTCAGAAAAAGAATGTCTTTTTCATCGGGGGAAAGTGCTGCTAATAAAACAACAAGATCGACATCTTGTCCAACGACTAGAACTTGTTCATTTTTCTCAGATATTTGGATGGCAGTACGAATAATTTGAACATCAGCAAACAAGATTGTGTAAAAAGATGCAGTTGCATTAAAGCCGCCATGAAATGTACAACTGTGTGCGGAACCTGTCGTGGGCAAAGTTGTTCGAATACTGAGCACATTCTAGAAACTATAGACGATGACAATATGTAGATGAAAGTATGAATGTTAGTTTAGTGGAATAGGCAATGTTTTTGTTTATATTATACAGTATTATATCTGTTGCGTGTATATTTAACACGTTAAAATACTTTGGAAGACTATAATTTGAAAGGCGACCTGTATTTTTTTTGTACTCCATTTTTCAAACGGTTATTGCTCGAAATACATTGGATAAATATAAATGAATAGAACCTTTTTTGTAACAAATTTTATAAGGAATATTTTTGATAAGAATAAAATTTTCTGTGCGACTATTTGTTTTCGAGAGAAACGAGAAAAACCACCGCAGTGCGTATTGGGGGTGGTTTTGGGGGGTGAAGCTCACACTTTACAGTTAGGAACTCTTTTGATTTTAAAAAGTCTCCTTTTAGTACGTATAACCTCAACATATCAAACTTTATAATTTTTTTTTTCTAAATATGCTAATATCAACGTACTAAAAAGAATACAGATAATGGGATAATTCAAAAAATAAAATGTTAGGAATACACCTAAGATTACAGGAAAATGTTTTTTTATCTAATATGCCCGTCTCATTTCATGCCCGTCAAATTTTTAGGATGGCGAAATTTTTTGCCTGCCGGGGCGTATATTTAGTTTTATGTTTAGTTTGATAATTAATTGTTAATTTTTATTAACGGCGTTATTCAAGTAAAATACATGATTAATAATATGGTGTTTGTGGACTTATTTCGGAAATTTTCGCGACAATCCTAAAATTAATAATTAGTGTCAGTTCATCTTGAACAATAGAGTCCATAGTTAAAATCAAAAATTTAATAAAAATATTGTCGAAATATGTTTAAAATATGCACTGAAAAATATTACAAATATTACATGCATTTAAGAAAGAAATCAAATATACAGGTCCGTTCAAAAATCTCAGGTGACCTTAATATGGAAAGCTCCGCCTTCCAACAGTGGGTGCGTATCTCTTAGGGCTCTAGTAATGGAATCTAGAGAAAAATGGTACGAAACAGACGAGTTCCTTTTCAACGGTCCTCTAGTGAAAACCATTTGCGAAGATTTCAACGAAAACGAAGACGTCCTTCCTGAAATTGAAAAGATCTGCTGTTCTTGCGACGAAGCTAAGTATGAGCTAGCTTTCGAAGGGAAATGGGTACGAAATATGCATCCAAAAGGTACAAAAATCGTCAGAATTATTAATAAAACATGTTACTTTTGTGTTTAATAAAACTGTAGGTTTCCCTGAAGATATTTGGACCACTAGATTTGGAAATATAGTGGGTGCGTCCCACAAAATTAACCATGAATTCTGGAAGGAAGATTCTGAAGCTAGCGAAGGTTTGAAGGAGCTAGCTTTTAATGGAAGCACAAAAAAACTTGAATCAGAATTAATGGGTAAACTGGGTTTATCGCGTTCTTTCTCTATTTCATAATTTTCTATGCTACTAGTATCATTTTCATCCATTGTTCTTTATGACAATTTGATGTATTTAACACATTTTATATACTTTTGTACTGGTTTTTATTGTACAATAATAAGAAAACAAGATTAAATAACATCCAAATGCAAAAATTATAGGTACGAGTTTTTATGATACCTATACAGAGGTTGTCCTAATATTCCGTGGACATATACCTATTGATAAGGTATATAATAAGTTTATTGGACACAATTTACCTCAAAAGTGCTTTGTTTGCAAGCAGGGCATCAAAGTTTGAAAAAAATATACACATTTTTTTTAGATATTTTAAGAATCGTTATTCCGATTTGAATGAGATTTTGGGTGTCTATGTCTTGTTAAGTACTTTAACATTTGACTTTCACAATCAAGAAAACGTAAGGGAAGGGTAAAAACTACCCCTACCTCTACATAAATTATTATTATTATAAATATTTTCCAACTCCACCGACGACATTTTTTTTCTTTTTGTAAAATGGTCCCTTTAGTATATACTACATTTTTTGTCTCTTGTAAAAACGCGTAAAAAGTATATCGAATAGTTTTTGAGAAAAAAAAATTTTTGGAGAATTTATTTTTCCAAAGCAGACCTACAAAATATACAGAGCGTTCCAATATTGCGTGATATTATTAGATCATAGCCAATTATTATAATATATCCAATATTATTAGAGCACAATGCGCGATTTTATACGCCTCCATTGCTTGATGTGACAAAATACATTTTTGGCATTTTTTAGCCAGCTTCGAAAAAATTTTTTTTTTCTTCAGAAAGTATGCGCGGAGGCGTTTTTTTCACAAAAAAATAAAAAATGTAGTAAATACTAGTATGATCATTTTACGAAAAAAAATCGGCCGTTTATTGAGTAAAAAATTATTTATACTAAAATGTATGTATGGGTGGGGTAGTTTATACTCTTCCCATACTTTTTATGATTTTTATGAAAATCAAATGTTAAAGCACTTAGCAAAACATAGACACCCAAAATCTCATTCAAATCGGAATAACGGTTCTTAAAATATCTAAAAAAATATGTTATTTGTTGAAAGTTTGATGCCCTCTAGCGGAAAAACGAAGCACTTTTATATAGAGGTCCAATGAACTTATTTCGATTCCAAAAATACGTAGTAGCTCTATGTCCACGAAATATTGGGACACCTTGTATAGGTACTAGTATAGAAAGTTCTGCGATCGAGAACGAACCACAGTAATTTAACACTAATAATTATTAAATAACATTTTAGCAAATATTGCTAACTTGAGAACAGTAATAAAAGCAAGAGGAGTTGCCTATCCAGACATTACATCGTCCTCATACGCAATATTTAAAGTAGATAGTGAAAACCATTTAGTTTCTTTAGTAACCAAGATGATACCCTCACCAGATTGGATTGTTGGTCAGGAATACTATATAAAGCATCGAATAAAACAACTGTGTAATATTCTGTCCCTTCAGGACTATCCAATATGGAATTATGCCTATCCAACTGCTCATGGAGACAGTCGAGATCAGTAAACTTGTATCCCTGGGATGTAGGAACTGACGATGCTCTGGAATATACGGAAAGTCAGCCATCTACCAACCCCCAGTCAGTGATTACCAAAATTACTTCGTCCAACCCTGCGGATCCCAAGTCTCCATTCTACGACGAAAATGGAAACAAGATGAATCCTATTGCAACGATTCATTTCAAGCTGGAAAAAGTTATTAAAAAAGAATGCGATCCCAACAGGTCAGTATCTTTCATAAGTAAAATAAACCAGGGAATAAGATTTAAATATACAGAGTGTCTCTTTAATAAATAATTTAAGAACTAGTAGGTACATGGAAAATTAAAACAACTTTGGGTGCACGTCATCAATGACACCATGCGTCGTCTTAAGCCTAGTTTATGCACTTATTCAAGACCTTGAAAGCGACCAATTGCAAGGCAAACAGAACGTATTTCGTAATTCACAAGGCTTTATGGAGTTTGCTGGTGGTCGTATTATAATGTGCAAACAAAGTTATTTTAATTTCTCTTTTATATTTATGGTAATTACTAGGATTTCCATAAAGGTTTTGGGAAATTCCGGACAAGTGAACTGAGAAATCCGGACAAATGAACTTTGAAATCCGGATAAAATCTGGACATCGCCGTCGCCGCGTCGCGTCAGTCGCGTCGCAAAAAAGAAACTACAAATTTATTTATGAATTTTTATAGGGCGCAAATAATAGCCCCGAAATCAACAAAATGTATAGCAAACCTAGTAACCCACTAGTAATTACAAAATACAGTATGAGAGAATTTTTATAAAATAGTTTTTTTTATAAAATAGTTTATACAGGGTGTCCCACTTAAGATGGATACAAACCAATATCTTGTTTGTTGAGCGATCTTTTTCATTTTTGGCAGGAGGCTATATGGCTATAAGACCTACATTTTGCCCAGGGTAATAAATGCGATACCTCATAGACGTTCGTTTTAATGGGGTTTGATATTTTTCGAGTCAAGAGTAAACTACCCTTAGGACCATAGATTTAGTAAGAACAGATATCACATTGTGCATTTTAACCCGATCAAACAATCGGAGGTTGACTACGTACTGTAAAAACCAACTGAGATAGAAAAGGCGACATTACCACATCTCAAATTTGCGCCTATCTACTTAGTTTGATTTGCAGAAAAGGTGACTTTAAAACCTTCACCGGATATCAATAAATCTCAATTTCTTATTAAATTAATAGTTTATTTTTAAAGAAGCATGCGTAATAATATGTTATTAACCAGAGGATATATGCGTTACTATTAAAGGACATGTTTACTGTTTAATGTGCTGAAACGTTTAGAACTATTGGCAACGTCGCTGCTAGTCTTCCAGAATGAAATGAGCCGTCCGTCCCACCACCCCTCGCGACGGCCCTTGGTCCGTTATAGCGTACTACATTTAGCTTACGGTGTGTTTGAAGTCGGAATCAAGTCCGAAGAGAACTTTTCAGTGTTTTTCAGTAGTTTTTGTTTTTGTTTAACGTACTTTTGAATCTGCGAATTTTCAATATGGTAGGACAGTGTCAAATGTCAAATTACCCGAAAAATAAGCTCAAATTACCCGAATTTGTCTTTTCACAGGTAGGTATTGTTTCCGCTGTCATCGTACATAGGCGTCTCACAAGGGAGCCTCTCACAATTAAAATAATTTCTAATTATATTTATTGAATTTTGATCTATTTAAACAAGAACGTAGCAGCCGGTAATTGAATTATAATTCCTCTCAATTACTACCTAACTGTTGTAGATCATAACGAATTTGAATATAAACGTTGCATTTGAAACTTTATTATAAGCCAGAAAGTGACATTTTTTTAAAATTGCGTCATATTTTGGTCATTATATACGATATTCTAAAGGAATTTTGCTCAACAAATAAACAAAGGTGTTTAGCCGACCTTTTTTACATTTTATTGCTTCATTATATCTTATATCTGCCCCTTCGGTCTTGTTTAGACAAATTTTTACCACCGTACAATACAAATACCTCTTCCTAGAGTTATTTGTACGATGTGTTTACCTTGTTTAGAATGGGACGAACTGTAAATAATTCTTGGGCTACTAGTTTTATACATACCTATATACAGAGTGACCCAGGCCTCCAAAAAAGCTTTTTACCTATTACGTTTTTGGTTTGTGATTTTTATTTCAATCTTTACATAAGATCGGGGCCATTGTAACGCACATTTCAAAATATTTTGCCAACATACAGGGTGATTCAAAACGCAATACATATGCTTAATACAGTTCATGAAGATTGGGACGTTTAACTAAAATTTGATTGTTTGATTAAGCTACCTAAGTAATGGATTTGTAAATAAACGTAATATTCATTATTATGCGACAGAGATCCCATACTGTAGCACACAGATTTGATACTTTTAATGATAAATGTCCTCTATTGAGAGACTAAAAGGTAATTGCCTCGTATCAGAGCCATCATAATACGAGAAGAAGACCGAAAGTCAAATCTTGTCGTATATTTTCAAAAAAACACAATTTTCTTATTAAAATAAATATTGATTTTAGGTATAGGAAGCTATTAATAATACAAGATTAAACAACTATTACACAGTACTTCACAGGAAGCTATTGATTGCGAACTAACTAAATCGTTACTAATTACTAATTTTGAAAAGTTCTTTTTAAGATCAAAAAAGGTAAAACTAAAACCTAAACTATCATTTGAGATTAAACGGGAAGTCCTAAATAATGTTGCCTATTCTAAACAAGAAAAATTTATTTATAAGTTTTATAACATCTCTAATAAAATTTGGACGAAAATAATATTTCTGTTTGCTGTAGGTAATTTTGTCAGGGAAAATACGTAAATAAAAATGACTTTTTAAGTCAAAAAAAGTCAAAAGGACAAGTTATTCCAAAAAAGGACTGTCCTTTTCAAAAAAAAACAGGTGGCAACCCTAGGTATTTCTGGAATGAAAATTTAATGGCAAATCTACAACTTTAGTTTGAAAATATGTTCCGGCCACCTATGATTACAAAAATGTCTAAAAGGTGCTTTACCATTGCCTCCATATTCTAAAAAAAAATTGAAAGAAAAGTCACCAACCACAAATCTAATATAGAACTGTTTCGGAAGCCTAAGTCACCCTGTAAATATTCAAAAGTAACTGAAAGTTTATATAGAAGTAACTGAAAGTTTAAATTGAATATCGACGTTGGAGCGATTTTCGAAAACTACCTATTAACGTTTCAATATAAGTATATGTGGGAGATTAATTATATTATTATATTAGACCTTATAACAAAACTCATCTAACGTAAAAAGTGTTAATGAAGTATATTAATATGGAGTAAAAATTTTACTAATTACTTTACTTTTACTTTACTAATTAAATTCGTTCCAAAAAACGATACGCCGCTGGCCATTAGAACAATTCAAATGCGCCTAGTTGCCGGGGTTGGAAATTTTAGACTTCTCTGTCTCTTCTGTCCTTGTTTGACACATTGGAATGTTTGATACACTACCAACGAGTATTTATGAATGAGATGTACGGTCTATCTTTATAATGTCTTTGCTTAGGACAGTATTTATTTCAAATCTGATAAATTATATTGAACCCTCCTTACTCAAGATACTTAAGTTCTAATTTTGATAAATATTGATACAGGGTGTGTCATTAAAACAAGACATTTTTATTGTATCATAAAAATGCAGGTCCGTATTTAAAAAAATTAAGTTGGCCTCTGTATCTCACAAATTATCAGCTAATTTGAGAATCTAAAAATACCTACTATCATATAGTCCTAATAAAGTGGCTATGAGAATGTACAACTAGTTCTTTGATTTTCTAAAAAGTAAGGACAGGAAAAACTAAAATTGATTATCAAAAAATTTCTTTTCAAAAAAACTCAGCAATTAATTCTTGGAATTTCAGCAACCCTTGCAATCCTATGAAAATATAGTTGGCGACTGAAGCTATACCTACTTTTAACGCTATGAGTTCATATACCGGGTGCGTCTCAAAAGTGGCTTACCCCTATAACTTTTTTATTTTTTCAGTTAAAAGAACGATATTTGCTGTTAGTATATGACATAAATTAGGATTGACTGACGTATTCAATTGTTTTCGGTCACTTCCTGTTTCACCCTCGGTATATTTTTTACTTTATTCGATACAAAATAACACTCTGAATAGAATGACATATCATATGTCAACTTTTGACATTTTCGCATATGGTTTATTTCAAATTATAACTTGCGGTTCGTAACGAAAATTTTACTTGAAATACAAGTGTGTGGTATCAAATTATTCGTAAAAAAATGCTTTTTCTAAATATGCTAATGAGCCACCCCTCTTTCCATTTGAAAAAATGCGGATATGATTAAAAATACGATTTGAGCATTTTCTAACTGGCCAGGATAAGACACTAAAAACATTAGACGATCAAATCTATTTTTCCATGGCTCCTTGATTAAGAATTAGTGTTTTTAACATAGCCATGGCACCCTAGATTGAATTTTAAAATACGATTTTTTATTAAGCGAGAATGTCAAAAGTTGACATATGATATGTCAGCCTATTCAGAATGTCATTTTCTATCAAATAAAGTAAAAAAATATCGATGGTGCTATTTAAAAATCAAAAGTTGTTGTCATTTCCGGTGAAACAAAAAATGACGAAAAATAATTGAATACGTCAACCAATCCTAATTTATGTCATATACCAACATACCAAATCTCGTTTTTTTATCTGAAAAAATAAAAAAGTTATAGGGGATGAGCCACTTTTGAGACGTTGTTGAGATGTTGAAACTAAAATACTTTAAATTAATAATAATATTTAGAACCCCACCATCAGAAGAGACTGAAGTAGAAGAAGACGAAGCCATGCCCTCGGTGAGATCCGGTTGTGAAACAACTGGATGGAGTCAATGGTCCAGTTGTAGTGTTCCATGTGGACGGGGCCATATGACTAGAAACGTACGTTTCAAGCACAGTCCTGGCCCAAACGACTGCACTCAAATAAAAAAGGAAGAGACGGTGGAGTGCAACGCTTCCTGTCAAAGCGGAGAAGAAGTTGGAAGAATATGTCCAAATATTATTTGGGGTGCTTGGTCTCCCTGCAGTGTAGCTTGCGGTAAAGGCTGGAAGCAAAGGTATAGAGTACCCAGTGACGATGATGACGAAGATGAGATTGATAAAGAATGTCCCAATAAAGAAGAAGTAGAATGCTATGAACCTGACTGTTAAATTATTAAAGCAAAAATAAAACAAAATGTATGCAGGATTTTTTTACATAACGTGTTCAATATATTTTTAGGTTTTAAATTTGTCCTATTTTTAATATTTTCTATTTCGTAACTACTTCCGATTAAACCGGAAGTACTACCTATAATTTGCTTATTTTAGATAAAACTAGACAGAGTGGTCCGAACTGCATTCCGGAAACTTCAGCAGCATATTCTGCAGATAAAAATAAGTAAAAAAGTTCGTATAAATGTATGTCCTAAAATGCTTTATTTCGATTTTTTCCAGTAACGTCAATATTTGGATGAGAATTTGTGTCTGATAGTTTTTTGACATGAAAAATTTGATTTTGATGTCAATATGACTTCCATTTGTAGAGGGCGCCACCTACGTGTGTTTCAACTAGGTATTTTGAAGAGTAATAACTTTCGTGCTTACCTGTATAAAACTACTAAGTAAAAAAATATACATTTACGGCATGTTTTACGTAAAAAATGTCTCTTGGTAAAACTCGCTACGAATAACCGTTCTCAAGATATTTAGAATAGAAATAGTCAATACATGTCATTATTGACAAAAAATAAATACGTTGAGATAGTTATTTGACAGAAATAATAAATTCGGGAAATTTTGATTTATTTAAATTAATAATAAATTTTTCTGCGAAGAAATGATACAACAGTTTCTGTTGAACTTTTGGCACAAAAACATTTCAAATTAATAATTTCAGTCTAATAACTATTTAGTCAACATGTTTAATTTATGTCAATGATGACAGGTATTGATAATTTTGATTCCAAATATCTCGAGTACCATTACCCGTAGAGATTTTTCCCAAGAGACCTTTTTTACGTAAAAAGTCACGGAATGTATATTTTTTCACTCAGTAGTTTTAGAATGTAGAATGTTTAGGAGGGGAGTTAATCAGCGCGACCTTATAGATCTATTGTGTGTTCCCCTTTCTTGAGTTATAACGAGTTATAACTCATCATACAGTCTCAGGGCTTTAACAAAAGCCCGTATCTGAGACGGCTCCACAGAGGCCAGCTCTCCATCCTCGACATCAGACGTACCAAAGTTCATGGCACGAAATGGTAGTCGTCTCGGCGCACTCAGTGATAAGGTGTTTTGGTGTTTCCCCATTTTCACCACAAAATCTGCATTCGACGTTGTTCCTACTGAGGTGTTCGTTGAGAAGATAGTGTCCTGTTAGAAACCCCGTGACAATCCGAAGATTGTTTTTAGTTAAATCAAGGAAAACCTTTGATTTTTCTCGGTCATAAGTTCTGAGGAACTTTTTCGAGTATCTTAGATCATTGGAGGATACCCATTCCAACTTACGGATGGAGTCTTCCAGATTCTTCAGTTCCGCTTTCAACTCAGTAGTTTTATAAGTTATACGTACGAAAAGTTATTACCCTTCAAAACAGTTAAAACACATGTAGGTGGCGCCCCATACAAATAAGAGTCATGTTGACATCAAAATCAAATTTCTCATATCAAAAAACTCCCAGACAACAATTTTCGTCAAAATATTGACGTTATTTCAGAAATTATTTGGAAAAATCGAAATAAAAATGAAATTTCTACACCCTGTATCTCCGAAACTAAGCATTTTTGCACATATATTTATATGAACTTTTGTACTTATATTTATCTGCAGAATATGCTGCCGGAGTTTCCGGAATACAGTTCGGACCACCCTGTATATAAGTAATGTATTTTCCATTATACATTAAATTCTAATGCCCACTTGCACCGTTTGTATAAACTTTGTTTAAAGGCCATACTATACATATTTTATTGTAGTTAATCACTGTTTAGCCTTTAAACAAAGTTTATACAAACGGTGCAAGTGGGCATAAATGTTTAATCACCTGTCGAATAAATATTATGCCTATGAGTGCCTATGATAAAATAATACCATTTAAAAAAATTCTGACTTCTCCAAAAAAACCTACATTTTTGTATTTTATAAAGCATCTAACTAAAAGCAAATTCAATAATAAATATCTACAAAAGGCCGAAAGATGTACCTAAATACCTACTTGTACCGTATGATCGAAAAAAAACGGCGTCCAATTGTCTTGGAAATGAACATCGATGACACACTTTCCCCATATAATTTTACATATAAAATGATAGCGATCTTCATTTCGTAGCCATCGCTGAGGCCGTTTTCTCATTAATTCAGGTATTTTATTCTTTAAAATGAAAGTATTTCAAAATCGGTTAAACTTAAGTAAAGAATATTATAGGTACAAGTGTGTTTAGAATTTAATGTAGAATCCAAAACAAAATATAGAGGATGAGTGTTAAATAAGTGAAAACAATTCCAGGGCTGGTTTCGCTAGAAGAAACATATTTTCTCTTTGCCGTTGTTCAAATAAGTCCAAAATAAGAGAGTTAAGGCTTTACAACAGATTTTTACTATGGAAACTTAAAACAATTATTTCTGCTTAAACTTTTGAGAACCACTCAATCTTTTCTGGATTTTATTGTAAATTTAATCTACTATCATCTACCATCTACCTATGCTATATGTGCCACATTATCAAGATATGAATTTTAACTAATAATAAAAAAAATCCAGGCTATTTTTTCAAATTTTTGAAAAAAAAAACATAGACGTGTTTCTGGAGTCGAAATATACTAACCCTAAAATATTTGCACTTATGTATGACTCACCCTGTATAATTAGTTTTATTTTAAATAAACAAAAATTAGTAGCTAGGGCACGTTAAAGGTATTATTCATTAACCTGAAGGTGCCACGAAACAGAAACCAAAGATATTTTAAAAAATAATAGTAGTAAAAACTGTTTGTAATAAGGTTGTCCAAAAATCCATAAACTATGGATCGAAAAAAGCGTCACAAAATTTCAAATTTCTCATTTATGACGACAAAATATGTCAAAAAATATAAATGTGTATGAAATGTATTTACATTTCTTAATTGTCAATTTTTGGCAACTTTAATAATTTATTTTTTTATAAGTTGTGAAGCAAAACAAAGATATTATGGATCGTCACTTCAAAAACTGCCCTAACGACGTTTTTTCGATCACAAGATATTATATTCTATCTAACAAGAAACATAAAATATGCTGTTAGTTGTGTTTACTGTCTGTAAGATTCAGAATTTGTAAAAAAATATATTGATGGAAAATTAATTTAATTCATACTTAACTATTACTTTGTTTTATTTCTTTTAAATAATGTATAATATAGAGAATATTTGACAATTAAAAAAGAACATAAGCCACACATTGCTATGGATAAAATTAGTCATGAAGATTTATCATTAGTACCATCACTATTCCCACCACTGTTCTTTGATTCATTAGTCTGTTTTGGAGGAATAATCTGAAACTTTATATCTGATCCTTTTTGACGAGTTTGAAGAATTTTACCATATTGTTTCAAGTTATTTTCAATTTGTGAATATATATTTTCCTAAAAATCATAATATCAAAATAAAAATCTAATGAAATTTAATGCACATTAATTCTCCTTACAGCTTTTCTAGAATTATCTTTATCTCCATTAATAACGACGCGTATTTCGTATTTCTTGTCCAACCATTTGATGACCTTATTAATTTGAGTTTGTAAATCGTGTTCCGAAATATTCTGGCTTATCATCAGTACTTTTTCACCTTTAAAACCAGTTTTTTCTTTTTCTGCCTTCTTTCGCTCGCGTTGTTTTAAATCCTCTTGAAAATATTCCGCACCAGTCATAAGTTTGTAAACTGGTCTTTGTGTCTTTGTATCCAAATCGATAATTCTCACCAGCTTTAAATCTCTTCGTTTAGCTATTTTCTGGGCTTCCTCTAAAGTAGTGATAGTGATATCCTCGCCGTGTAAAAGGGTAACTTTTGGTATAATTGGAAGCTTTTTCTTTTTTATTTGGCCCGTCTCGGGATCCCGTTCAGCAACAATGTTCCTGACTGGTTTGTTTGAATAGTGTACATTGTTATAGCAGCTACATATTGAGCGGAAACTTTGGGATGGAATGCCAATATTTGTAAATTTAAAGATATTAATGGATCGTGTTATTAAACCCACAGACATTATTAAATAAAACCATTGAAATTGATCAACATTAAGGAAATTTTCCAACTTCTAACCTTATTTATTTGCTTGGTTATGTTTATCGTTTCTTCCTGTCAAAACTAATGCTGAACCCTACTTATCGATGTTCTAAAAATATCCATGTCTCGTTAGTGATTCTTGATTCTTGATGTCTAATGTGATTCTTCTGGTAAGTGGTAACCAGTGGTAACACCAAAGTTAAATGACTTTTTCTTTAGTTTAAACCAAGAGTTTAAACCATAATATTTTAAACGTTTTCTTGTAAAGCAAGTGTTTTCACAATCCTTCAAATCGTTTAATTTGATAACTGTTAGAAAGAAAAATTTCACTTCAAATATGCGCACATAGTGCACACACTGTTTTTTATAGAACTTTACATTTTTATTTCCTTGCACAAAATACAGAGTGAATTTTATTTGGTAATCTATTGTTTTTTTTTCTTCTATGGAAGCGTTTAATTTTAATATAAATTCTTAAACTGAGTTCTGAAGAAAATCTCAAGACTTCAAGATTATGTTGCATCCTTGTTAATATATAATTATGCAACGGTTGCATCAAAGAAACAATATAGGGATAGGAATATATAATATTGTAATTAAATTCAATGCATAATTTGTTATATTTGCCATAAACTGACACATACGAAAATGTAATGAGCCGACAATCAACGCAAATGTGAAGTTTGATAAAATTTTGTTTTAACGAAGGTAAGACTCAATTTTCAAATTTTAAATAGGTGTGAAGATTTTATATGTTAACATCGATAATGAACATCGATATTTTCTAAGGATCTCCCAATACTAATTCATTCTTCTTATCAAAACCTTTGGACTTTAGCATGATTGGGTAGGAGAAATCTCCATATCTCTGGTAGATAACAAGAGGGAAAAATAAATGGCGGGCTTTAATTTAAATTAAATAATTAACATTGAATTTTCCGTAAAAATATTATATAATGTACTATTCTCAAAATCTCTCTATAATATTTTCTTCAGATAATTTATGCTAAATTACTAAATTATAAAATTGACAATTATAATGTGTTCCATGAAAATACATTTTAAAACGCAATAAATAAAATTTTATTATTCACTTTTATTATTATCACTATCTATATAAAAACAAGGTACATAATTGAAAGGTGTCGCGCGAATCAGCGCATGTATGAATAAGCTATAAACACACAGTATAAACAACTCGAAGCACAGGTTTGATAAAAATAAATCGACTCCTACTAACAGCTGAACGATAAATTCAGAGTAATAGTTGCGATGGAGATACTCAGTCTTTTGGGTTGGGCATTATGGGTCTCTTGGATCACGCTCTTGCTGACAATTATCCTAGCTGCGAGCATAGGAAAATCTGTAGGTGTAAGAAAATTGTACGTTCAAATATTATTGAAAATTTTTGAGGTAAGTTATATAAATATCTATTTATATATTAAAACAAAAATTTGTTTTTAAAGGATCAATTTTATTATTTGTCACACGATAGGCATTTTCATAACTATATCAGACTATATCTTCAAAATAATTCTGGGTTTTTCGTCACTGGAAGAAAATCAGTTCAGTGGCATTTATTAAAAAAATTGCCTAAACTACATAAAACTAAACAACTATTCAAGAACAAGAAATTAAAAAAAAAATTCTATTTTTTTATTTGCTTCGACGAGAGGAGATAATACTTACCTACTTTTTGTCGGTTAGGCAAATTTCAAAATAGGTACCGTATTATCGAAAAAAACGGCGTTAGCATGGCTATGAAATGAACGTCGCTGTCATTTTATATGTAAATTTATGTATATGGAAAATGTCATCGATCGTCGTATTTTCAAGCCAACAAGACGCCGTTTTTTTTCTATCATACGTTATATTTGTGCAACATAAATAAATGTATGTCATTTTGTTATTCATAACAAACACAAATAACTAGATTTTGTTTTATTAATAATTTGTGATCTTTGAACTCCTTGAACTTGTTATATTCAGACAAATAAATTGTTAAAAGTTTAAAAATTAGAAATAAAAATAATTTTCTAAAAGTTATTTATTACCTAGCTATATTTTTTCGATAAAATTACAATGTTATCGGTGCATTCATACTTGACAATTTTAAGTGGGTATTTGGATTAAAAATGGTATATCACTTGTTTACACTAGAAATTAGAGAATCTACCGATTATAATGAAATGACCTTTTGCCCTGCACTGTAAAAATTAAAAAATGCCTTAAACAATAATAGTTCATTATTTTTATTTGAAATATCCCACATATGTATACATGATGAATCATTTCCAAAATTGACAGAAATTAAAATGTTACCGATTGTACTAAAAATATTGGTTTTCGTGGAGTCTGTCTCAAGTACAGAGGAAGAAATAAATCATAAATCATATGGAATTAACCAAGAAATTCAGTTATTGGTTATAATTCAAGATATCTACAAGGCCGACGTGTTGAAGTAAACGAATTAATTTTAGACTGCAAGATAAAAAAAATTAAGTAGTTCTGGCCTACCATATCCTTGAATAAACCGCTATAAATGCAATGAAAAAATACTTTTCATAGATTTAGTCCACCATCTCTCACTAAATCAGTGGCGGACTAGTGTATTTTTTCATCTTGCGCTAGATGGTTTTTTTCTTGAACAGATTTCGAGAGTTTTCGCCGCTAGAAGGTGAAATCTACAAAATAAAATAGCTATTTTTTGTAAACACTAGTGCCTTGATCCAACACAGAAATCAATTTGTCAGTGGTATTTTACTAGTAAAATAAATTTGTCTCACCAATCAAAAAATCCAACGTTTCAAAAATCTCCTCCCGTCGTTAGATGCAAAAAAAAACAAATAAAAAGAATATATTTAGGAATCTAAATAATCCCTAAAAATATTTGCACCTATTTAAAACTCGCCCTGTAGGGGGGCATCTGTAGCTCCTAGAATAAAAAAAAACATATAGGTATTTTAGAAAACTATTTTAACTTCTATAGGGTGGCTCAAAAATTGTGAGTAGATCGGGATGATTTTTTTATGGAACACCCTGTATGTTATTGAATTTTTAGCTTCCTTTCAGGTCACTTACCTAATACATCCTAAGATATGAGATATTAATAAATAAAATAAAGAATATATATTTTTAAGCCTTTCATAAAAAATATTCAAAATACAAGAGCTGTTCTGAAATCAGAACTACATATATTAGGTATTTACTTTAGAAGCTCTGTCACAACAATGCTTTAAATACGGTATTCGTAAATCATACAGAATATTCAAAATTCTACGCCAAACTTTCTAAAACATAAAATCATTTTTCTTCGTTTTTTTAATTGGAACACCCGGTATATAATTTCTTCAATAGATGGAGAATTAAAAAATTAACATTTTTTGTATTTAGAGTGTTTCAAATTTTTTAACGGTCTTGCGGATGTTCGCGGTTTTATATTTCATATGACATTTTCCAGAGTAAATTTTTTATCAAAGCCACCCAATGATTTTTCTCTCGTATTTTACTGTTGAAACAACTACGAGTATATGAAATAATACTCCGTGTATCTGCGAAACTATTAAACATTTTGTAATAGGTACTTTAAATACAAAAATGTTCATTTTTTAACTCTCCATCTAATAAAAAATAATATACAGAGTGTTTCATTAAAAAAAAACAAATAAAAATTACTTTATGTTTTAGAAAGTTTGGCATAGAATTTTGAACACCATCTATGATTTAAGATTACGATATTTTTAGTAAAGTAAGTAAATACCTAATATTGTGTTGATCTCAGGACAGGTTCTTGTATTTGTAATATTTTTTTAAGGAAGGTTGAAAAGAAAATTGAAATTATCGAAATATATTTACTCACATCTTAGGATTATGTAAAGTGATCTGAAAGGAAGCGAAAAATGCAATAATATACAGGGTATTTAGCCACGCTATAGGCCTTAAAATATTTTCCTGAAATACATCCTCGTACATACATTAGGAAAGCTTTGGGTTTGGACTTAAACAAAGTTCCCAAGTTTTTTTTTATTCCGCGAGCTACAGACGCCCGACGGCTACTCACTATTGCCGGACCCTGTATATAATATTCTAGAACACTGAAATTATTTTTTTACAAATACCTTTATTGTAAACCGTTGACGTTCATATTTTACAATAGAAGTAACTGCTAAAATAACTAAAATATTCTTGAATAGTTATTTATATCTAGTATTTAAAGATTTCAAATATTTTTAGCCGACCATACCAACGGGTATGGTAGGCTATTAGGATCGGCAATTTTTTTTTAATTTTACTCAAAATGAGTAAATTGGGTCATAAATGACCTAAACACAAAATATTTTCAGGGTGTCTGTCTGTCTGTCTGTCAGTCTGTCCGTCTGTCTGTAACACCATAACTCAAGAACCGCTAAACCGATTTTAACCAAATTTGGCACAAAAATACTGTGGCACCCAAGAATCTGGCCATTGGTTTTTGGCGGGGGTGGGGGGTTGGTAAAGGGATATGGGAGGGGGTTAAAAATTTTAAAAAATCGTAACTCCAAAATTACAGTAGCTAGCGAAACACGGTTTTCAATATTTGAAATAAAATTTGTAACATGAAAATCAATCAAAGTCGCAGTTTTTGAGATAAAAAAAATTGGAAAAATTCCTTTACTTTGAAACTAAAAGAACTGCCTACCAACTTTTTATTAATATATTTTAGTATGGGCGGCTATACGTGCCTCCCGGCACCAATTTTTTGTTCATGTAATTGATTAAAACGCCAGTCAAGTGATAATCATATACAATCTGTGATAATTATCAATACTGTACAATTTTTAGTATGGAAGAAGAGACATCGAAAAAAATCTTAAAGTGAAAAGATCCTCTCAGGTTGATTCTGAGGACGAAGGATACGAAGAAGACCCCGATTTGAAAACTGATAATCGATCTATTGGTAGGAACGGAAATCATCTCATTAGGTAAAAAAAATAATAAGACGAGCGTCAAGAAGTTTCACTTCAAAAAGTATATACAAGGTGTCCCAGATATAAGTGCAAGTATTTTAAGGGGTGGTAGATCACGATAAAAGAAAAATATTTTCTCTTCGTCGTTTTTCAAATAAGTCTAAAATAACGGAGTTATTTTACTACATTTTTAAAAAAAATTCAAAAAATTTCGAATTTTCAAAAAAAAATTTTCGCGAGAAAAACCTCATAGGCGTGTTTCTGGGGTTGAACTATACTACCAGTTAAAATACTTGCACTTATTTCTGGGACACCCTGTATACGGACGTATAAATGTACATACATACTGTTTTAAGGTACGTTCAGGCTGAGAGCGTCGCGTCCGCCCGCGTGTCGAAATGGAATCAATTCACTTAACTTAAATTAGACCGTTCAGGCAGACAGCGTCGCGTTTGGCGTTGCGTTAGCGTCCGCTGAGCGTCGGGGTTCGAGTTCAATGGTGCGGACGCGACGCTCTCAGCCTGAATGTACCTTTAATCTGTGTATGTTGTTAATATCTATAAATATAATATTTATACAAAACTTTTAGCCGAGATGAAAATTCAATTTTAATACCAGAGTTGACACCAGCTGGCAGTCAATCATCAACCGATAACCACAACATAGAAGTAGGTATTTATCTTTTTTTATTATTATGAATCAATTTTTGAATTATTTTGATGCTTTTATAATAAAAAATCTCAAAAATAAGAAACTTGTAGCAAGAAATAGGATTCAATCAGGACCAACTCAATAAATAACAATTTTTTTATAAAACCTTTTTTTTTCAAATTTGCAATTTGTTTTTTTATTATATGATCCTTTAAGAAAAGATATAAGCTCGGATATAAGCTAAACTTTAAAACAAAAATAAAGCTTATAGTAAAAGATTCAGAAAATAAAAACACGCATAGTGAGTGCAAATAACTATTTTCATCAACTAATAAAAATATAAATAATAAAATTGTGGGGAATATTGAATAATGTAAAAAATTAAACAGGGTTAACATTTTAAAAATACTCTCGCGATTCGGCTGTAGGTTAGCCATTATAGTTATTTTAAAATCAAAGATCTAAAAACAATTTTATTATGTTGGACTTCACATCCTAACCTAACCCAACCAAACCAAAATTTCTCCATATAATATTTAGATTATTCTATGCTACTATGTAAATTATAAGGATTTCCATAAAATATTGTTTATTTTATTCTAAGGAACAAATCCACTTTGACATTAAAACATGGCTCCAAGTGTTGGACTACTCGAAAATAGGCATAGAGGCCATCATCGAGGATCAGGTCACTTCGCGTTTTGAAGCCGAAGAACTCAAGAACTGGAATCTTCTAACCAGAACCAATCGTAGTCATGAATTCATCTCGTGGAAAGTCACAATCCTTTGGATAATCGGATTTTTCGTACGATATTTCTTGTTGTTGCCACTCAGACTATCAATCTTCATTTTCGGAGTAAGTATAAAGGTTGATTCTCAATATACCTTCCGTATCAGCTCCCTTCCGTTTACGTATAAAATATTATATCATGTAAATGAATAGGATAATGCACACTATCCATTCCGTTTCCCTTCCGTTCCATATCCTTTTCTTCCATACATTTTTTTGGTAAACGGACTGAAGCCCCGTTCTCAGAACAACGTCGTGTCGCGGGCGTCACAGTTTGACATTTCAAACAACCAATGGGAGCTGTACTAAATTTAAAATTGACAGCTGTTTGAATTTTGTACAAATCTGATTGGTTCTTTTGTCGTGTCGCTGGCGACAGTCGCAGTTCTGAGAACGGGGCTGAAGCGTATAGGAAACAGCGTTGTCAAATTCTTACATTTGTACCAGCTCTGTTAATATTTTGCTGATATTTATTTATTGTTTCCTCTCAAATAAATCTATTACCTTTTTCAAAAGATACAAATTTTTAAAATAAAACTTTCGTAATGATATAAATTGTACAATAAAAAGTATAGAACTGATACGGAACGGAAGCTTACGTATAGCTTGAATACAATCAAAAATACTGAACGGATATGGAATGGATATGGAATAGAATCGGAAGGTATATTGGGAATCAATCTTAAAACATAATACTGAGCAGGTAGAAACATTAGACGATCCATAGCTTTATTTGTGACTATATTAAAATTTAAACAGATTTTTCAAATTTTGGATGATGACAATTCTTAAGGTCCAGACACACATGATCGGGGTGTGTCAGTCCCAGAGTTACCAAACGTACGGGATTCCTTGTATAATTACGGGATTTATGGTCTGCTGTCTAGGTACGAGGACGCGATGTGGCTCATACAATATGCACGAGATTTTGAGAAAAGATGGTATTATGATATTTTAACACCCGTATATGTCTGTCTGGATCTTTCTGGACGGGTTTTTTCCTTTTTGATCCATGTTTTATTTTCCTAATACTATACTGTATTAATTTTTCTTACACATTTCAGTTTCTCTGGCTTTTGATCACTACAACAACAATCGGAAAGTTACCCGAATGCGGTTTTAAGCGGTGGCTGAACTACCGTTGCTACGTCATCGCATTCCGGATTCTCACGCGATCTCTGTCAGCTGTCATTACTGTACATAACAAGCAATGGCGCCCACCAGGTGGCACTATATGTGTAGCCAACCACACTAGTCCTATTGACTGTATTATACTATCAAACGACAACTGTTATTCGCTGGTAAGAATAAAGATAGATTTAAGAAAAAAAATTGTTTAATACATTATTAATATTCATTAGATTGGTCAGAGACAAGGGGGACTACTGGGTATACTTCAGAGAGCATTAAGCAGAGCTTCTCCTCATGTATGGTTTGAAAGATCGGAAGTTAAAGATCGTCATTTAGTACTTCAAAGGTATTATATCTTGAAATAAGTATGTAGAATTTAGAATGAGTAAGAGGGCGGGGGGTTAATCACCGCGACCTTAAAGATCTATTGTGTCCCCCTTTCTTGAGTTATAGCTCATCTAGTCTGTAACTCATCATATATGGGGATCTTCCTGTTGTAGGGAGGACAGGGTATTTCCTCCCATCCTCCTCTTACAACAGATGTTGAGGTCGAGGAGATTGTTTCGGGCTGTGGCAACCGTGAGATGGAGGCTGGAGGATCTGTCTCCATTTTCTACACCTCTTTATCTTGATCTTTTTTTAGACCTGATACCGGTGTTGTCTTGAATTTATAATAGAGGATATATCCCTCTTTCTCCATTGCCTTCTTGAATTTGAGGTCAATTACACCGCAAGGGTTAGTCGGTCCTCTTCTACAGAGCCCCGCATGTAGAAGTAAGGGAGACGAAAATACAATGGGTTGCCCCCCGGTGTCCCAAATTTGAGGCCAGTAGAGGCTAGTCTGATGGCCAGGGTAGTCCCATCCGGCATCGTTATACGTCTTGGTGCAATTCTCTGCCAGAAGTATTGGTAATTCCCAGCCTAAGTACCAGAGGGAATTCCCCCTAGCAGTTGACCAGGAGCTTTCCCACCTCCTAGAGGAAGGAAATAAGTAAACTGAAGAAGTCTGAAAAGTGTGCCACTCCCAATGATACAAAACACTTTTTTTTAAATATAATTCTTAATTTTCTTTTTGTGAAGCATACATTTCTTCCAATGATGCAAACCCATGAACCTGTCCAAATAGCAGTTGGCGTCCTTAATTGGAAAATAGTTGTTAGCGAAGATTAGAAATGTTTGTACCAGGAGCTAAATCTGGAGAATATGGAGGGTAGATAACAGTTTAAACTGTAACTCGTAAATTTTCACCTTGATAACAGCAAAGATGTGAGATGGTACATTTCTTCGTTAAACAAAATTTTCTTTTTTTGTAGATATGGCTGTATTCCTCTGTAATGGTTTCCCCCATAAAGAAAATAGATTAATTTGCCCCATGGCTATTTCAGAAAGTTGATGTAATCACCAAATATAATCCAAAACCACCAAATAATATCACAAAAATAGTGGTATTTTTGTTTCGGATGAGAAGTGATGTGTTAATATTTTGTCTAACCTTTCGAGGGCTGTAATTTCTTCGGAAAGCATTTTAGGGTAAATGTTCATAGGAACTTTGTTTTATTTTTATCATCTGTAGAATCACCCACCAAAGTCAGATACACTATTTTTTGACATCCTGTATATTTCACTTTTATTGATGTAGTCATAAAAAGGCGTTCTAAAATGTTTTTTTTTAATTTTAACCAAGAATGAGTCTTTATTTATTATTTAGCGTATGGCACATTAAGACACAAAGTACGTATATGACAAAAAAGAAAAAAAAATACAAACGAACATTTAACAAATTTATATAATCTATTGATTATGGAGTTGCTAACAGGAAATCTTCTGGTCTGCCGTTATAAGCCGTTTCAGGGCATTCCTCCACGATATGTATTGACGGTTTGATCTTTGCCGCACTCGCAGGAGGGGCTTGGACTCTTGCCCCATTTGTGTAAGGTATAGGCGCATCTCCCATGCTGCGTTCTAATTCTGTTTAGCGTGCACCAGGTTTTTCTTGGTAAGTTGAAACCTGGTGGTGAGTTGCTGATGCATGGCATGTCACTGTTTTGTTTCGACGTCCATTCCTGATACCAAGCGTCGGTGATGCTCCATTCGTCTTCAATTGCATTTAATGCGGCCTTGGTGGGTGGTTTTCTGAATCTTTAATAAATCCACAATAGACCCACAAAAACGTGTTACTTAATGTAACATGACATCCCCTCAATAATCTACTAAAATTACATTGCTATATACAAGTCATATGTATAGAGGAGTAAAAAGAGGTGTACAGTTCTATCTGCCATGTAAATTGTTATTTTCTAAAAAAATTTGTGTGTCTTGTGTCTTAGATCTTCCCTGACTTATTGTACCTACTGACTTTACTTCTAGAAATTTTACTTTTGAAGTTTACAGATTATAATTTTGTACTTTCAGACTAAAAGACCATACTTCAAATCGAAAGAACCCTCCTATGCTAATTTTTCCAGAAGGTACTTGCATCAACAACACATCTGTTATGCAGTTCAAGAAAGGCAGCTTTGAAGTGGGATGTCCTATATATCCAGTAGCAATAAAATACGATCCCAGGTAATCCCAAATAAAATTATTAAACTACATAATTTCTTTCAACAATTATCAATTACAGGTTTGGAGATGCTTTTTGGAACAGCAGTAAGTACGGAATGGGTCAGTATGTTCTAATGATGATGACCAGTTGGGCGCTCGTGTGTGACGTTTGGTACTTACCTCCCACGCAAAAACAAGAAGGGGAAAGTTCCATAGATTATGCCAATAGGGTCAAACATATTATAGCTAAACAAGGAGGATTGGTTGATCTTGTTTGGTATGATCTTATTGATAATTTAAACGCATTCGATGTTTTGAAAATGCGTACCAATTAATTGTTATTTGGAGCTCAGAGTAAATTGTTATTTTATATGCATGAATAACTTTGTAGTTTTCTAAATAAGATATCATAGATTTATAATAATAAGGGATTTCCACTAATTTACTGAAATTAACTATTCACCGTAATTCCAACTATAATTTTGATTTTATCGCATTTTCAAATTGATGGGTAGTTTTCTTTAGCTGCGCTTGACTGTAAATAACACTGACATATGTTATTAAGACAACTATTATAAAGTTATATTTAATCAGTCAGATAGATTGTCATGAATCGTCATGACCAAACATCCACTAAACCCAAAAATTATTCAGCCGTGACTATGAGCGCGGGAGAACTATACGCATGCCTAGATACCATACATGTCAATCGCATGCGCTTAGTGCCCTTGAATATTTTCTTAGGGGATTTTGATCATTACAATTTGTCTGACTTATTAAATATAACTTTATAATAGCTTAATAACATTATGTAAAAATCAGACATGTAAAAATAAGTAAAGTTCATTTATTTTTTGTGGAGCTTTAAATAAGCGTCTGTTAAAAGTCCTGGTCCATGGAAAGTGTCTGATACTTTTGATACTACATCAGAGTAATATTCTACAATATATACCGGATGCATCTCAAAAGTGGCTCACCCCTATAACTTTTTATGGTATGTCATATATTAACATACCAAATCTCGTTTCTTTATCTGAAAAAAAAAATTATAGGGGTGAACCCTCGGGTGAACCACTTTTGAGACGCACCCGATATAGTTTCTAGTCTCTACGGTGAAAACAAACAGATAAAAATTATTTTGAAAAAAATAAATATATATTTTGCAAGACGAATGGCCCTCTACTCAAACGGGGTATCCCAGTTTCCTACATAACTTCATAATGTAGTAAAAACTTCAAAATTTTGTTTGGCCGTATTTATTGATAAAATTATAATAAACTATACGCCTAAAATCAATACACATTTTAAACATAATTTTATAAATATACAGGGCGATTTATATTTATTTTTACGCAGTAGCCGTTCCAAAAATACCGTAGTGTCATAATCTAAACGGAATGGTTTTAGAAATATGAACATTTTTAGAATAACTTATTTATTTATTTAATGTCCATTTCACATTGCATTCTCGCCGGTGCTGCCACCATCGGAAAATACCGTAAAAAGCCGACCAAACAAAATAAAATACACGGTTTTAAATGGTGACTTCATGAAAAATTTGTTATAATAATATTTGAAAAGTATTAATAACAACCACGCATTATGCTATCCTTTTCTTGTTGATTTTTTTTTGGTAATTTTATTATCATTTGAAATTGTCACAACATATAACGCGTCGACCAGTTTGGGTTCTTTTTCACTGAAATTTTACTACACGAAACAGCAACAAACAGCAACAATCTTCACACATTCTTCTTCTTCCTTCTTCATCTAGGCGAATCGTCTGTTTGGTTCCGGCGTCTCTACCGGTCAGACTGACAAGTTGTCGCTCCATCGTTTTCGTGGACGTCCTAAGCTTCTGCGACCTAGTGGTGATTTGTCGCGTGCAACTCTCACTATCCTTCTGTTGTCCATACTGCTGATATGGTCGTTCCATTCTTCCTTTCTGCTGAGTACCCACTCATTTACATTTTCCACCTTGTACGCTCTTCTTATGACTCTCATTTCGGTTGTTTCTAGTAGTTGTTTAGTTTTCGCTGTATCAGGTCGAGTTTCTTCAGTGTATGTCATTATTGGTCGTACCGTTGCCTTGTAAATTCTCGCTTTAGTCTCCACCTCAATGTTTTTATTTCGCCATATTGTATCATTCAGGCATCCTGCTATTCTGGTTGCCTTCGTTGTCCGTTCTCGCACCTCCGCTTCTACATCACCATATCCTGAGATTTCTATGCCTAGATACTTAAACTTCATCTCTTGCTGAGTAACATTGCCCTCGACTTCCAGTTTGCATCTTAGTGGTACTTTTGATGTCGTCATGCATTTAGTTTTCTGGGTCGATATTATCATATTAAATGATTTGGCAGTACAATTAAATCGATGTAATAAGCGCTGTAGATCGTCCTCATTTTCAGCTACCAATACGGCGTCGTCGGCATAGCATAGAATAGTAATTTCCTGGTCGCCCATACTGTATCGCTTCAGTAAACGTACATTTCCTATTATTTCGTCCATAATGATGTTGAAAAGAAGAGGGCTCAGGGAGTCACTTTGTCGGATACCACAGCCTACATTTAATGGTTCGGTCAGGACCCCGTTAATTTTAGCTTGAATTTGGTTCGCTTCATATATGTTTTGTATAGTTTTAACGAGGTTGTGTGAGATTTGCCTATTGTAAAGAAGGTGTACAACGTCTCTTAGCTGCACACGGTCGAACGCTTTTTCTAAATCAATAAAACACATATACGCTGGTTTGTTATATTCGATTAATTTTTCTGTTATCTGTCTTATGACAAAAACCGCGTCTGTGCATGATCTGCCCCTTGAACTGAACCTTGCTGTTCATCTACATTTTTCTTTAATTTCTGGGCGGAACCACGGAGTTTTATTATTTTGGTGCTATTATTTCTTTTTATAGTCCGGGTACCTAAAGCTTCACATGCGGCTTCTTTGATATTGTTCTTTAGTTTCTCCCAGGAGGTATTTATGCTATCCTCTGCTTTTATTGGGTTTACTTGGATTTTCTCTGTCAGTCTTTTCTCATATAGTTGTTTAATAGACAAGTCCCATAGCGATTCGATGTTTATCTTAACTTCTTGAGTTGCTTGTCCTAGTTTCTTATGAGGTTTAAATTTTAATTTGATTTTTGCAAGTAACAGACTGTGATCGCTTCCTACATCGGCTGAGTTCAGTGTCCTGATATCTAATAACATTCTTCGTACCTCAGAAATTTTATAGTTTTAATAACTGCCCTAGTAAAATCTAAAATACTTAAATATATGAGAAAGCAACGATTTTAATATTATTTCAATGTGATCTCCATGAATGGTAACAGGATTGCGTGAAATACTTTAGTCGAACACTTCTAATTTCTGTCGTATCGAGCGCTGCGGTCGCTATTTTTAAAATCAACTGAAATGCACCATAAGCCTATTATTAATTTTAAATTTGGTAACATATCAATGAATTTCAAAAAATTTAGTCGGAAATTATATTTGAATTTGATTAAACTATTTTTTAACATATTACAATAACTTTCAGGGATGGTCAATTAAAACGAACAAAACCAAAAAAGGAATGGAAAGAGAGACAACAAGAACACTTGAGCAAATTGTTTAAAGGAGAATAATAAAAAATAACTTAACACAAAGTAAAAAAATGTGAAAACTAAAACGCTCCTAGTTAAGTACAATATTGAAAATTCTAATCGTAATCATTGTTACCACTAAAAATAAAATTAATAAAAAGAAATTCCCAAACCTCTAAGAATTTTAAGTTGTAGTTTATACAGGGTGGTCCGAACTGTATTCCGAAAACTTCGGGAGCATATTCTGCAGATAAAAATATGTAAAAAAGTTTGTTTAAATGTATGCCCTAAAATGCTTACTAATACAGGGTGTAGAAGTTTCATTTTTACTTTGATTTTTTCCAAATAATTTCTGAAGTAACTTCAATATTTGAATGAAAATTGGTGTCTATGAAAACTGAGAGTTTTTTGACAGGAAAAATTTTATTTTGATGTCAATATGACTCCTATTTGTAGAGGACGCCAACTACAATTTATTTTAACTGTTTTGAAGGCTAATAACATTTCCTCGGTACCTGTATAAAACTAGTGAGTGAAAAAATATACATTTACAACGTTTTTTACGTAACAAAGGTCTCTTAGTAAAAATCGCTACGAGTAATGGTTATCGAGATATTTGGAATCGAAATTATCAATAACTATCATCTTTGATATAAATAGTTTTTAGACTGAAATCATAAATGTGAAATGTTTTTGTGTCAAAAATTCAACAGAAACTGTTTTATAATAATTTTTTTGAAGAAAAATTTATGATTAATTTTAAAAAATAAAAATTTCCCAAATTTATTATTTCAGTCAAATAACTATCTACTCAACGTGTTTATTTTGTGTCAATAATGACATTTAATCCCAGACACCAATTTTCATCCAAATATTGACGTTGCTTCAGAAATTATTTGGAAAAAAATCGAAATAAAAATGAATCTTCTACACCCATATCACCTAAACTAAGCATTTATGAACATAATTTATAAGAACCTTTTTGCTTATTTTTATCTGCAGAATATGCTGCCGAAGTTTCCGGAATACCGTTCGGACCGCCCTGTATATTTATTCGGGAAATTTTAAACATATGTATATTATTATTCTTATCGGGTTCATTGGGTAATTCTTTTTTTTAATAAAAAAATATATTTTTTACCTTTAATGTTTTATGACTAAGTTTTTTTGACTTTTTTTAAATGTAATAAGTTAAGCATTTTGTATTATTTTAAGCCATGAAAGACTGTGATTTGAATATTTGTGACATGTTAAGACTTTGATATTTATTCACGATTTTATCGTTGATAAACAAGTCGTATTTTGCATTTTAAAAAGATATTTTACATAACTTGTGGTATTATTATAATTAATTAAAATCATTTTCAAAAATATCCTATCGATATGAGTTTTTTAAAATATAAATATAGTTTATTGTTTTTAATAAGTGTTTTATATTCATCCTTTAAATAAAATAATATAATTTATTAAAATTTATCTGTTTATACAGGGTATTGTAAAAAAACTCTTGTGGAAAAATTTCTCACGTAAAATAACATTTATTTTTCATATCAACATAGGTCCGAACGAATAACGTTCCAATTCGTAGCAAGGGAACATTCACAAATGTTCATCGTGCCTGAATTATTGTGTTCCCTTATTGTAAAGTATAAGCAAGTATGAGCACGAATGAGCATTTGTAGCCGACCATACCAACAGGTATTAAGATCGGCAAAAAAAAGTTTTTTTTAATTTTTCAAACCAAACCAAAATGAGTTATTTGGATCATAAATAACCTAAATACAAAATATTTTCAAGGTATCTGTCTGTCTGTTCGTCTGTCCGTCTGTAACACGATAACTTAAAAACCGCTAAACCGATTTTAACCAAATTTGACACAAAAATACTGTGGCACCCGAGAATCTGGCCATTAGGTTTTGGTGGGGATGGGGGGTTGTTAAGGGGGTATGGCAAGGGGTTAAAAATTTTAAAAAATCGTAACTCCAAAATTACAGTAGCTAGCGAAACGCGGTTTTCAATTTAAGATTAGAAATAATATTTGCAACAAAATTTGTAATAACCTCAAAATCAGTCAAAGTCGCAGTTTTTCAGATATTCCGTGTTTCCGTAGTCCGTTTTTGAGATAATCCGTGTGGAGAACTGCAGACTCCCATCGGACGCGGCCCCAGGTGGCGGATAGGGGAAATAACCGCGGACCAAAATTGGAAAAATTCCATTACTTTGAAACTAAGGAAACTGCCTACCAACTTTTTATTAACATATTTTAGTATAGGCCGCTATACGTGCCTCCCGGCGCCAATTTTTTTTTCATTCGAGAATAACAATAAAAAACGAGAAAATTGAGAATAGAATTTTAAAAGTAACTGATTTTCCAATCGATTTTCTTTGCACTAATTATGTGTATATTCTCGAAATTTGCCCACTTTTGCTCGTTTATTCTCATTAATTATCGATCGATCTGGGAGAACGTTCTCCAAAAAAATTCAACATGTTACATTTTTCTTGCTTGAACATTTTACAACACTAGTTACAATCCAAATAAGTTCCAGAACCTGACCTATTAGACCTTGCATCAAACTGAGATAGGTCTTTTACAATATTCGTTTTTTAAATCGTCGTATTTGACTTGTTAAGTACTACTTATGACAATGCGGTTGTTATAGTGTAAACAATATGAACTAAAGCTAATTGCCTGTTTGGACACTTAATTTCTATTAAGCATCGTTGTTTATATATGATTTTCATGCCATACCGGTTTACCTGATGACCGTTATCGACCATCCTATTATTTTGTTTTTCAAAGGACAAGTTCTGGTATATTAATCCCTATGTAGCTGTGCTACCTATCAGTGTGTAACAAGATTCAAACCTGAAAACGAACGATTTTGTATGTAAGTACTTATTAGTTTATAATATAGATATATTTTATCACTTTATTTTTACTTTATAAAATCGGTCATCGGTGAAATTGGAAAATAATTATACTAAAATTTATGTAGGGGTGCGGGTAATTTTTACCCTTCCCATATTTTTTCTTGATTTTTGTGAAAGTCGAATGTTAAAACGCTTAGCAAAACATAGACAATCTCATTCAAATCGGAATATCGGTGTACAGGGTGGCTCGAATTCGACGCTTATCATTGAGATTTGGGAAACCGTAAGAGATACAGGATCGGTTAAATGGAGGCAAAGTTGTCAAGCTCAATAAATTGGCGTATTGCATTTTTATTTTTTATTTATTTTTTTTGCATAAAATATTCTGGTAATGGAATTTTCTGTACGAAACGTCGGCAAATAACAAAGTGACTATATATAGTGCTTTAAGAGTGATAAAAGGATTTAATTAAATTGAAAAAAAATCAGGTCCGTATTTAAAAAAATTAAGTTGATGATGGTCGCCAGAAGCCGAAACGTCAGAGTCAATATTTAATCACACAGAGTTATAGAGCAGAAAAAGTGGCCATGAAAATGTGTTTTTCATTTTAAGTTATCTTAACAAATACAGCCAGGAAATAATAGAAAACAAAATTGAAAATTCCGGTTTTTTTTTCGAATATATTCGGAAGTATTCGGAATTTTTCATAATGCAATACGGCATTTTATTGAGCATCAAATTGCGCAACTTGGCCTCCGTCTTAACCGATCCTGCATCTCTTAAGGATGATTCACGGTACACCGGACCGTACCCGAACCGGGCACGTTCCGTGAAGTAGACACCGAGCCACGTCCGGGCCTTCAATTTTCAATATATGCAACACCGGGTGGACAACGGGGATCATGTCCGTGCCGATTATATTCTAGAAAACAGTGTTGCCGCAGTGGTACATTTGTACCAAATTTAATACTTTTAATTCTATTTGGTACAGTGGTACTACATTTTCAAATCCAAGATGATTTGGTACAATAATTATTTCCTACGCGCACCGAAAATGAATAGATATTTAATAATTATTGTCGTTGATATTGCATTAAACGCGCTTACCGATACCATTCGGAGACAATCCGCATTAATTAACGACGTATTATAAACGTTGTAATGTCTATAGGGTTGCCTATATTAAATAACCCGAAGAAAAAACTTGAAAATTTGCTGTTTCTAACATGTTTCTATATTTGCGTTTTTTTTAATAAAATTTAAGTTTTCCAAGTATTGTGTGCAGTATTAGAATTACTTAGATTTCTTCAACCTATACATACTTATAATTTGGTTTTCTGAATTTCTATTTCATGTTTTTCGTCTCGATTTGTGTCTTTCTCCAGGAAGTTTTTTTATGTAGAAATTTATGAAGAAATTCACAACGACCAAACCGGTTAAAGTCATTTGCAGATGTATTGTTGTGCTTTAAAAAATTGTACCAAAGTGGTACATTTTAGTTTATAATGTGGTACGCGCTAAAAGTTGGGCGCGGCAACACTGCTAGAAAACAGTCGCTATAGGCCCGTAGACGAACGAAGTATTTAGCCGCGGCGGCTCATTTATGTTTGCCGCAACGGGGCCGGACCGTAACGGATCCGAGGAAAAATGTACACCGACATTTCTTGGACGGGGCACGGACGCGTTCCGGCGAAGCTCGGGCCGTGCTCGGCCTAGCATGAATGTATAAGTATAAATAACATTTGACAATGTTTGGCCGTGCCTTCACCGTCGCACGGTTCCGGCCCCTCACGGTGTACCATGAATCATCCTTTACGGTTTCCGAAATCCCAATGATGAGCGTCGAATTCGAGCCACCCTGTACACAAAAGTCATCAGGGAAACATTATTGCGATAAATTACAACAATAATTTTAAACAAATAAGTACTGTTTTATATCATATTTATTTGAATGATTCAAAAAATGAACGCCTTAATATGTTTGAATTTTTTTTATGCAATGAAATAAAAAATACATCACAAAAATGCAAAACTCGGTCTTGGTCTTGGGATGTATAATAAATGACTTCAAACCATAGATAAAGGAAATTAATTTATCTATGCTTCAAACTGATTTATCAATGTCATATTTTCAGCCAACTCAACAACCAAAATGTTGAAGATCTTGTGCTTCTTACTGGCTATATCGGCCTTAAGTCTATCCAAAAATCCAGACGATTACAAGAAAGCCGAGTCAGTGTATGACTTCACCGCAACGGACATTAGTGGAAACGAAGTATCTCTGGATAAGTACAAGGGACATGTCCTGGTCATCATCAACGTGGCTACTAACTGCACCATGACCGAAAGAAACTATAAACAACTTAATGAAATCTATGACAAATTTGGACAAAGCAAAGGGTTAAGAATTTTAGGTAAACAAAGAACTTAACACTGTGATTTCCATAAGTTTTGCACTAAAAGATACATTTTTTTATTATTTTTTTAATTGATTGCAGCATTTCCCTGCAATCAATTTATGAATCAAGAACCAGGCACCAACGCAGAAATTGCCGCGTTTGCAAAAAGTATGAACGTTAAATTCGACATGTTTTCCAAAATTGAAGTTAACGGAGATGGAGCTCATCCTCTGTACAAATATCTAAAGTTCAAACAGCCTGGTACCAAGGAAAATGATGACTCTATCGAATGGAATTTTGCTAAGTTTATTATTGATAAAAATGGACAGGTTAGTTAATAAAATTTTATAGGTATTGATTATTGGGAAAATATTCAATAATTATAAATTAGTTAAAATATGTAGAATAAAACACTAAATCACCACAATACACCAAAACAATTTTACTTTTACACTGGACGCTGCTGATGATTATAACGAACGCCCGTCCAGTGTAAAAGTAAAAGTGTTTTGGTGTATTGTGGTGATTTAGTGTTTTATTTTGCTGTGTAACACCAAAGGTTCCAACCCTCAACTGTAATAAAATATGTAGAGTTTTTAAAGTTAATTTTGACCTTTTTATTAACCCTCGGGCAGGCGCGTACTTTAGAATCAAACGACCGGGTGCTTAGCGGTATTCCGTACCGCATTTATATTTTTAATAACTCATTGTCTTGTCCCTGGCCACGACACTACAGCCAGGGACAAGACAATAAGATACTCCTTAGACCAAGCTAAAGTGCCTGATGAGATTCCCCCTAGCACCTGACTAGGAGCTTTTTTATAAACTAGATTATAAATGCAAATTTAAAGAGACCGTATTCATGTATAGAAATAATATAATGTTTTTCGGAATCGGGAATTTCGGTACCGCGCCTCTTCCTGGTTTTTTCGGTACTGACTAATTTTTGTTCAATGGTGGTGCAGTTCATCAATCAGAAAGCAAGGGATGGTAATAAATAAAATAATATCAAATTATTAAGTAATCAGTCATGAAAAAATTAACATGAACACAAGTAAAGAAAAATGTATAGGTAACTTAAATTTCACATCGAACAACAGGTTTGTTCCAACCAGCATTTCGGGATCGTTTCGAAATCGTACTCGAATCGGTTTTCATGCACTTTGTTAGCATGCGCGGACTTCGAATAGTTTTGTGACGGTGCAAAAAGTATCAGCGTTGGAACGCTTTGTGGATTGTTTTCGGGACTGTCAAAAGTGTCAAGCGTGCGTGTATCGATCGATTTTTTGTTTTTGTTTAGAATTTCATAACATAACCTTATTATTTTTGTTTGCAATTTGCAATAATAATAATTATTATTCTTGAAATGGAGAATCAGAATCCAGTAATTGTTGGTAAGTGTTGTTTCAACTGTATACTCACTAACTCACTTAAATATCCTCTCTTTTAAGATCCTGTTATGCGCAGTTTCCTGTTATTTCATTGCAGTGGTAAAATTTTTGAACATTATTTTATAAATAAAAAATTAATTCAAATTTCCGAACCATTTACTCCACAAAAAATCACAAGCAAAAGTATAATGCACAATTCGTAAAAAATAACAAAGACAGAAGAGAAATGTCTAGCCCCAGCAGGCAACTATTAAGCTTGGAGGGTGTTCATTCATTTGTGATTGGTTAAAAATTCTAACGTGATTGGTCGTGCTTAATAGTTGCCTGTTGGGGCTAGACACAAGTAGACAGAAGCATCAGCCGGACGCCGGACTAGAATCAGCTGTTAAAAATCGATAGTCCCTGCCAATATGCTTTAATGCGCAAGTCAACCCAAACAGTTCTCAATTTAATTGAAATTACCGTTCTGAAATCGTAACTAAACGATCCCAAGGTAGGTTGGTCCGCAAATAGGATCGTCCGATAACCGTCAAATCTCGGTTGGAACACATTTGAATTACTGCGCACGAGCGTGATCGTTCGGTCACGGTTCTGCGGCGGGTTGGAACAAACCTGACATAAACCAACTTAACTGAATTTGAGACAAAAGCCCTAAATTATTAATTAAAAATGCAAATATTTATTAAAACGTAACATAATAAATATTATAGGAACTTCAAAAGAGAAAAGAAGCAAGAACAATAAGAAATAGCATCATTACTTATTCAGAAGACCCCTAGAAAGTATCAAAGGTTTTCTCACAAAAAAAAATATTTTTTAAATTATTGTTACCGAGGCCCGGTTCTATGAGGGCCAAAAAGATCTGAACCTTAATTGGTAGTATTAAATTAGAGTTTCCAAAACCGTATACTAAAATATTTTCGTTCAATTATCGATTGTTTTAGTTCGTCAATTAGAATTTAGCAAGCAAGGGGTGGTTTTCAAAAGTAAAAGCGATAAAATTTGGATAAAATATTGAGTGTCAAATGTCATGAGAAAGTAAACACGAACACAAATAATGAACACAAGCGAAAAAAAAGATAACACATAGGTAGCTTAAAAATTACATTAAACAACATCAACCAACTAAATTAGAAAAAAAAACTTAACATTTTCAATTAAAGATGCACATGCCTATGAAAACATAACATAAAAAAATATAACTAATACATTCAGCAATATTATACTAAATAATATAATAACATATTTAAACTTGAATAATTGTTAATAAACATTATAGAAACTTCAAAATAACTTCAGAAGTAAGAACAGTACGAGATAGCATCATTACTTATTTAGAAGAGTTTGATTTCGACCGCTAGAAAGTATCAAAAGTCTTTCGCAAGTAACAAAAATTGTTTTTAATTCTTAATACCGAGTCCCGAAAGTACTGAAAGAACCGGGAACTAATAATTTCGAGTATTATTAATTAGTAGTAAGTACCAAAAGTACCGGGATTTCGCGGTTTTGAACCCTCACGGGTGAATAGCGGCTAGGCTCTACTAGTTTTAGGATTTTGATCAGTTCACACTTGATAACGGTCAGTGATACTTCTGACCGAAACGTTGTATAAGCAAAATAAATAAAGACAATGAAGGTCCGAAATTATTTTAATTTCAATACTGAACATTGTCTACCACAACAGAATACTGAGTATAGTCTACCAGTCTACCACATTCAAAGTAATACTAATAATAAGTCCTTTCACATCCAGTAGTTATTTAGAACATTAGTAAGGCTATAATAACCTATTGCCTGTTATCTTTCAAGGTTTTGATGCTTTTGCCTGTTATCTGTCTACCGGAATTTTTCTCTGGCTCTTCAATGACTACCAGTTCAACGACCTATCGAAAAAAAAACAGTTTAAGCTTTTATTTTTTCAAAACGATCTTAAATCTTCGCGAATTTTAAATCTTGTTCTAACATTCGATAAAGATCGTAAAATCTAGTTAGTTACCTTTTTTATTTGAAGACAACCATATAAAAACAGTTAATAAGTGTATCGCTTTATTTAAATCACTGTATGTGTAAGCAGTTGACTTTAAAAAATGGCCCGAGGATATTTAGAAGAAACATAAAAACGCTAATTAAGAAATAAATTAATAACACTATGATTGACTTAAGAAAATCACAAAAAAGGTCTTTAAACTCGTCTTGTTATATAAAATACTCTTGACCTTGTCTTCCAACTAAGGAGACAATTAATAGGTATAGTTTATCCAGCGTAAATATATTTGATTACGACGGAGCACATCCGAAAAATTACAACTTTTTAAATATGACAGAGTAATGACATTCTTTGGCTGAACTATACGTAATCAGACTATGTATGAGTGAATTAAATAGTTACTTTTAAATATTTGTAGTTGCCTTAATCTGAAATATAATAATTACTTCTTATTTTTTAAGGTTGTGGAAAGACACGTGCCTCAAGATAATCCATTGGATCTCATCCCATCTTTAGAAAAATATTTTTAAATATTGTAATTTTTCAATAATAGATATCTTGTTTAAATATTTGTCAAAAATAAATGTTTTATATACGATAAGCAATTTTAAAATAATTTACTGTAAACTGCATAACTAGAAATTAGTATCAACAATAATTATAGGTAATTATTATAAAGGAACGTGAAAAATATCTGTCGGTTGTAGGCATTTGATGTTCCAACTGCTAAAGTTTAAAAACATGAACATACAGGGTGGCCCATCGGAAACATTCCGCAAGGCATAACGGCCAGGGTATTTTTTTTTTTCAGAAAATTCAAAAACACGTCAATTTTGTTTGTCAAGGGGACAACTTTTGCCTCAAAAATGATTGCAAAATTTTCAACCCTCTAAGCGTGAGTGTCATCCCCCAATTTTTTTCAAATGGGAAGGGGGGTCAAGTGGTACCGCAATGAAAAGGGCTTTCTATTCTCTATATTTTCCCTCTTCGTTTTTGAAAATCGGTCGAGTCATTGAGAAAATATGAAGGATTGAAGTTTGAAAAGTTTATTTAAACATTTATCAGAGTAAATAATAAGGATAAATTCCTTCGACCAATTTGCTGCTTTTTCTTATTATTTCTAGATGTTAACGCATTTTTTCACTTGCCACAAGGTTGGTTGCTGTTCTGTGACTTGTGCGTTGAAGTTCTTCTCAGTATCGTTAAACTTTTTAACAATTATGGTGTACTCACTTGCAGAAAAAGTGGAAATAATCGAACTTTATTTTAAAAATAATGAATGTGACTCCATCCTGACAAACACCTTTATGGCAAAATTGTTTGCCAGTTAGTAGCTAAATTTCGCGAAACTGGTTCCGTTATGAATAAAAAGAGGCAGAGGGAAAATCCTGTAGTAAATGAAGCTATGGAGGTATTCGTATTGGGCCAAGTTGCCATGGATGATAGTACGCTGAGTACAAGAAAATTAGCCAATGATACAAGCGTCCAAAGGATATTAAAAAAACACAAGTTCCACCCGTACAAAATTCAGTTGGTATAAGAACTCAACGAAGACGTTTTAAAATAAAGTAAAATAAAGTTTATTTTTAAAATAAAGTCCGATTATTTCCACTTTTTCTGCAAGTAAGTACACCATAATTGTTAAAAAGTTTAACGATATTGAGAAGAACTTCAACTCACAAGTCACAGAACAGCTATCTAGCAACTACCGCACCTGATCTTCAACCTTGTGGCAAGTGAAAAAATGCGTAAGCATCTAGAAATAATAAGAAAAAACAGCAAATTGGTCGAAGGAATTTATCCTTATCATTTACTCTGAGAAATGTTTAAATAAACTTTTCAAATTTCAAACCTTCATATTTTATCAATGACGCGACCGATTTTCAAAAACGAAGCGGGAAAGTATAGAGAAAAGAAATCCCTTTTCATTACAATACCACTTGACCCTCCTTCCCATTTGAAAAAAATTGGGGGATGACACCCCCGCTTGGGGATGACACCCCCGCTTGGGGATGACACCCCCGCTTAGAGGGTTGAAGATTTTGCAATCATTTTTGGGACAAAAGTTGTCCCACTCAAACAAAATTGACGTGTTTTTGGATTTTTTGAAAAAAAAAAATACCCTGACCGTTAGGCCTTGCGGAACGTTTTCGATGGGCCATCCTGTATATATTATAAACATAGCCCAATACCTAATCCAAAAATATAATTTTTGAATAACTAAAAATCAAAACACCAGAATCAAATTCTTTTTTATCATAATGAAAAAAAGCTATTAAGTTCTTTATAATAAGATCATTTTTTATATAGTATTGGACTGGACAGTCCAATAATACCTATCCTTTTGTGACAAATAAAATTTTCCACAGATTATTTCAAAACATCAATAATCATTATACACCATTATGCTGTTTCCCTAAATAAAAAAAGTAATAAAGTGCGTGGTAAAAATCGCATATCAACCGTGAATTTCAATTTAAGAAAAAAAAAGGAAAATAACCAGATTTTTAATGGAGATGTTTTTACCCATGCAAACGCCCTATTCAAAAGAGTTTAAACTGTTCAGTTCAACATAAATAGTCTTTGAAAATAAACATATATAAAAGCAAATAATAGGTAATTGTTTAAGTAAATTTACATTTTTAAATTAAAGCAAATAAATAACAAATCAAGTGTCCGTTTGTCAAAGTCATACCTAAAAGCCAAAGTACCTATTAATGATAAAACATTTTTTAATGGTCGATTTTTATTTAAAATATATCTAATTTTAATACTTTATGATGGAAAAAAGTCGTTTAGTTGGCTTGCAAATAACGATTATTGACATTTACCATAATATTTTACATATGAAATAACAACGATCTTCATTTCCAAGCCAACACTGACGCCCTTTTTTCTTTAATCATATAATATTATATTAAATTGTTTAATGACAGAAAATCCGTATTATTAACGTACTATACCCAATATCCAAATACGTTTAAATAAAATATACGACAGCCTCCCCATAAGAGCAATGAGAGGATTTACGTCCCAGTATTGAAGGAGGACAGAAAATCGAGTCGAATGGTTTCAAGACATAGGTTCATCCTTGTTTAGTCAAACCTCCTACAACACAAGGATAGACTTATGTAGGAGATGCATTGAAATTCTATAGCTATCCTTCAATATCGGGACAGGAATTTAAGCGGTACCCTGCGTATACTTTATTTTAAACGTATTTGCCAATATCCGAAAATCTACGGATTAATCCGCATATACGTATTACTTTTTACAAATATACTCAGCCTAATCTCCAAAAAGTGAAGCTCAAACAGTGAAAGAACAATATGGAATTCTGCATAAGTCTATTTCACCCGGATATTCATTTAACTGAGCATGCCTCACCTGAAGAAGTTTTCATTGGTCGATGTTTTTAAAGGGAAGTGGTTGACTGACATTTCCCCTAACCTTCAATTTTATTTATATTTTTATTATTTATAACACATTATCATGGAGTTGGAAAAATATCAAAAAATAGTTGGAAACAATAAACTAAACAAAATCACTCTTTTACGCGCACAAATAAAAAGTAATCCAAACAGAACAAAACAACAATCAATCGGAGTTTGGCGCAATCGCAGTTCAATCCATATCCGGGTGAAATAGACTTATGCAGTTTTAATATGGAGCTGGGTTATGTTGTCTTTTTCTTACGGCACAGAAATTGCACACGGGGTTAAATAGGGAACCCTGAGTATATTTGTAAAAAGTAATACGTATATGTTAATCCGTAGTAGTTCTGGCATCACTGTCTCCCGCAACCACTCACTCTGTAGACGAAATGCAGAACTACGGTACAGTATTCTTTATCAACGCGCGTTGCACTAAATCTCGGACAGGCTGACGGTAACGCCAGCTATATCTCGAACATGTTTGGTGCCACGAAATCACCCATAAGGATGCAGGTTGCGCATCTTATATGGGAAATGTCATCGATCGTCACTTTCAAGCTAACTGGACGCTGTTTTTTTTCGATCATACGGTATAATAAAACCAAAGATAAACCCAAACCTATTTCTAATAGCGACAATAAACAGGTGTTTGTGTCATATCCATGTCATATCAGAGTTTATAATTGACATTTTGAATGCCAAATATAAGAACCATAGACTAACTTAAGAACTTTATCGGGAAACTACAGAAATTTGGTGGTGAATAGTAGTAGAACTGTACCTTATATTGGTAAGTTTTAAAAGTTTATTAAACATAAAATTATCTGGAAAAAATATGGGTTACGTATTTCTAGCAATTCCTAAAATTAAAATTTCGAAGCATAGTATCATCACCCTAAGAGTTTTAGATATCGATATTGTAGGATTAGAACCAGTAAAAAACAGAAAAATGGGCAAGTTAAAAACACCGTAAATTATTATTAATTTAATAAAAATTCAAATAAGAATATTACATTTGTGGGTTGGAACCTTTGGTGTTACACAGCAAAATAAAACACTAAGTTGTAATCATCTGCTGATGATCATGGTTAGCGAAACGCGCGTCCAGTGTAAAAGTGTTTTGGTGTATTGTGGTGATTTAGTGTTTTATTTTGCTACACAATTAAGGCCTACAATTGAAGTCTGAAATAGGAACCTATTAAAAAATAAAGTTCATATTTTAGAAAATAATTCGTTTTTAGTTATATTGATTTAAAATACGTACACATTGTCTGTTTAGAAAATCTAGTGTTCTCGATATAACTTATAGTTATACATATCAATTTTTGGTTCTTTGTCTCTGGCTGGCTGTCCGTATAATTACAGTATGTCCTAAAATGCTTAGTTTCGGAGATACAGGGTGTAGAGATTTTATTTTTATTTCGATTTTTTCGAAATAATTTCTGAACTATCGTGGATATTTTGATGAAAGTTGGTGCCTGGCAGTTCTTTGACATGAGAAATTTTATTTTAATGTCAATATGACTTCTCATTGTGTAGAGGGTGCCATCCACATATTTTTAACTGGTTTGAACAGTAATAGCTTTTCGTTCGTTCCTGTGTAAAAAAACTTCTGAGTAAAAAATATACATATCCGCCATTTTCTACGTAAAAAAACATCTCTTGGATATTTGGAATCGAATAAATTCAATACATGCAATCTCATTGACATAAATTAAACATGTTGATTGGATATAGTTATTAGACTGAACCAATAAATTTGAAATTTTTTGTTCCATAGGTGCTGTTTTATCATGTTTTTTCCAATGAAAAATTAATGGTTAATTTAAAAAATAAAAATTTTCGAAATATATCATTTCAGTCAAATAACTATCTAGTCAACATGTTATTTTTAGTCAATAACATGTATTGGCTATTTCCATTCCAAATATCTTGAAAATTGTTGCTTGTAGCGATTTTTACCAAGAAACATATTTTACATAAAAAATTACGGAAATGTATATTTTTTACCTGATAGTTTATACAGGTACGGACGAAAAGTATTACTCTTCAAAACGGTTAAAAAACATGTAGATGGCGCTCCCCACAAGTAGAACTAATATTGGCATCAAAATCAAATTTCTCATGTCAAAACACACCTATAAACAGATCCACCAATTTTTTATCCAAATATCAGCTATAGTTTTAGAGATTATTTGGAAAAAACGGAAATAAAAAAAATAAACTTCTACACCCTGTATATCGGAAGGAAGCATTTTAGGACATAGTTTATACGAACTTATTTACTTATTTTTATCTCAAGATTAAGCTACCGAAGTTTCCCGAATAGAATTCGGACCACCGCCTGTATATATTTCCCCACCCCTTTAGAAACCCCAAGGGATTCTGTTTGTTAGACCAATTTGTTTAACAATAAAGAATGACTAAGGTCCAGCAGCAATTTTTGTTGTATTTTTAGTAGATATTTTATTTAAGTGACATTAATAACCAGAACTACAAAAAAAACGTGGTACCACCTATACATGGTAGCTAGGTGCGTCACTACAAAAACAATCTCGAAAAGCTCTATCTGAGGAAATGCCTCTTTAGCGCTAATAGTGTAAACACCATTAAGGAGTCTGTTTATTAATGAAACGCCGCGTGGTATAATTTGTTGCTTGGCTATCATGTGCTTGTGATTATTCGATGCTGTTTGTCTCATTTTCATGCGAGACCGGTTTGTCCGACGAACGTTGTCGAAGATTATCTCATTAGTTTTATTTTTCCACCGGCAAGGTCCCCCCTATATTACCTGGGAGGTGAGGAGCATCCCATCAGTGCTGAAGAAGCTGTCAGCCGAAGTGAAGCCTTTTACTACAGGTCAGTAATCGTTTCCAAATCGTAAATATATTTTTATATTATATTGTTTACTAATAAAGGCTAATAGCATTATTAAATATTACTTGCGAATTTCTTGAAATCTATTGCTATAGTTGTTACTAACATTTGATTATTAGAAAAAAACTGATAATGAATTGACAACAGCTCAGTTGTTACCAAGTAACAACTAATATGTACAGGGTGGGTCAAATTGGATGCTTTTAAAGGGAACACCCTTTTCTACAGGAGATAGACGAAAACTAATATCGGTGTCTGGAGCTCAATTTTTATCAAAAACATTATGGAAAACCGCACGTCCTTACCGTTTATGAGTTACGGGGTGTTTTTAAAAAATGTGCATTTTTAACAAATCGCTGTAACTTTTTTGCTATGGAAAATTTTGTATTTTTATGAAAACATTTCCAAAGCACCTTTTTACGTAGAATTTAATGGTTTAAGTATAATTTTTTTAAAATTAATAATTTAAGAATTATCAACAGAAAATTTGATTTTTTATATGGGACACCCTGTATATTTTTAATTCATTGAAAAGAATTTAAAATTACCTTTTCAAAAATATAACATACTTGATATTTTGCTCGATTCCTCTTCGAGATATAGAGTTTTTAAAAATTCGCCCACTTTGAATAAGTAGGCTTTGAACCGCGCAGCTGTAATGCAAAAAGTTGTACCTGTGAGCAGCAATTAAAATGAAAATAATATTTGCAATAAGAGATTTAAAATTTTATAACAATTTAAACTATATTTAACAACATCAACACGTTTAAACTATAGGTATCTAATAACAATAAACATTAATAGCAAACCAAGACATGATATTTTGCTACATGTGTTCAACATGTTGACCGTCTTCTGTTATGGATAGACGGGATCGTTTTTGAACATTTCTTGCAGAATTTATTAACTCATTAACTCAATGGGGGTGAAAGATAGCATCGCATAACCGCTAAGTAGTTATAACTCTTGTCTAGATTATATAGGCAATTTAAAAATAAGAACCTGTATTCTTTCACAAAGATAAAAATCCATAGGCACTAAGTCCGGTGGCTTCGACGGCCAACGGCTGGGATCTTGATTAACTAATCAATTATTCTCGAAATTGGTCGCAAAAGTTAGCTGATAACTTCAGCGTTCTGAGGGGGTGCCTCGTCTTGCTGGAAAAATATGTTTTCGAGTTCCATTAGGGGCAGATTATCACAAAGCCTACTATAGTTAACAGTGGCAAACTGTATTTCAAAGATGATTATAACAAAATATCAAGTGTGCTATATTTTTGGAAAGGTAATTTTAAATTCATTTCATTTAGTTAAAAATATACAGGGCGTCCCAAATAAAAAATCAATTTTTCTGTTGATAACTCTTAAATTATTAATTTTAAAAAAATTATTGCACCCGAGAATCTGGGCATTACTTTTTGGTGGGGTTGGTAAGGAGGTAGGAGAGGGGCTTAAACATTTTAAAAAATCGTAACTCCAAAATTACAGTAGCTAGCGAAACGCGGTTTTCAATTTAATATTAGGAATAATATTTGCACCAAAATTTGTAATAACATCAAAATAAGTCAAAGTCGCAGTTTTTGAGATATTCCGTGTTTCCGTAGTCCGTTTTTTTTCTCCCGGTACCAATTTTTTTCTGCACGAACGAGTGGGAGTAGCGAAGAACACATTGCTTCCAAATTAACAATTTTATTATGCATTTTGACGATAGATAAATATTTTTTATATTTTGAGTTTGGTGTGTAAAAAAAAGGACTTTTTCAATACGTGAGAGAAAAAGAGGACAGTACGATCAAATAGAGGACTATCATCCTCTGAAATAGAGGACGGTTGGCAACCCCACACAACTGTAAAATAAATCTGCACTAATATTTTTGAGACTGTGTACTGTGGAATTATTCTAATCTGGCTGTCAATAAATCAATGTTTGAGTAATAATACGTGTTCTAAAATTAAAAATTACGCCACTATTTTTATTTCACAGTTTATTTTTTTATGAATCTTTGTATCAAATAATTTACATACCCATTCATTTATTCTAACAAAGCATTAATGTTTATTAAAAAATGTAACAATAGTGATCTCACCTTTAACAATAGTAAGCTCAGCCAAGATATCAATGTTAAATTTTCTATAGCGTTTTGAATTAGTGCTGTTTCACATGGCGCGGTCAATGCCTTGGTTGGACATAATATATCAGAAGTTCATATGAATATTTTCGACGGATCATCTGCGCGCGGACGTGCTATATGATTAAAAACATTGTTTCGCATGCGCAGATTAACAGCATAGGTGAAAGTACCCCGTCGAACCTTAAAAATACATAAACGGCTCCCTGAAACAGCACGAAATACAACATTTAGAGTCTATTACGCTGTACTTTCGGGTCGCTCTCAGGGGTCGAAGTGGGTATGTGGGCGGAGGAAATATATATTATCTCTCCAAAAAAATCTGATATATGGGTTTTTAGCCACTGAAAACAACAAAGTGACAAAAAAACCATATAGGATTTTTTTGGAGAGATGAATCCGCCACATAGGTATACACATTTTTTAAATATATATTATATTTCAGAAATCTGCCTAAGGCTAAACCCGATCTTGTCGTGTTAAGCCACACCTAAAATTCCAAACACACATGCTTTAATTAAGGTTTGTAGAGCTGCAGCATTTGCCATAAAATAGTGAGCAATTTGTTACAAAACCATATAAATTATATATCACTGTAATCACAAAACTTCAATCAATTTCCGTGTTGTAAAGGAATTTTAAATTATGTCTTTATTTTCGAGAATATTTAGTCCAAACATAAGGAATATTTTGTTAATGTTTGACCATCAAACTCTTAAAAATAAAGAACTTGTCTAAAAATGTGCTACAATACGGATAGAGTATAATCCTTTATCCTTAATATCCTTCTTTATTTATGTAAAAATACCTAGCCAGTTTTACATAAAACCTTAAATGCCGAAGGCTTATTTTGCTCTTTTTCAGACTAGTGAAATGGACTCTTAATCGTTCGTCGCAAGAATTATCGCCACAAATTTGTAACTGTTCGACCACCAAACATTTGCACAGTCGTTGTACTCGTCTGATTAATTAGGTTTTCCATATTTGTTGAACTGATAGTGTCTATACTGCTTACTTACTTACTTACTTACTGCGACCTTACAGGTCTATTTGGTCCCCCTTTCTTGAGTTATAACGCATCAGTCTCAGGGCTTTGACAGAAGCAAGTATCTGAGACGGTTTTATAGAGGTTACTCGTCTCGATGCACTCAGTGGTGAGGTGTTCTGGTGTTTCCCTGTTTTCCCCACAGAATCTGCATTCGCCTTTGTTTCTTAGCTTCAATCTACTGAGGCGTTTATTGAGGAGACAGTGTCCTGTTAAAAACCCAGCGATAATACGAAGATTGTTCTTACTTAAATCAAGGAAATTCTTTGATTTTTCTCGGTCATGAACCTCTATGTTGTTTGCGTTCAAAATGTTAACTTCGAACACGCAATATTTGCGACGATAGTTTGTTCGACGCGAATTTTTACCAGTGAGGACCCAGCTTTAGATTTCACATAAGCAAAAACAATTCTGTACTTTTCAAATCATTTTCTCTACTTCTCATTACTAACATAAAACATTCAAAAACATACACGTTACGAATTTAGTACACCTAAATAAATATAAAAGTCACCAACAAAAAAATTAATCTATATTATTCTCACCATTGAATGTTGTAATTGTTGCTATATTTTTTGCTTATTTTTTAACTCTTTGGAAATTACTGGTAAAATATTCATATTTATATCTCATTTAATGCAAATTGTACTGCAAAATATACTTTCACTCAAATTTAATATATAAACCTCAAATACAGGGATCTTATAAATATTAAAATTACGATTTCTTAAATTATTACACTTATTTAACAGATATCTTGTCAAAACCCTATAATAAAAAATATATATTAAATATTTTATTTCAGAACAATCAAAATGATATCCGTAAGAGCTATATGCGTATTCCTGGCTATTGTGACGGTTGGTTTAGCTGATGACGTAGCAGATTATAGAAAAGGTGAATCTGTATATGATTTTACCGTAAAAGACATCCAGGGAAACTCAGTACCATTGTCGAAGTACAAAGGACATGTCTTACTGATTGTCAACGTTGCCTCTAACTGCGGTTTGACCGAGAAGAACTACGAACAGTTGAATCAGCTCTATGAAAAGTATGGAGAAAGTCAAGGATTAAGAATTTTAGGTAAATATGGAAATACACCTGATTTAAATTACCTAACTTTCGAGTCAAATTGTCGTTATGAACTGCATGTTACCATTTCAATTAAACTATATGCGAAAATGTCAGAAGATGACATGTGATATGTCGTTCCATTTAGAGTGCCATTTTCTACCGAATAAAGTAAAAAATACCGAGGGTATCATTTAAAAATCGAAAGTTGTAGTCATTTTCGGTGAAACAGGAAGTGACCACAAACAATTGAATACGTCAATTAATCCTAATTTATGTCATATACTAACATACCAAATCGTTTTTTTTTTGTATGAAAAATTCAAAAAGTTATAGGCGTGAGCTACTTTTGAAACACACCCTGTATAGACATTATTTAAAATATTTCATATTACTTCTAGCTTTCCCAAGTGACCAGTTCAACCACCAAGAACCAGGAACTAATGAAGAAATTGCCGAATTTGCCAAAAAACACAACGTCAAGTTCGATATGTTCTCCAAAATCGAAGTAAACGGAGAAAATGCTGATCCTTTCTACAAATATCTGAAATATAAACAGCCTGGTAACGTGGAAAATGATGACTCCATTGAATGGAACTTCGCTAAATTTATCGTTGACAAAGATGGACAAGTAAGTACACAATTATCCTAAATTTTATATATCTATTAAAAAATTGTGTGTGCACTATGTCCGCATATTTGAAGTGAAACTTCTTACTAACAACTATTAAATTGAAGGATTTGAAGGACATGTTTGAAGAAGTGTAGTTTGAAATGTTGAAAAAGGAATAAATTAAACATTAATAAATAATTTGGTTCACAAAAATTTATTAAAATGACCGTCTGTCCGTCTGAAGACATTTGGGTACCTCTATCCACGTGCCGAGTTTGGTTCCAATCGATCCATAATTAAGAAAAATCCTGATGATTTCGTCCATTTAGAGGTATCAGTTCGAAACGTCGAGGGCGTCATCCTGTAGCCCGTCCCCAATTATGCCGAAATCGACCCACATTTTCCATCAATGTCAAATCTTTAGTCCCACCCTGATGAAGATGTAAACGAAACGTCGTATCCAACTTTGTAGGGGGGGGGGGGAGCCGTGTGCACCGTCCCTCACATAGCCTACCCACCAAATTTGGTCGCGATCGGACAACATAAACTTTTGACGTTTCTTACGTCAAAACTAACTGTCACAGTGACACGTGTCGTACACGGTCAAGATGGCCTTGGTCCAACCTACCGACATACCAAATTTCATTTAAATCGGACGATTTTTTCTAGGCCGTAGGTTCTTACCACTTTTCCTCTCGCCTGTTGTGTCGCGTGTCGTGTCACGGGCTTGAATTTTTACTTCCAGCGCGCGTAAAGAAGTTTCACTTCACTAATTGTATCAAACACAACTTTAACAGAGAATGCAGTTAATACGACATACGAGTAGCTTATGCAAAAAAAAAATATTTATATTTTCAGGTTGTTGAAAGGCATATACCCAAGAAAGACCCACTGGACCTCATACCATCTTTGGAAAAATACTTTTAAGTATTATCAGCTGAAATCAAATTAAAGTTAATTGTAAGTTATATTAATTGATAAAATATGTTTTAATATATCTGAATCCTTTATATTTTATTTTCCTAATATCTACTGCTGACTAAACTTACTGCTTCTGGCAATGACTAAAGAATTCAAGGACAGATAACACCCGAGAGCAAATTATTACCATGGCACCAAACAGTGCCGTGGCCATATTTTTTTCTTAACTTAGCTAGTTGAAGGGATATTTATATTTTTGATAAATGTTTTGACTACGCCTATGGTGTAGGCGGTGGCATCATACTAATTAATTACGAAAAAAACGTATTAAAATGTTAACAAAAGGTACAAAACTAGTATCGACGTATAGCACACATCAAGTACATATAATATCAGAAAAATAATTATCGAATTCAATAAGAAAACATAAGAAAACGCTAAAAAGGTGGAGCGGACTGTTCATTTACCTATGAAACGTAACTCCTGGCTCTTTCTTGTCACTGCTGCTTTTACATTTGAAAGCTGAACAACTAATCAGCATTGTAATAAAGTTTATACAAAGTTCACTACACACGAACTATTAAAAATTGCTAAAATTGTCGCTGGTGACCAACTGATGACTCATTGTTTGCCACCAAAAGAAAAGGCGTCTACGGTCACAAATTCTGCTGCAGCCCGTATAGGGGCGTTACATGTCCTTTATTCTTTAGTCATTGGCTTCTGGTGATTAAAAAAAACAATTTTGCCACCTAGAAGTTTTAATTTAAAAACAAATGCCGCTGTTAAAAAAAAAATTTCAATTTCAATTTTCAAAAAAATATATAAAAATTTGGTCTTTAAAGTCATTTATAAGAATACTTAAGTCAATGATAATTTGATCGATAGTTGAAAAATAATATAAATAAAACAATAAATACATAGAAGAAACTAATTTTATTACAAAGTCAATATCAAACAGATTTGGTGTGACACAGATACAGAAATGGGCACTAGAGGGTGGCGTACTTCCGATATTTTACCTTGTTTCAATTAACTACTGGGCTGCGTTCAGGTATTGAGGACAACAATGTTTGGACGTGACGTAATAACCTAGAGTGTTTTGTTCTTATTTTACTATATTAACATTAGATTAGGATGCTTCCCTCTATAAGAATATCCTTTATTTTAAAAGTTGAATGACGTAAATATTATGTCCGGAGTGCGACTATCCTCAATAACTGGACGCAGCCCTGACTTCTGGACTTGACCACCCAGTATATATATTATTTGTGAGGTACAAATAATTGCAAGAATATATTGGACAGCTGGGAGCCGGTCTAACAAGAGGGATCGTGATGCAGTGGCAAAAGCTATCACAGAGAAAAGCTCACAAATACGTTCAATAACAACCATCTTATTGGGTTTTAAATTCGTATTCTACCGCGTTGCCCACAGGAATTTACTAGATGGTGATGAATTACTACGAAATAAAAATACGGTAATCGTAAAACGTTTTCGGATGCACGTCATCAATCATATCGAAATTGGTGCTAAAGCCTATAAACCTGACTAAATGAAATTTTGGCAAAAATGTTTAAATTTGTTGTATAATTTAAAATACCGAGCAGCATTTCATTTTACTTCATAGATCAAAGATTGTAACATTATTTTATTTAGATTAAATCTGCAAAAATTAGTTTAAAGCGATTTTTATTATCGCCTTGTTGGTCACATTACGCCGAGACCAGCAACGTTGTCGTTTATTATTTGACAATTGTCACAATGTCAGTCATTATTTTGTATAATATCGTGTAGTTGTTGAATCTTTGGGAGTAATTCTCGTTTTTTGCAGATTTTCATATTCTTTTTTTAAAAATTGTACTTTTAAGCACAAACAGTTCTTTTAAGAACTAAATTTTCGAGTTTTTGTAATGCATTTCTTGAAATTGTGTGTCGAAAATATGCCGAAACCTTTAAACAGTCGAAGCAAAGCGCTTGTAGATTTCCTGATAAAATATTTTGAACGAGAATGTGACAATAAAGGTCCTTAATTACCCTTGACTGCAGTCAGAGAAGTAAGGTTGATTGGTAAGCACATTATACCACTTTCAAAGATATTTCTGCTTATTTCGATTGGTAGCGAGTAGCTGCTGCCTTAAATTTAAATATTTCTACTGTGAGTGTTAGTGACTACTGTTAATAAATAAATTAATTATTAAAATAAAAAGAACGTAAAAATCTTTAAAAAATGATATACAATAAATATATTGTTTCCCAATTTTACATTATGTTTCTGCTCATGAATCCATCACAATCAGGCAGCACTGGCGCTTGTCACTCAAAGTTGATCGCGTGCATCGGAAATTGTTTTGCGATTACTTTATATACATTTATAAATCGGAAAATTAAGAAGTAATGTAACACCTGGAAATGTATTAATACAAGAAAGGTAAAACAAGTTGTTTACTAATTAGAATATATAGTTGTTGAGAAGAGAGAATTATGTTGGATTACAGTGGCCAACAAAAAGTAGTAATAAATAGGAAGATATTTAATTATTAAGAAAAATTATGTAAGATTAAAAAATTACGTGTATCATGTGACAACTAATGTAGGATGAACTAACAAATTAAAAAATGTTCTACAAAAATATGTAAATAGTGAGGTTAGATGACAATCAGTGAACATAGAAGAACAAAGGAAGGATTCTACTCGTAATACCATATATATTACGTAATCCAGAGCGCGATTTTTAAATTCATTGTTTCCAACCATGGACAAATTCGGCGCAGGTCTGACTAACTAGAATTTAAATTTCCCGCCAATAATTCAGGTGGTAGCTTTGGTGTTGAAAATATCAAGTTGCCACATTTGTTTATTTATTTAAATAACTTAAAGAATCTATAAACAATCTTTACACTATAAATTGACAAAAAGCTTTTAAAATAATTTTAGCACTCTATAGTGCAGTAATTTTAAACCATTATTAATTGAACTTAGTTCAATGTTAGTTCAATCGTTCAGCAAATTGTTTATATCTCGTTTTCACAAAAATGATTAATAAAAAATCTTAGTAAACTCCTGGGCAATACGTTTAAAGGTGAGTATTTACAGAAGAAAATATTTTGTTATTTATTTCTTACAAGCTAGTAGACAAAGCTTGACGTTTATATTGAGTAAGACCTGACATCTACGTGTTAGTATGTATTTTAAATATATTACCTTAACATTAAGGGTGTTTTTCTTAACCACTGTTATGATATGGTTTTTTTATTTTAATGACGAGAAGAGATAAAATGGCAAACATACAAGAACTAAGTTTACAATAATGTAACAGCCATGATTCAGTGATCTTAACCTACTTAAATGTTTATAAAAAAAGACTAATATTAAATAATCTGAGCGTCGATTATTAAACAACTACGAACTATACTGAAACAAATTCATTTCACTGGTTTGTTTAAATATATTTCGAGTACGACTGACTACAACTCTCGTCTGGGTGAACAATGATTATGTCCTTACGTAAGTACTATAAAAAACATAACCTGTAAAATGACTTTATGTTATAGATATATTTAAAAGCTACATAGGATATAAAAAATCAATAATCTAGCTACCTATATACCTAGTAATTAGGTTTTGTTTTGAACGAACTTGGTAAATATTTTATAATCAACACTTAAAAATACAATAAATTAACTACATAATATATAAAAGTTATATACAGTATTTACCATAAAATATACAGAGTCAAGCAATACTGAAAACATATTCAGAAAAAGTAATAATAATTAATATGTACTTATGCTGTGCCTGTACCTTAGAATGGTTTATATTTATAAAAAAACTAATAAAGTAATAATAATATACAGTCTAAAATAAAGAGGTTATATAAGAAACATTTTAAGTTAACATCAATAATAATAGTATTATCGTTGATTAAAGAATCAAGAGAATGCGCAGCCTTATGGGCGATTTCCTGGCATAAATCCTGTTCAAGGTGTAGTTGACGTTTGAAAAAACAAAAAACATTTTGTTTTTTCAAACGTCACAAAAGTATTAATTTTGGCGACGCACAGTGATTGAAAATGCAATTCTACGGTTCAAAAAATATTTATGTTATATAAGTGTTTTTTCGGCTTTATAAATCAAGGTATAAGCTAATAAACTCTTACAAATGATGTTGCAAAAGTTTTTTTTAATAATAACTATAGATACGAGTGCCTTTATTGTTTATTTATTTTCAGTGAGAATCTAAGAAAAATCAATGTTCTTTTTTTCGAAAAAACGCTCGGACACGTCGATTATTGATTTTGTTGATGCCATTTTTGAATGATGCCATGAAGCCATTTTTTGATGATATTTTAATGTGTACAGGGTTTCCCAAAAATTGAGTTATGCCAGATAACTTCTTGGTTTTAAAGGAAACACCTATATTTGTTATTTTTTTTGTGGATTTTATGTCAAATTCTAGACATATTTTATGTTTTATACCTATCTTCAACTGTTTTTAAGCTGCAAATAACCGAAAATCGACATTTCACCCTGTTTGTCTACCTATACAGTGTCTACCATAATGTTGGCTAAATATGTTTTTTTTTAATTTATAGGATATGCAAAAATTTTGTATGGGGGATCGCTTCTGCATGTTTAGTAACTTTAAAAGTCATTATGACATCAGTCACGTAATCACTGTCATGGCGGCAAATTAAAAAACCGCTATGAAAACCCGAAAAGTGGGGTTAGATGGCAAAATATCGAAAAAAGTTATTCGAAAAAAGTGTTTAAAATTAAGGCTATCTACAAAATTTGCGACAATTATAAAAAGTGGAAAAATCATATTTTTAGCCCTGGCTCCAAGTCTGGTTCTTATATGAACATTTTTTATATGGAATTTATTACTGGATTAGCCCAAGTAACTTGATATTCAAAGTATAGCATGCACCACTGAATTATTGGAAACCTGACAAACTGTCAAGAAACACGGCACGGCTACAAAAAATTACCGTTTCGAAATCGACTTTTCTGACTTTATCCTCTGGAAATGACTTCAATGTGAAATTTTGAATTGTTTTACTTTTACACATTAAGTATCAAGTTACTTGAGCTGATCCAGCAATAAAATCCGTATAAAAATATTTTATAGAAGAGCCAGGACTCAAAATATGCCTTTTTCTACTTTTTCTTATTCCCGCTCCAAATTTTGCAGGTAGCCTTAAAATATCATTCTAAACATTTTTTTCAAATAACTTTTTTCGATATTTTGCCATCTAACCCCACTTTTCGCGTTTTCATAGCGGTTTTTTTTAATTTGCCGCCATGATAGTGATCACGTCACTGATGTCATAATGACTTTTTAGGTTATTAAACATGTAGGAGCGATCCACCAAACAAAATTTTTGGAAATCCCATAAATAAAAATATTTCCCATATGTAGCCAACATTATGGTGGACACTGTATATTAAATGAGAAGGGGCGCCTGGTGGCATAAGTTTTTTGTTTTTTTAGAAGGAAAAAATGTAGAGAACAAAATGATGTTAGTATTTGGAAGTCGTAACAAGGCACAAAGAAGTTCTACCTTGTTATGCAACAACGTTTTCGCATTATTCGTTAATTTACAATGTACACTTTAATTGAGCGTCCTAAAGTATCTTTCATACTAAAGATCATAATTCTATGTAAAACACAAATTACATATCTCCAGAAATATGCAGCATGTGTTTGAGAAATCAAAACACACGAACATTAATTTAACGAAACGATTAAGACTGCAATCGAAACCGAGATCAGAATTTCTCTAAACGGCGTATTAACTGTTTCGACTTGTTGTCAACGTGGAGCAATTGTTTCTTAGCCAGGGCGACTGGGATTTGTGTAGCACTGTTTATTAGCTTTCTTTGAAGGATAATATATCATTTTGTAAAAGATTGAAGTCAACAAGAAATTTGAATTTTGGAACTTCAGAGATTCAGAATTTCATTTTCTATCACTGTGCGACGTGACTGACAATATAAAAATAGTATATTAAACAACGAGTTTCAAAAACGACGTTTTGCACACGAGTTCGACAGTTTGTTGGCTCGAGCCGCAGGCAAGAGCCACAAGTGGAACGAGTGTACAAAGAAGTTTTCGAACGAGTTTTTTACGCTATTTTTTCTACGATTAGAAATTAGCAGCAGTCTCACTCAGTTTTTACCAGTTTTGTGAAATAATTTGCGATGTAATGATACTTTTCTGACGGCTGCGTTGGGTTTGGCGTTTCAGCTAAACATTGGAGGTTAAAAACGTTAAAATTGGCACATGTCGGTCGTGTGCAAAATGACACATGTCGTACGCTAAATCCTTAGCGCACAACAGTTTGCAAAACGCCAATTTCAGATCGAGTTTTCCGTGTGTCAAACTGCATTTTCTAGACTAGTCGTAGATAACGTCATTTTAACGCCTAGGCGTATAAGTAAAGCACTTTTATGCCTAAGCACAAAAGAACGAAAATATATTATTAAACTGACATTTCAAGAAGTCAAATTCAAATTGAACGTTTGAAATTGTTTAAAAAATATTTGTGGCATTTGAAAAAAAAATAGCATGTTCTATTCGGAGTAAAAATTACTTTTTGTGGTTCGCCTGTATGTGAAACGTAGAGCCTCACCACAAAAAGTGTCATTTTTACTCCTAATAAAACAATATACTATTGTTTTTTTTTAAACGTTAAAACCCAGACCACGTATGATGATGAGGCCTGCCAGGGGATTGACGAAAAAGAAAAAATAGAAACAATTGAAAAAATTAATTAAAGTAATAAAAAGCTACGGTAATAACTCTTTTATAACCTCTATATTTTATTATCCGTTCTGAACACGCCGACTAAAAAGAAAATGGTAAAAACTGTACATACCAACGTTTTATCAGAATCCTTATATGTAGAAATAATATATATATAATAAATGCCCTGCGTGAGACAGTTTCGTTCAAAGATAAAGTAATATTAATGTACGTAATACCGAAACACAAACTAAACAATCTGCATTCACACTAAACCACCCGACACACAAACAACTTCAAAGCGGCATACTTGTCGTCACAACAAAAACCTTAGTGGCCGTGAACGCTACATAATAAATAATAAACAAACAACAAATATAAAAATATAAATTAGATTTTTTAATGAGTTTTGTATAAAAAGAACAGTTTCAGCTTAAAAATACATTTTGTTACTTTTGTTTCGCGATCCAAGAATGGAAGGTAACGAAGTGGTTTAACAATACCTGGTTTTGGAGCCCCTTTTAGGCTTTTTGCGCTGTCATACGTACTCCAGGGGCGACTTTTTCCCCCGGCATTTGTTCTCCAGAAATCGTTCGACTAGTTTTTTGATCTCGGAAAATATCCAAACCGTTGACGTCAAACCGGTAAGGAAAGCCATATCTGTGAAAATAAAATGACGCAAATATAACTAAAAAACCAATAAAATATTTATAAAACAACTATAGGCTTGGTGCATTCTTCGCCGCGCCGCACAGTGATGCCGAAAACGCAAAGTGGCAAAAAATAATTTCTCAAATTACTGCTACATTTTTTTAAATTATTTTTGTTAAATGTGGTTTTTAAGTGTATAAGTGATGTTTGGAATTCAGAAAATTGAATTATGTATACAGTGTGTACTTAAATTGGCTTTAAAAAATAAAAAATGGGTTGTAAAAATGTAATTATATTATTTTGTCTTCAATAGCATATTAATTTAATACTCTATTCTTTGTAAAGTTTAAAAAATCAAAAAAAGTTTGTGTAAACAAATTAATAAATATACAGGGTTTTATTTTCAGCCCCTTACAAAAGAATTAGCATTTCGTTTTTACTATAATTAATCCTTTTTTCAGAACTAGTTACCAATAAGTATTACTTAAATTCAAGATATTGACATTCATTTCCATGAGAAAAAAAAGAAAAAAAAAAGAAAGTAAATACATCTGTATATTTCATGTAGTTAGATATTAATGAAAGTAACACCCTTGATTAGGGGTAACACCAAAACATCTAAATTAATTTTAATTTTAGTTATATTTTTTAAATGTTCCATAATTTAGAAATATCTGTAATTACCTGTGGTAAAAATATTATACTTAGATGATAATTAGAACTTAGTTACAAGAATTTAATACGCAAGAAAAAGAAACTAAAAATTATTCTAAAGCTTCTAGATAAGATGGATAATATATTTAAGATGGATTTAGCAAATGGATAAAAAATTGAATAATTTAATCTATAATAAGTTTTGGAGCCTCAGGATGCTGTTCTATTTTACTTGACAGGAGAAGTCTTGGTGATCTCTTACTATATCCGAAAAAATTAGTATCTAGAAGGTGCATGACATTCTTGATAAAAGTTGTTGAATGAATATTGACGCATGATAGACACATTGATACGTCTTTTTAGTTTATATTAACAATAATTATTCAAAATTATATGAGATTTCTAATAATATTAAATTTAATGTCATATAAGCACAAAACGAATAAAAACTTAGGCTTAACAGGGAAAAGCTAGTTAAAATTACACATTAAAAAGTATTTTTAAATTTGAATACTTTGTATGTCGAAAATTAAATTGAATAAGAGAAAATATATTACAGTTTCCTTTCTAAAACTAATTAAAAATAACCAACAACAATATTTTACAGCACCTAAGAAACACCCAGTAATATACTGTCATACGTAATTTATTTTGGGAAACTAAACCATGGTTTTCGGGAGAGTTAGGCAACCTAAAGGGTATTTGTGGGCTAATGTTGGTCATGAAACTTCGTAGTTATGAAGAAAAAAGGCTAATAATTGTAACCTACATCATATTTTTTGGAGCAATTTGGAGCATTTTGTATTAGCTTACATAAAATGTGATTTTAGATTAAGCAGTTCTTAATTACATCAAGGTCTTTATTGATTTTTTATGGTACCAGGGAAGTTAAAACTAGAATTGCCATGAGGAAAAACAGTTGAAAACATTGTACTTTCTCAGAGTACCATCAGTTTTAACTAATTTATCACCAACGTTAAAGCACTAATTTTATTTAATCAAAATTTAATCAAAATATTTTAGCTTCAGCTAATAATTTTATAAGCTCGAACATTTCTTATCAGGGATTAATAATGGGCCCGTTTTCATTCAAAAATCTTCACGATTCTGAAAATATGGTCTATTAGGAACTATACGAGTGAAATTATAATTAAAAAAAAATACTTTTGATATTTTGATTTTCTGCCGCTTTTGGAAACTTCTGCATCACTGTGCGCCGGTGCTGCCACCGCCCGAGAATATCGTAAGTAACGAACAAATACAAATACACGGGTTTAAATGGCAAGTAAACGAAAAAATTAGTATATAATTTTCTAAATGTTTTAGAAAGTATAATTTATTATTCCAGTTAAAAATGTTTTTAGATGAGTTCAACTACGGTAGCGAGCATAGTTTTATCACCGGTTTTGCTAGTGGGACATAATTGGAGCATTTCGGCTATAACAACATTTTTTAAAGGTATATAATTATAATTTTAGATGTTCATAAAACATTTAATCACTAGATGATTAAAAAAGATCACTAGTTGATTAAAAAAGTATACCATTAATATTGCAAATTATATTTCATCCTCTCAAAGTATATGTCTATTTAATTTTTTGATTATGTAACGAGCACTTTGTTTATTCACTTGTTTTGTCGAACTGCTTGAATCAATTTTTGCTATTGACTATTGATCAAATCGGTGTAAGAAATTATGAAGCTATAAAATGTTGTTTCGGGAGAGTTGAATATCCGGGAAAGTTGAGTTATTGAATGTTATTGTACCCAATAAGCCCTAATTACGCTCTCCTTTACGCGTTAACATTTTTTTGGACAATGTTATTAACATTTGAAATTGTCACAACACAACAAGACGCCTACTTCGAATTCTTTTTCACTTATTTTTTACTACCCGAAACTGCGTTACATCACACAAATCTCGTACCTGAATGTTTTATAGTCTCAATAACTGTACTAGCAAAAAACTAAAATACTTAAATATCACGATTACAAAACCCCGATTTCAATATTATTTTAATGCGATCGACATGACGGCGGGCGGTGTGAACTGTTTATTGATAATTTCTGAGTGCGCTACGGTCGGAATTTGTTGAAATCAACTGAAATGCACCAAGCCTACAGGTGCATTTCAGTTGTATCTTGGTGTTTCTTAAATAAGTGAAAATATTTTAGATTGAGATCTTCACAAAAGATGTAAAAAATTTCTATTTGTCATTTTTAAAATAAATTGAATAATCTCTTAGCCAACATGGAATTCCGGATATATTGAATATACTAAGGGCTGGCAAAGATTAGTTTTGGGTCGAGATTTCCGTATGTAAAAAGAGTACAATGCGTTTATAATGTACTAAACAAAGAGAGAACAGTAAAAACGTTGCCAAACGTATGAAATAAACCGAGAAACTGTGCACATTGCAAAGAGACGTGGAAGGGGATATAGCAAATTCGTCGCGGTCGACCCGGTCGACCCAATCAGTACTTAACATTCTAGGAAAGGGTGTATATCAGCTTCACGATTTAATTACATCTCGTGATACTTTATTTGTTTATTTATTAACAAGGCGTTGTAATTTTCCCTATAGTTTCTAAATTTTTAAGTGCAAGTTAGAAACACTTACACCATTTGAAGTAAAAATAAGCGGAATTGAGTTGGTGTTCGACAGTAGTCGCGCTATTAGAACTCTGAATTGAAAAATCGATATCTCGATATCCATTAGAAATAATTGATTGTAGTTTTTGTCAAAGCTTTCTTAATATTTCTGATATATTTTTTCGCAGACAGTATGTGAAAATCTTTATAAATAAAAAAATTACACGATTGCTGAAAATTGCTATGCACTAAAAGTAAATGGATGGCCTTTTTAAAATTTTTGAATAAAAAAACAAGCCTATATTTATTTACAAGAATTTTTCTTATTTAAACATCTTGTAAAACATCCGAACTTCAAAATAAAAATGTTTCAATATCTAAAATGGTTCTTGAGTTATCGCGTGTTATGTGTTAAAAAGTTGAGTTTTTAAATTATCGCGATTACTGACGTTTTCTCGTTATAAAAAAATAGGCTCCCTAACGATATCCTTATAATTCCATTTCAGAAGATCAAAAACATATCTAATCATTTTATCTAGTTATCTTATCGAAAAAAAGTCTTTTAAAAATAAGCGGTTTGCGATCGTGATTTTACTTAACTTAATAGGGAAAGGCGTACCGAAAAGCTGTGGCAATACCGCAATAGCACATTCCTCTCACTCCGAGTTAATAAGATCCCTATGCGATTTACTTCCACACATGTAAATACCGACCCAAAAGTAAGAGTTGCCAGCATGGTATATATACAATTTGATAAAAAAATGGCGTCAACGATGGCTATGAAATGAAGATTGCTGCCATTTTATATGTAAAATTATATGGGAAATGTCATGGATCTCATTTCCAAGCCACCTGGTGGACGCCGTTTTTGTTATCATAAGATATTTATGTTCTTGAATTATACACTATATGACAATTAATAAACTAGGAGGATGATTTATTAATATTTGTACGTTTTAATCTTTCGGTATTTAAAGTTTTTTTATTTAATCAGACAAAGCGTTATTTTAATTATTAAACCAAAATAATTACATGGATAAGACAAATCCCAAGACTTACCCCAAGCTGTAAGTGCCTCCGTCTGGAAAATTCCCTGTAAAGGCGGAACGTAAACGACCAACAGTTGACCAAGCACCGACAGACCAACGGCTACGAGGAAAAAGGTGTTGGAGAACAGTCCAATCTGAAAAACGCTCTTGGTTTGGGAACGATATGACAACGCGTTCCACATATCGAACAGCACAAAACAGGTAAAGGTCATTGTTGTGTCTCTGGCTGTTACTCCGTCTTCTGTCATCTGAAATAAAAGTGTCAATTGTAAAGAAGTTCATTGAATCAAAAAAAGGTCAAATCCTATTTTTAAAATCTTACATTAGGAAATGAAGGGTTCAGAAGAAAAACTTGATACGCGCCAATTTCTTAATTTTAGGATTTTACAATATTATAGTAGGTCTAACTGGTTCCTACAAAATGTATAAACTCTGCAGAGATAAGGGCTTATCATGTTTTTCCCTTGGACCCTTCATATAGTATTTATTTATAATTACAAATTTATAATACTGTGCAACAAATATCTTGAAAACTGAAAAACTAAGAATTCACTCAGTTAGATTTCAATTCATAAAATCACAAATTCACTCAGTTAGGTCAGTTAGATTTTGATAGCATAAACTTACCTCTTTGTTAAAGACCCACAAGGTACCTGCCACAATAAAAATGGCCGACAACAGAACGTTAACGATCAGCTTTTTAGTGATCATCGGCTCTTTGGTGTCTCTGGATTTCTGCTTGACTACGTCATCGGTAACAGGCTCTACTCCCAAACTCTGAGCTGGTGGACCATCCATAATAATATTGATCCATAATATCTTAGAAAAGTGATAATACAATTTTACTATAAAATCCGATTACACAAAAATATACCTTAAATGAGTGTAAGGATAAGAGAAACATTTTTACTATTTGCCATTTTTAAAATAAATTAAGAATAACCGAGTTATTTACATTTGAACATTTAAAATAATGATACTAATAATTCAAGAAAAACTGACATCAACCGGCAACCAGCCTGCTGTTTGTCAACCTCAGCTTATTTGTCACTCTGCGTTGCCACATGGACAAAAGAGTATATACTTAACTTGTTTGTAAATTCTTAAGATTTATTCTGACCATTTAGTTGAAAATATTGTAAAAATATAGTAGTGTGTATTATAAAAATTGTATATTAATTTAAAATGGTTTTCTCGATCATGAGAACGAATGTGCAGGATTTTAATGTGCTTAATTTCATAGAAAACGCAAAAAAAGAAAAAACTTAGTCAATTTTTTTGGCAAAAATACTTCTTATGGACGTGTTTCAGTGTCAGTTAAAATACTTGCAATCATTTAAGAGACACCATACACCATGGATAGCTCTTAACACTCAAAAATACTTATTTAACAAAGTTATATTTCAGACATACAGAATCAAGTTCGCAGAAATGGTCAAAAATAGTAAAATAAATCTTAAAAAGCCTTACCTGCATGGCATTAAGAGGATTTGGAATGTCCATAATAGTAGCCAACGCTACCAGGGCAAGAGCTGCTATTGAAGTAGACAACTGGAAACCTACGAAGTTTCTAATGTTGTGGAAAATGCTTTTTCCTTCCTCAATGGCAGCACTGAAGAGTAAAAAGAATTTAGGGATCAGTTCTTTTTAGAAGAACAGTTATAAAACCTACATAATCGTGTAAAAATCGTCGTCGACTAATATCATATCGGCAGCTTCTTTACACACATCAGTGCCATTTTTACCCATGGCAATACCAATGTCGGCTTTCTTCAAAGCTACACCATCATTCACACCATCGCCAGTCATTCCTACTATAAATCCGGATCTGCAAAAAAAAGTATTTTTAATATAACTAAGTAACTTATAATTTTATTTATAGCCCCAAACTTATACAGGTTTTTATAGAATTACCTAACACGTCACAGAATTACCTAACCATATAGAAGAGACATGGGCGAATTTTTCGTATACAAATAAGTTTAATTGGAAAAATATGTGATATTACTTCAAACTCAAAAAAATTGAGACACATACTTAATAAAATAAAATTATATAAGAGTTTCTTGCCTTGAACTGCTAATATAGAAATTAATTCCACGCTGTGCCCCACATAATGTGGATCAACCTGCTCTCACTACCGGTTTCGGGGCCCTACCCCATCATCAGGTGAGCTTGGGTATTTCCACAAAACGACGAGCACAGCGCAGAGTATATATATATACGACTTGTCGTAAAGTAGCGGTAAGATATTAAGTCCCGCATCGCGAGATAGCGGCCTGTGTGCAATGGTAGTACTTTCGTACCACCGAGGCACAACTATCGATAGTAAATAAAGGCTTTTTTCGGCTAGCCCAAAATATATAATGGAAAATAAATTTCTTGCAGTTTTTAGAATAAAATTATATAAGAGTTTCTTGCCTTGAACTGCTAATATAGAAATTAATTCCACGCTGTGCTCGTCATAATGTGGAGCACAGCGTGGAATTAATTTCTATATTAGCAGTTCAAGGCAAGAAACTCTTATACCTAAATAAACCTCTATAATTTTATTATATACCTAAAAACTGCAAGAAATTTATTTTCCATTATATATTTTGGGCTAGCCGAAAAAAGCCTCTATTTACTATCGATAGTTGTGCCTCGGTGGTACGAAAGTACTACCATTGCACACAGGCCGCTATCTCGCGATGCGGGACTTAATATCTTACCGCTACTTTACGACAAGTCGTATATATATATTTGCGCTGTGCTCGTCGTTTTGTGGAAATACCCAAGCTCACCTGATGATGGGGTAGGGCCCCGAAACCGGTAGTGAGAGCAGGTTGATCCACATTATGACGAGCACAGCGTGGAATTAATTTCTATATTAGCAGTTCAAGGCAAGAAACTCTTATATAATTTTATTATATACCTAAAAACTGCAAGAAATTTATTGTCCATTATACTTAATAAAGACATATGAACTAATTTTATCTACTGTTAAAGTAAAATCTGAATCCCCATGAAAATGTTTAACTAAATAAATGATATACGTACCGCTGAAGTGACTTGACAATAGATAATTTGTTCTTGGGGGACACCCTGTAGAAAACTGTAGCTGCCGGAACGGCAGCATCAAGTTCTGTTTCTGTAAAGCTATCTAGTTGTTCGCCGGACAAAATGTTGCCGGAAAGTGTTTGAAGACCAATAGATTGTGCTATCAAATAAATGGAAAAAATACATTGTTAGTAATGTACAGGCTATCCATAAACATATGATAAATACAGTTGTATTACATAACATATTAATTATCTCGCTGGACATTAGTGGCATTGCAGTGCAAATCAAAGCCGGGTAGGCAAAATGGACAAAATAAGAATAGCATAAGTAATTAAGTAATCAAAATATTTTTTTTTACATAAATTACGGAAAATTTTTTCAGGCTTGACCTCACTGCACAGGACACACTTTTAATAAAAAGATGGATGGAAGGAGTATAATGCTATCCATGTATTCATGCAGGTAGACGGACAAAGGGCCCTAGGGTGGGACCGACAGTTCTGTTTGACGATTCATTTGACACATTTGAATTTGATTTGAAGTTTTGTGGATTTGCCAGTCTTGAATGAGCTTATTTTATGTTATTTATTATATACTCTACTGCTGACAGTTGTTTAAAGGTAATAAATCTAGAAGAAACTTTTTGTAGCAGAACTTAAATTAACAGTGACACTATTGCGATTTATAGAAAAAGACTGTAAAATAGTTGGTTGTGTAGCGTGCGGTAGATCTACGTCAAAAATCGAAGGAAATAATGGAATAACTTTTCGCTAGTAAGTGACTATATTATACCATACGTGTAGTAAACCAATCATTTATGAAATTCACTTAAAATTAACTAATTATATATTTTTTCTTGCATTTTTGCTTTTATTTACTACTTGTCAAAGAGAGTAATAAATAATAATAAAGGAATAATATTAGGTAAATAGTAGGTTAAAGAATTTAGCTACATCAATTTGACTTACCTGCTTCAGTAGCGTATCGGATGTTTGTGTTAATAAATAATTATTATAACTTATGTATTTTTATTAGAATTGTATATTTTTATAACAATTTTAATAACTACTAACATTTATTCACAGCGTAAAATAAAACAATTGTCTACCCTACATCATATTTTTACACGTTTTGAATAAAATTAGAACGGCACTGAAGAATAGGAATTTAAGTCGGCCATTTTAGGAGCCCGTAGCGGTCGATCTAAGATTTTTTATAAGCTCCTTCCTTAATCTTTTTATTTAAAGAGAACACCAAACCAAAAGACGCGTTACTTTCTTATTCTATCTCATTCTTACACAATGGCCTTCCAGTCATTGCGGTCTGTAGAGTACGCGGAAGATTCGCAAAAGCGCAACCTTTATCATTCCATTAGAGACAATATAAAAAAATCAAACTGCCTTCGCATAAATCATATGTTTAAGTAATGTCTTGAATAAAAAATAAGATACAAAATAGTTAATGCGAATATTTGTTAGATTATTAATAGATTATGGTGCCCGGTGGCGTAGAGGTACAGGCTCTCGTCTACCAATCTCAAGGTGTGGGTTCGAATCCCACACCCGGCATTTCATCACCCGACTATTTTTATTAAAATAAAAATAGTTTGGGTACCTAGGTCGACTCAGCCTTAAATGAGTACTTGGGATTCACAATCCTGAGGTAATAATAGGCGGTTGAAGCGTAGTGCTAGCCACATTACCTTCCTTGTATACCCAACGGCTCTAGTATAGCAAGCTGTACCTTGCTACTCACAAGGCGTTATATAGCGTTTAACGCCTTGGGAGTAGCAAGGTACAGCCAGAGTACCTAAACCGACGAGTAGCGACAGTCCCGTTTTCAATTTTCTTTGCGGCTGCGCGAAATAAGTAGGTTATCTGTCATACGAAGAAACGAAGTTGCCACTGTTGCCATTTATCAAATATCTCTATATACTTTATTTCAAGTATACCTCAGGCAACGAATCGTTTTTTTAATTATTTATTAGCAGTAAGATATTTTATACATTCAAATTTAGAAATAAGGATAAAACAAAACAAAAAAGATATGTATAAAACTTTATAATTAATTCCACTTCAAATTGTGAGCAGTGTATACCATGTTTATAGGACCACTTCATAAGTTGAGCAGTTCAATATGTAGTCTATCTGTCAAACACGTCAAAAGAGAGAGAAAGAAAATTTGGTCCCACCACATCAAAAGAGCCGACGGTTTCTGTCGCTACTCGGCGATCTACGTACTCTGGTACAGCTTGCTATATTTCTATATTATTCTCTACGGGAGCTATTATTATTATTATATTAATAAATTATTGTGTAAAGTGTAATGATATAAAAAAAGAGTTTATGTTTTTAAAAGGACGATTATATAAAAAAAAGATTTTATGATATTGTCAGGGGTAGGCATTGCCTTTTTGCCTACATTATATACAAGCCACGGATGGACATACTATAAAGATATAAAAATAACTTACCGATGGCTACAGCGGTATCCATAGCATCACCCGTCACCATTTTAACCTGAACACCTGCCTCACTGAGTAGGTTAATAGCTTCCCTAACCATCGGTCTTGGAGGGTCACAGATACCCACAATTCCCATGTAAATCATTTCATTTAATGTATTACCTATACAAAAATATCATCGTGGATTAAAACCAAGTAGAGTTGATTTCTTATATAATTTTTCACCTTTTGCTAAAGCTATCACTCTTAGTCCTTTCTTTCCAATTTCGTGACATTCGGCTTGAAAGTCCGCCTTTTTCTTTTCAGTCATTGGTTGAATTGCCCCTGTTAACAGAATTAAACTAAAAAAATCTTCAGGAAATATAAATTAGGGCTTTACCGTTCACGCTATATCCAGTACATTTCGGTAAAATTTTCTCCAGTGCGCCTTTAGCGAAAAATATATCTTTTTTGTCGGCATCGTACTTGCCCACACACTGAACCGCCATCATTTTCTGTTCGGATGAAAATGGATATTCCTGCAGCCTAAAAATGGATAAGTAAAAGTTACACCTCTATCGTCAAAAACACTGTGTAATATTTTTAAATATAGTATATACCGATTTGGTCATCAAAACTGAACGGTCCGGATTTTAACGTGTAAAGCTTGATTTTCATGCATCCGTTATACGTTGATACGTTCGTCCGACGGTGCTCTGATTGGTCATATCGTTTTCGCGCCACTTTTCATCCGTAAATGTTTTACTTCAGCCCGTCAACGGACCCGTTCATACGATAACTGACGTTTTGACACTTTTTTGATAAACTTAATTTAACCTTAATAAAAATATAAGTAAAATAGCAAAATCGTTATGGAAACTATAAAATGATACCAACTTATATCCGATAAACGGAGGCATGAAAATGCAATAAATTTAAAAACTGCGTTATTTTCTAACCAATGAAAGTCTTTAAATTCTACCAATAAAATTAATATCGTATCAACGTATCGTCGGACAACAGATGCATGAAAATCAAGCTTAAGAGAGTGATGTAGACAACTTAATGGAAAATCAAATGTATTAAAAAGAGATAAAAAATGGGTCAATACATTTCTTCTATGCTGTATTGCCGAATTTTGCACCAAAATTTCAAACCGCACAAGTAGGCGTTTACGAAAAATCTTGCATCTAGAGTTGGAACTTTATTCTTCACTATTAGTTACTCATTTTACTACAGCTGGTAGTAGATTATATTACCAAATTACCTTCATTTCAGTAGTATACATGAATGTTTTTAAAATTGCTTATATTTTTCTAGCTTATATTTTTCTAGTCATTTATATTATTCTTTGTTACACGCAGTAAAATCCAGAGTACACAGTTTCGATGACCAGCAGGGTATATTCAATACCAATTAAACTTTTAGTTACATAATCGAGGGCGCGATTTTTACATTCAATATTGCCAACCATGGACATATTCGGCGCCGAGCTGACTAATCTGTCACATTTATTTATTTATTTCCTGACATTGCCATTTGATTTTGATACTTTAGATTTATATTACGAGTTTTTGCTTTAAATGAATTGTGTTGTGATTTTTTTTTCACAAGGGGTCGTCCTCTGCCGGAAACACTGCGACCTGTGGACCTATTGTGTTTGTCTCCTTTCTATATCTGCACCCATTCTCCTATCCCTGTGCCCTGCATTAACTTATGCAGGTCCTTAATAGGATGGGAGCATAGTTCCTCCGGTTCTAGCCTAGCTTTCCCAAATAAAAAGTGTCGCTTGAGATTCAGAGCCTCGCAGTGACATATTATGTGCTCCACTGTTTCAGAATCTTTATCGCAGAGTCTGCAGCAAATACTTCCTTGACACAGGTTGAGCTTGTTCAGGTAACACTTGGCAGCCATGTGTCCTGTCAAGAGGCCTGTTGTAATCCGCAATTTATTCCTACTAAGCATTAGCAGTTCTTTTGCGGTTTTACAGCTAGGTCCTTGGATAAAAGCCTTGCTGTGCCTGTGCCCCTGTCTGTTTCTCCAATGGACATTCTGCTTGTGTTGTGATACTTTAAGCTTAAACCGCAAAAGGTGAAAAGTTTACTAGCAGACCTTGCAGTCGAATATTGTTCTTTTTTCGAACCTATTTTAGTACGAAGTGTACAAGATAGCTTTATAGCAAAAAATTAATCGCAACTTTATTAGAATATTTTGAACGGAAAAGCAGTAATGGCCTTTTATCTCCCTTAAGTGTTGTTAAGAAGGAAAAGTCACCTTGATGTAAATAATAACTGTTTAAATACATATTTATAATTAATTTACTTTTGTTACCTAAAATACTTTGATTAAAAGAAAATATGTAAAAGTGGACAACGCTGTGCCAGCCAAGCTTAATCATGTGATTAAAAGTTTAATTGGTATGAACTATACATAATGATTTTGTTTTGTTTACCTAATATATCTATCTGCCACGTTATACATGCCGTGTTTCATTGCAGCGGCTAGCAGAGCACCTTCAGTAGGTTGTCCCATCAAAACCTCGTTGTTTATTATTGCGTTATTAGCTACAGCCCCTACCTGAAAATAGTTTCTTTATACACTAACGCAAATTTGCTACAACACAAATACAGTATTTTACTATATTAAACTTAATTATTTTAAGCGTGCATTGAGAAGGCAACTAAGGAAGAAACAGTTAATTAAATTGCTATACTTAGGGCTGGCAAAGATTAGCCTTGGGTCGAGATTTCCGTATGTAAGAGTACAATGCGTTTATAATGTACTGAACAAAGAGAGAACAGTAAACATGTTGCCAAACTTATGAAATAAACCGAGAATCTGTGCACATCGCTTAAGAAACGTGGAAGGGAATATAGCAGCTTTGGTCGACCCGTCGACCCAATCAGTACCTCTGTCAGTACTTAAAGTTCTAGGGAAAGGTGTACATCATACGTTCAGCTTCATGATTTAATTACGTCTCGTGATACTTTATTTGTTCATTTATTAAAGAGTCGTTGTAATTTTCTCTATAGCTTGAAAAATTTTAAGTGCAAGTTAGAAACACTTACATTTTTGGTAAAAATAAGTGGAATTAAATGTAAGTGTAAATTGAGTTGGTGTTCGACAGTGGTTGCGCTATTAGAACTCTGAATTCAAAAATCGATATCTCGAAATCTATTAGAAATAATTATTGATTGTAGTTTCTTCAAAAACTTTCTTAACATTTCTGCTATATTTTCTTCGCAGACAGTATGTGAAAATCATAAAAATAACTTAAAAATTTACACGAATGCTGAAAATTGCTATGCACTAAAAGTAAATGGATGGGTTGTTTAGAATTTTTGAATGGAAAAAAACAACCTTTTGGGGGGAATTTTTCTTATTTAAACGTATTGTAAAAGATCCGATCTTCAAAATAAAAAAAAAGTTTCAATATTAGTTTAAGCGGTTCTTAAGTTATAGCGTGTTATGTGTTAAAAAGTTGAGTTTTTATATTATCCCGATTACTGACGTTTTCTCGTTATAAAAAAAGGACACCCTAATAATATCCTTATAATTCCATTTCAGATGCTCCGAAACATATCTAATGATTTTATCTAGTTATGTTTTCAAAAAAAAGTCTTTTAAAAATTATTATTATTTAGTAATGTCCTCAAATATATTTTATTTGAGAAAAAGTTGTTCTCCAAAAACTGTAAAACTTAAAGTAAAAAATAAATACCTCGAGCAAGCTGGCGACGCTTTCTCTAGCCTTCTCCGGATAGTCACACTTGTGCAGTAGTATCTGACCATGATCGTTATATCCAGCACCTGTCAATTCTGCGATGTATCCATCCGAAGTAACCAAAACAGTAGCGGTCATTTCATTTCTAGTAATCGTTCCTGTTTTGTCGCTACAAATAACATTTACGCAACCTGTAATAAAAACGCGTTTCATTTGTTTAGATTTTGTTAATTAAACTGAAGAATTATATCACGTGGTGGAAAGAAAAAGTCATAGTAGGCGTTGAAATAACAATTTATTGTATCAGTAAAGTTCTTTGATAATGACAGTAACAAAACTGATTGTGTATTTAAGAAATATTAAAATTATAATTTGGAAATTATATGATTTTCAAAGTATAAAGGTATATTTGAACATATGGTATAGTAGTTTTAAGCTAGTTTGAACATACTTTTATATAATTTTAAAATGAAAACAAAATCATATAATGGTATCTTAAACCCACAGAATAAGGAACCAAGGCAAACATCAGAGGCAGACAAAAGTCAGAGTAACAGTCAATTTTAAATAATGTCACTTGGTAGTATTAAATCGTGGTATTAAAAGATATCATTTCGATTTCCATGTATATTTTAGATTTTAAATTTATGTTCTTTTTGAAAGTTTCTTATTGTGTTTAATTTAGTGAATGGCTAGACATTATTATAAAATGTGTTATATGTGAAGCTGACCACAATAGGAAAACAGTCTTATCCTTAAAAGAACTCCACAACACGAAAAGTATGAAAACATCTAAACTATGTTCCGTTCTTAAACCAACTTTTATTCGGTGAAATGAGAAAAAATCGGTGTAATGATAAGTAATTTCGTAAAAATGATATATATACAAAAGAAAGACAGACGATTGGTTCAGTCAAAGACAATCATATAGTCGAATTTCGCTAATGTATCTTCAACAAAAATGAAACAAATTTACTTATCCACGAAGTTTATAAGATTTAAGAAAATACCGTACTTACCGAGTGTTTCAACTGTTGGCAGTTTCTTTACTATAGCTTTCCGTTTAGCCATTCTCATCACGCCCAACGCTAACGTTACCGTTACAACGATAGGTAAACCTATTTGAAGAAAAAAAATATATAATAGTAGTCTTTATAATAAAGAACCACAGATGTTTCTTTTTTGTAGTTTTATTTCTTTGTGTCATATAATCATTTACAACAGATAAATCCGACAAAAAAGAATGATCTTTTTTGGAGCCTTAATATCTACAGCTTACCTTCAGGTATGGCAGCTACAGCTAAACTGACTCCTATTTGGAACATTTCCAAAAGCACCTTGCCCTGCCACCAGCCGATAAGCATAATGACAGCAATGATAGCGAATGAGTATAGCGACAACTGCGTTCCAAGCGAATCCATCGACTTTTGAAGTGGAGTTTTAGGCGCCTTTTCTTCCATCATCATCTTGAAAACCGTACCGAACTCGCTGTTTGTTCCAGTACTAACCACGATACCCTACGTAAATGAATTTAAGCTAGAACATAGTCCTACAAAGCTATGAATAACACTACCTTTCCATTTCCTGCTCTAACCAAAGTACCCATAAAAGCTATATTGGTGTTGGATGCGTGTGCTCCGTTTGGTCTCAAAACGGAGTTAGTATTTTTCCTGAAACGATGACAAACTTAATATAAAGTAATTAAAAATGGTTGTAATACCAACCTAGAGGGCTCTGTTTCACCGGTGAAACTACTTTCGTCGATAAGTAAATCGACTGCGTCAAACAATCTGAGATCTGCAGGGACACGGTCACCTACATTTAGGAGAACAATGTCTCCAGGAACCAATTCCCGAGCCAAAAACGTGTCAGGGGTTCCTTCGCGTAAACTAAAAAGAACAAATATAAAATTAGATTGTCTACAATGCACTCGTTTTGATAATATAACTTCCGTTTTGATGATAATAACAATGATAATATGATGACAAATAATTCATTAAACGATTGCAAACATTGCAAATAATATAAGAATATTTAAAATTAATACCTTGTAAGTAATTATACCCTGCTGGTCATCCAATTTATGTGGTCTGGATTTTAATGCCTGTGACAGAGAATAATATAAATGGCCGGTTGACAGACAGAGAAACAAAATCAAAACCTTAATATAAGCTATTTTAAAAACTTTCATGTATACTACTGAAATAATGATAATATGTCTAAACTAAATATAATATATTACAGCTGTTGTAAAATGAGTAACTAATAGCGAAAAATAAAGTTTCAACCCTAGATACAACATTTTTCGTAAACATCTACTTGTGTGGTTTGAAATTTTGATGCAAAATCCGGCAATACCGCTTACAAGAAATATGTCGACCCAATTTTTATCTTTTTACAACATTTGATTTTCCATTAATCTGTCTACATCACTGTCTTACATGTTAGAATCCAGACCGCACACTTTCGATGACCAAATCTGTATATCGAGAAACTATAGCTGATTTCAAACGAATAATCGTTGGTTATGGTTGACAGATAAACAATGCTTTAAACGTCAATTGTCAATCAGTTGCTACACAGCTGACAGCTGACGTTTAAAGTTTCTATTTCAAAAGTGCGAAAAAGTATTATTAAACAGTTTTAAGATTTTCGTATATTAATATAGGTTAATCGGTGTCAGTAATTGGCTTAGGCTGTTGATGCTGTGATTTTAATAAATAAATAAATAAACTGACATCAAGTGTCAAATTTCAAGCGAATAACCGTTGGTTAAAGTTGACAGATAAACAAAGCTTTAAACGTCAGTTGTCAATCAACTGCTAGACAACTGACGTTTAAAACTTTGTTAATCTGTTAACCATAACCAACGGTTATTCGCTTGAAATTGGCTTAGTGTGGGTTTACATGCATCCGTAATGCGTCATCAGTTGATTTTATGTAATTTTATTGGTATTTTTCAAAAATGACAGCTCATACTTGAATATGATTGGACTAACGGGACGACGGACGACGCATTACGAATGCATATAAACTCACCTTTTTGGTTAAGCTCGTTGTATTTGACACTTAATGCCAGGTTAATAATATACTTTCGCACTTTTCTGCTTAGGCGTAAAAGTGCTTTACTTTTATGCCTACGTATTAAAATGACGTTTTTATATTGTCATTCTTGTCGCAAACATGAATACTTTTGTGACGTTTGAAAAAGAATAATTATATATATTATGTTAAAATTATACAGCACACGGTTAAACGTATTGGCCGTATTTGTTTATTGCCATTACAATATAAATATACAAAAAGTATTTTCAGTTAATATTGATAAGGCATAATATAATAAAGCACGAAAAATATTAGACGATATTAAATAATGCTTTTAGACGATATTAAAGAGAGATTTATTTAATAAAAAACAATAAAATATTTTTCACAAACTACGCCGCAATAGCCTTATTCACATTAGATTAATCTGCGCAAACTACGTGGAACAAGCAATCGAGATTGTAAGGTATATGTGTCCAAAAAATCCTATATGGGTATTTCGCCACTGCAAGAAAATCTACAATATAAAATAGTTATTTTATGCGAAACAAACACTTCTGCGTTAATCCCAAACGGAAACTACTTGTCAGAAATTAGTTTAATACACTTAGCTCCATTTTATCAAATACTAAACCAATGAATACAGAACGACAAACAAAAAATGTAATGTACCAAAAACCATGTGAATGCGGTAAATTTTACATTGATGAAACATCTAGACCCTTAAATGTTCGAATTAAAGAACATAAAGATTATTTAAGAAAGGGAGATTTTCACAAATCTAAGATTTGTCAGCATTCATGGGACACAGGGCACAGAACACATTTTAATAACGCCAAAATTATAATGAAAGAAGCGATAGCCTCTAAAAGAAAAATAAAAGAGGTTTTTTTAATACAATCTAATAAAAATAAATGTATTGCTCATGCAACTGTAGATGTTAGTAATGTATGGCAATCGATTTTTTGATTTTAAAAAACATAACATAAGTAAAAATTAAAAATAATCATACAGAAAGTTTGGGCCTTTTTGGTTTTACCTTATTAAGTAATTGTTATCAGGTAGTAATTGTTAATTTTGAAGTTTAACTTGATATAATGTCATTTCACTCAACGATATAATGTCATTTCACTCATCACAAACAGAACGTCGGTTTTTGTAGACGTATCTGTTTTAAAAAAAACTAAAGTGTTCTCGAATAGTTGAATTTAAATATTTTAAATAGTTTTTTTCTTTATTTTTTATATTTTTTGCTTCCGACGACGGAAAAAGATAAACTTTCCGAAACGTTAAGTATTTTTTTGTTCGTATATCTTTAAACCTAACTTCTGACAAGTAGTTTCCGTTTGGGATTAACGCAGAAGTGTTTACATAAAATAACTATTTTATTTTATGATTTTCTTGCAGTGGCGAAATACCCATATAGGATTTTTTGGAGAGATAAATCCGCCACATAGGTATAGACATTTTTTAAGGTATATGTAAATTTGGGGATACACAACCTTGACCACCCTCAAAAATGACTCTTTTTGGGCTATCAAATCGTCAATCTAAGGCTAAATCTAAGGTAGATCTGGTATTTTAAGAGTCGAATCGGGAGTTACATCAAGCTTTATGGACCTGCATCCAGGTTCCACTTACACATCTGTAGATACCAAAGCTACCTAGGGATGATACCTACCAATGGCAAGATGGCGGCACCAGCTTCGTCAGCTCCTGCAAGCTCTTCTCCGATCGGTATTCCTGCACGAAAGCTACGGTGACGACAATAATAATGGCGACCGTAATACTGATGGCGTCGTCCAGCTGCTGCATGGCTCCCGACACGACTGCCGAAGCCAACAGTAGCAGGATGAGGGGATTTTTGAACTGCTCCAAGTACTTCTTCCATGGAGGATCCTCCACCGATACGGTGAATTCGTTGTATCTAGGAAATCAAAAAACATATATTCGATTAAGTACACATAAATAAAAGAGACAGTTTCAATAAAATAATACTCGTTTAGATACAGGGCCAAAAATATACCAATATTACAGATTTTACTTTTATGGAGAATTACGGAACAATGACAGATTTTCATTGTTATCTACAGGGTGGTCCGAACTGTATTCCGGAAACTTCGGCAACATATTCTGCATATGAAAATATGTAAAAAAGTTTGTATAATGTATGTCCTAAAATGCTTAGTTTCGGAGTTACAGGGTGTAGAAGTTTCGATTTTTTCAAATAATTTCTGGAGTAACGTCAATATTTGAATGCAAATTGTTCTCTGGAAGTTTTTTTGCCACGAAAAATTTGATTTAGATGTCAATATGACTCCTACTTGTAGAGTGGGCCACCTACATATTTTTAATTGGTTTGAAGGGAAATAACTTTTCGTCCGTACCTGTATAAAACTACTGGGTAAAAAAATATACATTTACGAAGTTTTTTACATAAAAAATGTCTCTTAGTAAAAATCACTATGAGTAATGATTCTCGTGATATTTGGAACTGAAATTATTAATACCTGTCATTGACATAAATTAAACATGTTGACTAGATAGTTTTTAGACTGAAATCATAAATTTGAAACTTTTTTGTGCCAAAAGTTCAACAGACAATGTTTTATCATCATTTTTTGAAGAAAAATTTACGATTAGAACTTTTATACAGGTACCGTCGAAAAGTTATTACTCTTCAAAACAGTCAAAACGCATGTAGGTGGCGCCCCCTAGAAATAGGAGTCATATTGACATCAAAATCAAATTTCTCATGTCATAAAACTCCCAGACACCACTTTTCATCAAAATATTGACGTTACTTCAGAAATTATTTAGAAAAAATGGAAATAAAAATGAAACTTCTACACCGTGTATCTCCGAAACTAAGCATTTTAGGACATACATTAATACGAACTTTTTTATTTATTTTTATCTGCAGAATATGCTGCCGAAGTTTCCGGAATACAGTTCGGACCACCCTGTATATAAAATATTCTTTAGTCATGTAGTGCTGCCAGATACTGTGATATTTTAACAGTGAAATCAAAGTAGCAACTCACAGATAACTTAAGAATAAACTGTCAATAGCCACAACAATTCATCGCCGCAACGCTTTAAGGCCGATTTGCTGGTACGTCAGTGCCATATAAACACTTATCTGTACTAGTGATTTGGTTTGGAATATATTTTTAACACAGGTAACAAAATAATATATAATAAGCAAGTTTAGGAGACATCGATTTAATGTGAGTATAAAGGTAACTAAAATATTTATTTAATAATACTTTAGTTACTTGACATCAAATTTATTAAACAACAAGCAATCGTAAGTAAAAATAAACTTTTGTATTTCGTATCTGTATATAATAACTTTTAACACGAAATATATTCTGACATCCTTGAAATATTATAATTATACACATATAATGTTATGTTACCATAGCGTGTGATGTTCATAAACTTTTAGAAAGAAGTAAATATGTAACGGCACCCTGCCAGGACCAATTTTTAGCTTATTTTGAAATAAAAACTACTAAATTTAATAGTTTGCCAAGTAACAGAGTTTTCGGACACTAATAAAAAATTAGAAAAGATAATGCTCATATTTTTTTAATACTTTTCAATTTATTGCCTACAGTTTCCTGTGGTTTTATACATATACTTATAGGAACTTTATTAACAAAACCATCTGTTGCTAACGTTAAAAAACAATTTTTGTAAGCGAGATCAAAAGTTGACATATGATATGTCATTCTATTCAGAGTACCATTTTCTATCAAATAAAGTAAAAATATACCGAGTGAAAATTTCCGGTGAAACATGAAGTGATCAAAAACAATTCAATACGTCAATCAATCCTAATTTATGTCATATACTAACACACCAAATCTCGTTTTTTTATCTGAAAAAATAAAAAAGTTATAGGTTTGATCCAATTTTGAGATGCACCCGGTATACATACTTATATATTTATACGTATGTAATTATTATTATTATTATAAGAGACATTCACACACTGTTTAATAATGAAAACAAAAAATATGTTTTAATTACAATCATAACAACGCTATTAAAATTTAATTTTTATCTGGCAAATAATTAATCTCGTATAAGGTCTTGATAAATAAGGTGATGATGACTAGCAGACTGAGAAAAATCTGAGATTGGAATGGAAAAACTGAAAAATTGAGATTGAAAAACGCATGCGATTTTTGTCAGTTTGACCAATTTTAAATACACTAATGCAAGTAGTCTTAGTAGGTTGGGTCTTGAGGGTGAATTTTAAAGTTTATAGAACTGAGCCACAATAGGATCTTATTTTACTTACTAAAAATATTTGGGGTTCTTTGTGATTTCAATAATATATAATTTTAATGTACAAATCTTACCCGCACAACACTCTTCTTTGTGTGGCATCTTGCCAGCTAATTCCTTTGCTGACATCTACCTCTAACCTTTCGGCGACTGCTTTGAATTCCAAACTACTCGCCTCGCTGGCAGTCAACCAATTCGGCGATTGATTATCGTCCTGAAAAAATGCACATATAAGTATAAAGAAGACTATAAGAAGAATACAAAGTTCAAATAATGTTTGGTACTCTCTTAATATGTTAGTATATAAAAAATAGTTATCCGCCCATACCAATCCATTTATTTCACTAAAAAACGTTTCTAATATTTTTAAGTTAACTATAAATGAGTTTATATAAATCCGTTATGCGTCGCCTCTTGTTGATTTTAACCAATTTTATTGGTTTATTTCAAAAATGACCACATTATATTTCAATATTATTGGAGTGACGGAACGATGAACGACGCACGAACACAGATGCGTATGAATTCGACTTAAGACTTTTGAGACTTGTCAAGCTCTTGCCAAATTATAGGTTAAATTTCAAATCAAATTATATCAAACAGAAATGATAAATATTTTGAATTTTAGACTGTGTTATTACATATGTTTTGTGGTTTTAAAGTTAAATGGAGGAAAAATTAAGGGAAAACTAAGTGTAGACCCAGAACACAGTTTATAATTAATATTCGGTGGCCAGAAACACAGTTTGCCAGAGATATATTTAGAAAGTTATATTAGCCACCAATAAAGTTTGTATACCTAAAAGAGTAGGAGTAAAATAACATCACACGATAGGTAAATAATATATTTTAGTAGGTCCTGCAGGTATTTACAGGTACTACAGCATTTAACAAATTAAGATTAAAGTTAATTGATTAACTTGTAAGGTCTAAAATTAAGTAAGTGTTATTTTTAATAAATTATTTTGTTTTATTTATGTTTTGTGTTATTTATTTAATTTATTTTGTACATTTTGTGCATAATATTTTGAAGTTAACCACTTGTCCCTAAAATTTTAGATATATTAATTTCCTACTATGCGTTCCAACCGTACCAACTTATTTATTAGCAAAATAAAATAAACTACTTTGAAATTATAATGACAGACACATCTATCACTGTGAATGATTTTGTCGTTGGACAGACTAAAGTTTATGCATAACTATTTCTCTCCAAATTATGTAGAAAATCTGCCCAATTTTACTGATATATCAGCATGTATAGTGGAAATATGTGTATTATATGTATAGTAGTATCACAGTTTATTCACTACCAGCTCGTCAACTTCGCTTGTTTTTCTGTATTTCATCTGCTGCGCCTATTCTACAACTGTTTTCGTACACTTGGTAAGATTTTCATACAAATTATGGCAGGCAGAGATGAAGAGGCTGTAATAGCATGTAATAAAATAGTTTTTAACTATTAATATTACTACAAAAATTTGAGTTTCAGAGTTATCACGTTTATTTGTTTCTTATCTTATTCGCAAGAATTTATCAATTTTAATCCTTTTTGTAAATCGTGTGTATTTGATTATTTCACCAAACATGGATTATATTTACTATACATTTATATGGTGGAAAGAAATGGTGATTGGGCAGGATTATAGAATAATAGGTCTATTAGTTCTATTATTTTTAGCACGTAAGCTTAAATGTATAGACCAAGGCCGATTGGATGATATGTTGATACACATGTTACTCCAAATTTAAATAAAATTATATAAGGATTCTTGCCACTTAACTGCTTATATAGAAATTTAATTCTACGCTGTGTTTGTTATAATGTGGATCAACCTGCTCTCACTACCGGTTTCGGAGCCCTACTCCATCATCAGGAGCTTGGGCAGATCCACAAAATGACAACCACAGCGCAGAGATAGTTAATTCCGACTTGTCGGAAAGTGTCGGTTAGATATTAAGTCCCGAACGGAAGATAGCGGCCTGCGTGCAATGGTAGTACTTTCGTACCACCGGGGCGCAACTATCGATAGTGAAAGGACGGTAAAAGGCTTTTTTTCAGGCAAGCCAAATTATAAAATAGAAAACAAATTTCTTGCAGTATAGGTATATAATAAAATTATATAAGGATTCTTGCCACGTAACTGCTTATATAGAAATTTAATTCTACGCTGTGTTTGTCATAATGTGGATCAACCTGCTCTGACTACCGGTTTCGGAGCCCTACTCCATCATCAGGTGAGCTTGAGCAGATCCACAAAATGTAAATATTTTATAATTTGACTTGCCTGAAAAAAAGCCTTTTACCATCCTTTTACTATCGATAGTTGCGCCCCGGTGGTACGAAAGTACTACCATTGCACGCAGGCCGCTATCTTCCGCTCGGGACTTATATCTAACCGACAGTTTCCAACAAGTCGGAATTAACTATCTCTGCGCTGTGGTTGTCATTTTGTGGATCTGCCCAAGCTCACCTGATGATGGAGTAGGGCTCCGAAACCGGTAGTGAGAGCAGGTTGATCCACATTATGACAAACACAGCGTAGAATTAAATTTCTATATAAGCAGTTAAGTGGCAAGAATCCTTATATAATTTTATTATATACCTATACTGCAATAAATTTGTTTTCTATTCCAAATTTAAATTTATACTAGCACGAAAACTGCTTTATCTCACACAGTCCTTTAAGAAAGTACTTACACATAAAAGCACCCTTGTATATGTATTATTTATCATAAAAATAATTGTTTATTTTCAAAAATCACAATTATTCGATCTGACAATTTATTAACATTTCTGATTTAAAATATCTTTAAAACTGCCCAGTTCTGGTTGTCAATCAAGGAGTCAGTTACTGTAACTGATTTTGGCTAGATATCCTGTAGCCATTTTAGAGGTTGCTCTTCATCAATCAGCAAAAATTATTGTTTTTGGTTACTCCCTGTTTCACCGAAAATAACCACAACTTGTTCTTTAAATGTATTGTATTGTATTGACTAAGAGTGGGTCCCATGGGACCCTCCACTGCGGCCGCGAGGGCCTATTGTGGCTCAGTTTAAGCTCTTTAATATAAAAAAGCGTTAAAGTTCACCCTCAAGACCCAGCCTTTTAATGCTAAAAGGCTGGTGGTTAACGTTAAAAGGCTGGTTAATGTTAAAAGGCTTTGTCTTTTATTGTTAAAGGGCTGGTGGACATAACGGCCTATGTAGGCCGTTATGTCCGAGGGTAATATGTCTCCTAGGTCTGATAGGTCTAGCATGGATTTGCCAAACAACAAGAAATTTAAAATATGAATTTTTTATAAGCAAAATGTCAAAAGTTGACATATGATATGTCATTCTATTCGGAGTATCATTTGCTATTCAATAAAGTAAAAAATATGGAGGGTGTCATTTAAAAATCAAAAGTTGTAGTCATTTCCGGTGAAACAGAAAGTGACCAAAAACAATTGAATACGTCAATCAATCCTAATTTCTGTTATATATTAACACACCAAATCTCGTTTTTTATCCGAAAAAATAAAAAAGTTATAGGGATGAGCTTTTGAGACGCACCGGGTATATTAAAATTCGAAAGTAAGTAATCCGTGTGTCATTTAAAATGGTTTCTAGATAAAACGAGAATCGACTAAAAAGTTATTTATCCAGATTTTAACCTAATAAATAATTACTTAATTAGTTAAGTTTGATAAATTTATTTTTAATATAGTCTAAAAACTGCACGTGTCATTAAATCGTTTAGCATGAATGCGTAATCTAAAAAAATAAAAATCCTTGGAAAAGCTCATTTGAATTACAGCACTTCCGGTTTCAATAAAAGCAAATTATTTAAATTATCGATAACTATATACTATACATATGGATGGATGCGAAGTGTCAGTATTTTTCGCTGCTATATATTTCTCTATATCGCTAGAACCAAATGGTTAAATGAATCCCTCTGTATACAGGGTGTCAAAAAATAGTTTTTATCTAATTTTGGTGGGTGATTCTACAGATCAAAATAAAACAAAAAGTTCCTGAAGAAATTACAGCCCTCAAAAGGTTAAATAAAAATAATATATTTTGTTTACTTTTAAGAACATTGGTAAACCGTTTTATCCTGAAATTTGGTACTCTGGAGCTTCATTCAGAACCTCGAAATCAGTGGAATAAATTAGTAGTTTCAATTAGTCGTATATAGAAGTTTGTTCGCCTAATTTTAATGTAAGCATTCAGAACGTCATAATTAGTGGTAGTCATTTTCAATTAGTGGAAGAAGTTAACAAACTTTTGACTTTTCCACTAATTATAATTTCAAAATTTGTGAGGAATGTCATTTTGGCCTTTGATTATCACCCGTCAAGAAAAATTTTGGTTAGAAATCAAAAGTTTATTGTTTTATAAGCTAAATATTATGCTTTCTCTATGGATACCGCAAGCTGTTGTTAGGATATTTTATTAATTTTAATTGTGTTTTTTAGACATTGTGAATGATCGTAAACTAAAAAGTATAAAGTGTAATTGAAACGACTAATTTATTCCACTAATTGGGAGGTTCTGAATGAAGCTTTACACACATTTTAATCCCAAAGCGAATGGCGATTATGAAGTAACAGCCTCGAAAGGGTACTTTCCTTTAGGGTAGAGAGTACTACTGATGGTACTTCTTTTGTCCTTGTAGATACAGTAATTTCAATAAATGAAAATTAAAGCCAGGACTTTTTTTATGTAATAAATACACTATTTTTTGACACACTGTATGTATTATTTAGGTCGCGAGACGTTTGAAAAAAAAGAACACACTATTCGGAGTAAAAATGTACTTTTTGTTGTATCTGTCCAGATTAGCCCTGGCGGCAAAAAGGAGACGTTAACTGAAATCTTTACTTTTTGTACTTTTTGTCTCGCCTGTAACGTCAAACCGAAAGCCTCGCCGCCACGAAAAGTATCATTTTTACTCCTAATAAAACAATACATACAGGGTGGCCCATCGAAAACGTTCCACAAGGCATAACGGCTAAGGTATTCTTTTTTTCAAAAAATTCAAAAACACGTCAATTTTGTTTATAAGGGGGACAACTTTTGCCCCAAAAATGATTGCAAAATCATCAACCCTCTAAGCGGGGGTGTCATCCCCCAACTTTTTCAAATGGGAAGAGGGGTCAAGTGGCGCCGCAATGAAAAGAGCTTTCTATTCTCTATATTTCTCCGCCTCGTTTTTGAAAATCGGTCGAGTCATTGAGAAAATAGTAAGGATTGAAATTTGAAAAGTTTATTTAAACATTTATCAGAGTAAATGATAAGGATAAATTCCTTCGACTAATTTGAGGTTTTTTCTTATTATTTCTAGGTGTTTACGCATTTTTTCACTTGCCACAAGGTTGAACGATCAGGTGCGGTAGTTGCTAGATAGCTGTTCTGTGACTTGTGCGTTGAAGTTCTTCTCAATATCGTTAAACTCACCCACAATAGAATTTTCAAAAATAACAGCCCACACGTTCAATTTCTGAGGGTTTTGTGTGTGCACCTCGTGAAAACCCCTGGAGTTGTCCTCAGCCGAGTACCGACGGTTGTGCTGATTAACTACACCGTTCAAAAAGAAAATACACTCATCTGAAATACACACATTAAATAGGAAATTATTATCATTCGCCACTCGTTCACTCATAGTTTCACAAAATTGCCATGGATCCATGGCAATTTGCAATACGAATACCTCCATAGCTTCATTTATTACAGGATTTTCCCTCTGCCTCTTTTTATTCATAACGGAACCAGTTTCGCTAAATTTTGCTAACTCGCGAACAATTTTGCCATAAAGTGTTTGTCAGGATGGCGTTCGTTGAATATCTGCGCAACCCGATTGCCACATTCATTATTTTTAAAATAAAGTTCGATTATTTCCACTGTTTCTACAAGTGAGTACACCATAATTATTAAAAAGTTTAACGATATTGAGAAGAACTTCAACGCATAAGTCACTGAACAGCTATCTAGCAACTACCGCACCTGATCGTTCAACCTTGTGGCACGTGAAAAAATGCGTAAACATCTAGAAATAATAAGGAAAAAACAGCAAATTGGTCGAAGGAATTTATCCTTATCATTTACTCTGATAAATGTTTAAATAAACTTTTCAAATTTCAATCTTTCATATTTTCTCAATGACTTGACCGATTTTCAAAAACGAAGCCGGAAAGTATAGAGAATAGAAAGCCCTTTTCATTGCGGTACCACTTGACCCCCCTTCCCATTTCAAAAAAATTGGGGGATGACACCCCCCGCTTAGAGGGTTGAAGATTTTGCAATCATTTTTGGGGCAAACGTTGTCCCCCTCATAAACAAAATTGACGTGATTTTGAATTTTCTGAAAAAAAAATTACCTTTTCGATGGGCCACCCTGTATATATATTACCTATTATTAACTAAATAAATAAAAACCAACATTCGATATATCGGTAACAAAACGTTTATAGATACCGGGTGGTGCATTGTTGAAAAAAAAATAATTCATACGAATTTTCAACTGTCCAAATATTGGCTACCCTGTTGATTTTACTACTTGAGTTCTTAATATATTTTTTAAGGGTTTGCGTACGGTATAAATACATGTTAGCTACAATGCACCACCCGGTTAATTTGTTTATTTATAACTAAAAATCTGTTTTTAGAATGTTTCGCAAGATTCACAGAGTCGCCTTGTATAAATATTCTGTTCCATGAGACTGAACGTTTAATTCCATCTTAACAAGAAAATAATATTACACCTATTAGAGATAATGATACCTCTTATTATAGCAGGAAATGCGGCTTCAAATTTATGTAACTTGCTTCAATTCAGCTTAATTCGACGTTGCTGTTGTTATTATTAGGTGTTATTTTCTTCTTAAGGCTTTTAGCACTGATGCTATTATTTTATTTTTATTAATCTATACCGTTTTGTCCTTATTACTGTCAAAAAAACTCTCAAAAAAAAATAAAACAATTAAATCTAAATTCAATTAACTACTTTAATTTATGGTCTGGAAACAAAAGAGTAAAAATTATCAGTTCATTTTTTTTTCAAAAAATTATGAAAATTGTGAAAAAATTATATTATACGTATTTAATTCAGTAATTCCCCATAACAACTGAGGAGCAGACTATCTAGATGAATTTTGTCCATTTTTTCGAATTCTGGAAACAAAAAAAAACTGCCACGCATTTTGCAAGGAACTTACCGAAAAACTAGTATACTTGAAAAATGGATGAAAAATCATAAAAATAGTACACAGACATGTGAAAAATCTAGTTTTGATTATATCTAGTTTGAAAGAAACTTACCGAAAAACTAGTATACTTGAAAAATGGAAAAAAAATCATAAAAATAGTACACATACATGTGAAAAATCTAGTTTTGATTACATCTGAAAAAATTGAAAAAAACTGTTGATTGTCCTTTAGATGTAGGGTTGCTACTTGTCCTTTTTTGAAAAGGAGTCCTTTTTTTGGAACAAATTGTCCTTTTGACTTTTTTTCGCTTAAGTCCTTTTTATTTACGTATTTTTCCTGAGAAAATTATCTACAGCAACAAGAAATATTCCTTTCATCCAAATTTAATTAGACATGGTATAAAACTTAGAACTAAGTGTTTTTTTTCAAACATCACAAGAGTATTAATTTCTGCAACGTGATTGCTATATAAAAAAGTCATGTTAACGCCTAAGCATAAAAATAAAGCACTTTCACGTCTAAGCACAAAAGTACAATACCGGGTGCGTCTCAAAAGTGGCTCACCCCTATAACTTGTTTATTTTTTCAGATAAAAAAACGAGATTTGGTATGTTAGTATATGACATAAATTAGGACTGATTGGTGTATTCAATTGTTTGTAGTCACTTCCTGTTTAACCAGAGATGACTACAACTTTTGATTTTTAAAAGGTACCCTCGGTATTTCTTTTTTTTATTCGATAGAAAATGACATTCTGAATAGAATGTCATATCATATGTCAACTTTTGACATTCTCGCTTAATAAAAAATTGTATTTTAAAATTCAATCTAGAGTGCCATGGCTATGTTAAAAACACTAACTCTTCATCAAGGAGCCTTGGAAAGGTCTAATGTTTTTAGTGCCTTGTCCTGGCCAGTTAGAAAATGCTCAAATCGTATTTTTAATCATATCTCAATTTTTTCAAATGGAACGAGGGTGGCTCATTAGCATATTTAGAAAAAGCATTTTTTTACGAATAATTTGATACCACACACTTGGTATTTCAAGTAAAATTTTCGTTACGAACCGCAAGTTATACTTTCAAATAAACCATACGCGAAAATGTCAAAAGTTGACATATGATATGTCATTCTATTCAGAGTGACATTTTCTATCGAATAAAGAAAAGAAATACCGAGGGTACCATTTAAAAATCAAAAGTTGTAGTCATTTCCGGTGAAAGAGGAAGTGACTAAAAACAATTGAATACGTCAATCAATTCTAATTTATGTCATATACTAACATACCAAATCTCGTTTTTTTTAACTAAAAAAATAAAAAAGTTATAGGAGTGAGCCACTTTTGAGACACACCCGGTATATTAATGACAAATTGCATTTAGTAAGTCTGCTCCTCAACTGTTTACCGTCATCAGACAAAGATAAGTCTAATAACATCGTACTTATAACTCATGAATTAAATACGACTTCACATAAGACTACTTTTTAGTCAAATTTATTTCTTTTATAACTAAACCTGCGTTTTAATGATAAGAAACAAAATAATTCAAATTATAGGAAATGACATTAGAATATTTGTAACTGTGAAAGTCCTATTGATCAAAAAACATTGTGATCGTACAATATAATTTGTTTACATTGTGAAGCTGTGATCTGTGTGATCATAATCAATGCATCAAACTTAAATCAAATTAAAAAACAAAATAAATCACGCAGTAAAATTTGTTTATATTCTGAAAATATAATGTCATCACAGTCAGTGTTAAAAAAAAATAAACAAATATAAATCGGCTTAAAAAATAAGATTTAAATATTTCTCACCTTTTTGTTGTTTTTGAAAAATGGCCAACATTTCCCCATATCGAATCACCAAAAAGCCACAAAAGACTTAAAAAAACTACACTAAACGATATTTTCGAAAAAAAACTTAAGGAAAACTCTCTTGAATAAATGAAACAACCGGCTTTGACTTCAATCGACTGCAGAAAACGTGCCGTTTTACAAATTGACCAAAAATCGATTAATTTAAGTAGTGCGATAGGCTAGTAGTAAAAACGGAAAGGCACATTCCTTGTTTGTCGTTGTAAAACAGATGATTTTGTTACAATAAAAACTCTAAACTAATAAAATTCGCTTTTCGGGCGACATTTATTTATATCTGGCGGTTCTTCGCGATCATATCGCCTTAACAATTTGTTTGAGAATGGTTTAAGATAATTAAACAAAAACCACTGATGCTGTGACTACAGCCTCCTGTTTTTTTTTTGGGTGGGGGTGGTATAGTATAGTGTCGCCGAATGTATAGGTAGCTTTACAGTAGCAATGTAATTTCAGAAGAAAATAATTCATTCACTTTAAAATGTTCAATGTTGAACTGTTTTTTCATGCAACAATACAAAAATTAAATATTGTTTGTTGGTTAGCGCATAACTTTACAACGCAACGGTTGAATTAATTTACCTATTTTTTAATTTGTTACAATAGTAGTACAACAGTATTACATACATTGTGTCAATTTTAAAACTTCCCACCCTTAATATCTTTCTTGCAGTTAAAAATATGAGAAATCGGAAAGACACGTCAATTTTATTTGTAAGGGGGACACTTGAAATGAATAGTTTTATCCTTTTTTTGAATCCCCTAGGAGGGGTAGATGTCACCCTTACCATCTTAAATGGCAATGGGGGACAAGTGGCACATCGTTTTAAAGGGCGTTTAATTTTCTTTTCAGTGGTATCCTACTTTCTTGTTTTTAGTCCAGAAGTTTCCGAATAATCGCGTTTCAAAGTTGCAGAAACAATTAAACATGCCTGCATTGAGATTTTGGTTTTCAGGCTAGTGTTTACACAAAAATTATTGCAATGCGTCTCCTTGTGGTACAAATGATTAGAAGATTAGATGGCAACATGGACGTAGCCATTACATTTTTCTAGGGGGGTCGAAATATTAATAAACAGAAAACATCATAAACATTAACGTTTCTTTTCTCAAATTCGATTATTGGAGTGACGAAAACGCGCATATTTTTCGAGAAGGACATACACAATATGTTAATGTTAAAAGCCCCAAAAAGTTAATGTTTGGGCAGGTGTTCTTGGAAATTCCATTACTGGTCCTTAATTTATTGAAGGAAACCTTACAGGTGATCTATATCTTAATATGCTTCAAGATACTATTGTTCCTTTTTATCTCTCAAGAGCTAGAAACTCAAATTGATGCAGAGGGTAATACAGTTTTACAGAAGGATTTGTTAACATTCCAGAAGGACGGTAGTTCCTCCACCTCATTATTTTCTTCCGGTCCGCCAGTGGCTAAACCAGAGATTTCTGGGTACATGAATTGGCAGAAGGGGATCAATTGAATAGCCTCCAAGTTCACCGGATATAACTCTCTTAAACTTCTTCGTTTGGGGACATCTTAAATCCATTGTTTATAAAACACAACCTATTGGTAGGTAATCTTAAAAGGCGAATTACAGCAGAATGCCGGTTAATTGTTTACAGGAAAATGGACACCATTTTGAACAACTTATAAGATAGGTCGTAAGTGGTGTAACCTAATCTTCTAATCATTTGTAAAGTAAAGAAAGTAAAGATTTGAAGTTAACGTCTCCTTTTTGCTGCCAGGGCTAATCTTGGACGGGGACTACTTTGTTTGCGGAATCCGAACCGCGGTCCTCGGCCATAGCATGGTCAATGGCCTACCGACTTGGCAAGTGTCTAAATCGACTTTTACTCACGAGATATCCGATCTCATTCTCATCCGGCCTCGAACCGGCGAGAATGAGCAGTGTGTGTCAATAGATTTTACCCTTTTGCCTTTTTTGTACAACAGCCCGATACAGAGTTTCGAACCGGTCACGCGTCCATCCACTAGTATCGCCTTACGTCGCTTAACTTCGGTGTTCTAATGGGAACCGGTATTTCGACGTAACTGGGCCGTTGTCCTAATCATTTGTACTACGAGCCCTAACAACTATATGTTGGGACAAGGTCTTTTTTGCAATGAAAATAGTAATTTGTTAAAACAACTCAATTTATTTTGTTTATTATTCTAAATTCAAACATTACAATATGATCTAGACAATTTTACTACATTTTTATAACTTTGCAAACAAATCACTTTTGATAATAGCTTATTTTTCCAAAATCAACCCAAATTTGCTGACAACTATATATTGGGACAGCACAACAAGAAATTTGTTTAATACGGAGTTACGTCACCTTTCGCCTTAACAACTGCCTGAACTCTTAATGGCATTGTATTTACCACAGATTGGCACATTTGAGGAGAAAAATTATCCCAAATTTCCTGCAGTTTTGCCCACGAATCAAAAATTGTTCGTTGAGGGTGGTTTCTTAAATATTGCTTCATTTTATGCCACTCGGTTTCTATAACATTGAGGTCCGGACTACTTGCAGGATGGGATAGAACTTTTATATTATTATTACTGAACCAATCTTTAGTTGATTTTGCTGAATGGCACAATGCTCCATCTTGTTGGAAAATATAGTTTTCGTTTGGAAACAATTCTTGAGCACTAGGCAAAAGTGAGGTCCCAAGTATATGTTGATGTTTTTGGGCGTTAACAGTGCCATGTATAAAATTTAATTTGCCCAAACCTCTTACTGACATGCAACCCCAAACCATAATCCCCTTAGGAAATTTAACAACCCTCTTTAAGCAATCTTTATGAAAGGCTTCTGCTTTATTTCGTATTATTCGTTTTCGATGATCTCCAACGCAAACATCAAATTTAGACTCATCGCTAAATATGACCTTTTTCCAATCATTGTGTGTCCACGATAATTTAGATTTTGCTCAATTGTAGCGATTTTTCTTTTGCATTTCTGTCAGTAGCGGTTTTTCTTTGGTCTAAATAAAAATTTGTACCAATAATCTTCAGGTAATTGATTATCCACACAAAATAAAGTTTACCTTGTAAAACCCCAGACCGCATTTATGGATATATTTTCGGCAACATTCTCTTGATATATTTAAACCAGTTACAGTATTCCATTTAACTGTTACTTTGCGAAGAGTACTTCTTCTCGCAGACTTGCAAATTTTTACTAAGTTTCGTAAATCTCTTTGAGATACAAACTTTTGGCCTTCCCGAACTTTTACCTCTAACGTCTACATTGGCAGATTCGCCGTATTTTTTTATTATATTAAAGACCGTGGTTTTTGGAATACTTAAATCATCAGAAATTTTTCGAATTGTTTTTCCCGTACTGTATTGACGAATGATAATTTCCCGTAGTTTTTGATTTGTAGCTTTTCCACGGACCATTACTTTGAATTAAATAATTAACAAAATTGAAAATTAAAAAAATTAAAATTACTTACAGTAAATCTCACTACTCAAAGTATCGAGTCACTTACAAGCTGTCAATGCTGAAGTAAACAGTTTGCGACATTTGTGACGTTTATAGCAAAGCCGCCTATAATGATATTAATTATTTAAAAATACACAATCGCGCCTCAGATGGACCACAAAAATTACAGCATGATACCCACGAGGAATTAAGAGACCTAGAAGAAGACCAAACCTGAGATCGGACTATAATATTAAGAAATTAGCAGAGATAACTTGGACCTGCACAGCCAACAATAGACAACAATGGGCCCAAACACAAAGAGAGTATGTGAGGGAGACTATACATACCATAACTGGAAATGGTTGAATAAACTGAAAATGATGATGACGACTTTTGATATATTTTACCTTTAAAATAATTTCGTTACCATCAAATGCCTTTTATAGAAGAAATACTTTTAAATTTAAATAGTTGTAACTAAGAAAAAAAAAATAAAATTTTAAATTCCAACATGATATAGGTACCATTCGCAGACACGATATCTTCAGTACCACTATACGTAGTCGGTCAAAGCTAAATTGCGGTCTATCAATTATGTTACAATTTTCTCAATTAAATAATAAATATGGCCATCATTGTGTTGGCGACTATGGAACGCGTTAGTTGAAATACAAAAGGCAATTGTTGCAAAATTCAGTAGCGTTCATTGGACAATCAACAAAAAATACATAATACACGCATTACATATTTTTTAAATATTCGCTTAACTGTGAAAAACATATGTTTTAATCGCTATCGACAGTAATTAAAAAACGTTTGGCGAAAAAAAATAAAAATGTGTATTTATTGGATGTTCACAATAGATATTGGAAAAATACATATCAAAAGACGGGAGGAAAAAAAATACAATTATTCTTGTTGCAAAAAAAAATTAAATACAGCTAACACGTAAATATAACTTTTAAATATTGATGTTCTGCTTAGTATAAATAAAGTACGATCTTTGAAAGACTAGTTAAAAAAGAAGAAAGTAGTTCTAGTAAGAAAGTGTACAGGGTCCGGCAAATGTGCGTCGAACACCTGTCACTCCGAGAATAAAAAACTTGGGAATTTTGTTGTGCAAACAAAGGAAAAAAGTGTATACTAGGATCTATTTCAGTAAAATATTTTAACTTTTACAGGGTGGCTCAAAAATGTATTTATTCAAAGTAGTAATTTCAAAGATATTAATAAATAAATAAAAAATATATTTTTTTTCAAGCTGCCTTAAAAAAAATATTAGAAATACAAGAACTGTCCTGAAATCGAAACTATATTAGGTATTTACTTTAGATGGTCTATAACTTTATAAATATCGTAATCTTAAATCATAGAGGATGTTCAAAATTTTACACAAAACTTTCTAAAATATAAAATAATTTTTCTTTGTTTTTTTTTAATGGAACACTTTGTAAATTATTTTTTATTAGATGGAGAATTAAAAAATAAAGATTTTTGTATTTAAAGTATTTCAAAATTTTTAATGGTTTAGCAGATACGCGCAGTATTATTTCATATGGCTCTCTCAACGGTAAAATACGAAAGAAAAATCATTTGGTGGCTTTGATAAAAATTTACTATGGAAAATGCCATATGAAATATAAAACCGCGAATATCTGCGAAACCGTTAGAAATTTTCAAATACTCTAAATACAAAAAATGTTCATTTTTTAATTCTCCATCTGTTGAAAAAATAATATACAAAGTGTTCCTTTTAAAAAAACGAAGAAAAATTATTTTTAATTTTAGAAAGTTTGGCGTAAAATTTTGAACATCCTGTATATATATAGAAAATAAGTATAG